AAGGCAATTTAAGATTATGATGATGAGGAATATCTATTTTCCCGATTCTAAAAATTAACCATTCGTCTGTTGAAAAACATGGATTGATATATACAGATTGTTGTGCGGAATATGGCAGATATTCATGGTTGCGCGGTATTTGTGATACGGGTGAACATGCCATACTCACCTTGGGTATGTTGTATATTCTGCAGGTGAGTATGGCATACTAGTATTCCGCAGTGAACATGCGATACTTTGATTACGGTTAATACCCGATACTTACACGCGGAATATGCCATATACCGCAGATGAGTATGACATATACCGCAGGTGAAAACGTGATACAGAACTCCTCAATTTGATTGGTCGTGAGAATCGGATCGACTCTAAATGTAAGACTACGATGGATTACCAATATTGTTAGCGCTTCGAGTACTAAATTATGAATCCTGGATTTATTGAGTAATTTTATTACGTGTGATGGCTGAGTGATACTTCTGAAAGTATGAGAAATATGGAAATCGTGGTTGCCAATACAACAATACATTGATACTCGAATTTTATAGCTTTTGATTTCGATCTTTGTCCACTGTATATTTGGCTAAAAAATTCACTTATAACTTCACGAACGTAGGTTCGTATATTTATGTGTAATGTTTCCCTTGTGGTGTGCATTTGTCTGTGTAAGACATACACTCCCCTCCATAAGTTTGGCAACCTTTGCTTCCCCATTGAACTACGTGTTAAAGCCTCTTTACCTTTGAATTTTTATTTATTTAACCTGCGATGATACTACTTACTATTGATGGAAACGTAATTTGACTTTATTTCCAATACCTCCAAATTTTCTCCTCATAGTCAAGAAGATTTAGGTGAAAATATTTCAAAAATATATAGAAGCAATTTTAAGGTGGATTTCAAAACTTCATACCATTCTTTTGAAAACCTGAAGTGGCATCAAGCAATCCGTTGACCTTTTCACCGAAAATCCAAGATGGCCGTCGCGATGTATCAAAAAGTCATAAAAAATGACTTAAGTTATGATTTAATAAGTCAAAATAGTTGTATACTGATCAAACATGACTAATAATAGTACCTATCAGAAGTTCATATCCATTAAAAGTCATTGGATCATTTTTGTGTGAAAACTGGAGTCCCGCAAGGCTCAACTTTATGTCCGCTACATTTTTGCATTTTTTTGCATTGACCATGGCATTTGCACATAGCAATGCATAGAAATCCATTTTTGTAACATGTGCACATTGGACCACATTTCACCTTGCACCCACACTTGACCAATGCTTCGCATGCTGCTTGAGGAAGGGCTGTATATAGTGGCACCAGGAGGGAAATGTCATACTGCCAGCCCCATGTTGTGAACTCTGATACCCATGTTGGATTGTGATTGTACAGTTGGCCCCAAACAATACCACCTTGGTTAGCAAGTTCTTAAAATTTTCTGTGCAAGGGCTCCTTTTGTTGGTGGCATACTATCAATGACTGTATGGCCATCACAGAACATCTGCATTTGTGCTGCATCGATATCTATCTGGTTGCTGGTTCGATCATATACATGTACTAGAGCAGTAAAACGTTTTTTGGGACTGAATGGCATTAACTGACAAAGTCAGGTTTGTTGTTACCATTTGTGCTACTTGTAGAAAAGCTGGAGTACCTTCCTTGAACACATTCTATAGCTTGAAGGGCAGATTCTTTGCTATTGGCTAAAGGATGGTGCAGTTACTAGTATATAATATAATTTAAAACCTGTATTTTTGAGAGGTCAGAAGGCAATCCAACTTGACACTTATTACACCCTAATGCCATGGCAAGAACAACTACACCAGTATCTCCACTGATTCTGTTCATGTTCATGTCTTTTTTACCCTCTGAGGTCATCTTTTTACCTGAACAAAGAGTCTAGTGTAGTATAAGCTTCTTCATGAGTACAAGGTTCAATCATTACTGTCACTGGCAACTGAGGAAAGCACTTAGCAGATTCCACAATAGTCATAAACATCAACCTCAAAAATAGAGTTGGCCAGGAATGCTAACAGTTCAGTCTTGTTCTGGTTGTTTCTTAGAAAGCCTAACCAATTCATCACATTCTCTGCATAAACCATCCATTGCCACAATGAATCCTTGTCAGGGACTTCCTTCTGTTTTATAGGTAGACATCCCTTATAACATCTTATCTTAAAACACCTTCCATAGGCTGCCTTTACTTGGGATGAGACATTGGTACCATATACTTGGAAGTTGGTAGCCACACCAGGATGCATCACATGGACCAGTAGGATGCCATCTATTAAAATTGCATCTGCAGGTGGCTTTTCCCATACTTCAGATCCATCTGGCTTAGCTTCTTGACATTTAAGTAAGTCTGCGTTTGTTGTAGGTCTCATGGCTCCATGCTTAGGTAGGGATGGCGGGAACTCATGGTTTTCGTATTTGAAAAACTCAGACATGTCATTGTGTCTTGATTGGCATGCAATGTAGAGTTATAGCAAAAAGGCCACAATCATTTCTCAGTTCCTTGACTTCAAGATTCACTTGCTTGTATAGTTGGTGTGGTCTAGGGAGAAAGAAACAAAGAATCAGCTGCAGTGATTCCTGAGGTCAAGAAACTGAGAGAAGAAAATTACCTTTTTGCTATGCTCTTTATTGCTTGCCTTTTTGACAATCAAGACATAAAAACATGAAAACCATGAGTTCCCGCCGTCCCTACCTAAGCATGGAGCCATGAGACCTACAACTAAATGACCTACTTAAATGCCTTGAAACTAAGCCAGATGAACCCAAAGGAAAAGCCACCTGCAGATGCAGTTTTAATAGACTGCTCCTTTCTGGTCCTTTCTGTTGTTTCATCCCAAGTTAAGGCAGCTTATGGAAGGTGTTCCAAGATTAGATGTTGTCTGAAATGTTTACCTACAAAACAGTGAGAAGTCTCTTACAAAGATTTATCATGGCACTGGTGCTAGAAGGATGATCTATGCAGAGATGCACAAATGCCAAAGAATTGATCAGCCTTTCTAACAACCAATGGAACCAGACTATACTAGGCTGTTTGCATTCCTGGCCAACTTTATGTTTGATGTTAATGAAAAGCAAATGCTATAACTACGATTTGGGAATCTCTTCAGTGCTTTCCTCAATTGCCAGATACAGCAATGATTGAACCTTTTACTCATGAAAAAGCTGACACCAGGCTCTTTGTTCATATAAAACAGATGACCTCAGAGGTTAAAAATACTTCATAATCAGAAGTGGAGATACTGATGTCCTTTTTCTTGCCATGGCTGCAGCATTAGGGCACAATAGGCGTCAATCTGGATTGCCTCATACCTCTCAAAAATTACAGGTATTAATATTGTATTATTTAACTGCACCTTTCTTTGGCCATAGCTAAAAATCTGCTCTTCAATCTATGGAATGTGTTCAAGTAAGTTACTCCAGCTTTTCTACAAGTGGCACAAATGGTTACAACAAACCTGCCTTTGTCAGTTCAAGCCATTCAGTCCCTGGAACATTTTACTGTTTTATTATATGATTGAACAAGCAACCAGACAGATATCAATGCAGCACGAAGGCTAATGTTCTGTAACTGTCATACAGTCATTGAAAAAATACCACCAACAAAAAGAGCCCTTGCACAGAAAATCTTAACTTGCTTACCAAGGCGGTATAGTTTGGTACCGTAACAAAAATGATTATCGAGTTCACAAGATGTGGCTGGCAGAATGACATGTCCCTCCTGATGCCACCATGTACAGCCCTTCCTCAAGCTGCTAAGGCAAAAATGCCATGGTCAATGAAAGTCATTGGACTAAAAAAGTAGGGGACATAAAGTTGAGCCTTGTGGGACTCCAGTTTTCACACAAAAATAATCTAGTGACTTTAAATGCATATGACCATCTAATAAGTATTATTATTAGTCATTTTTGATCAGTATTTAACTATTTTGACAAATTAAATGATGATATTATAATAGTCAATTTTAGTGATTTGTCGATACATTGTGGCGGCCATCTTGGATTTTTGGTGAAACAGTCAATGGATTGCTTGGTGCCACTTCAGGTTCTCAAAAGGATGATATGAAGTTTTGAAATCCACCTAAAGATTGCTTCTATATATTTTTGAAATATTCTGTGAACTTATCTCCTCTTCAAACCTGACTATCAATTACAATTGGTCGAAAATTGATGATAAATTTTATGAATTTTTGAAAATCTTCATTCCCATGTAAACCAATGGGAAATGGCGGGTTCGGGGCAAATCAGAAATCAGGATATCTATTCAGTAAAAGATTTAGCCAAAATTATTTTTATTTAGAAAATGGAATTGTCTAACTTTTTTGTACACTTAGTGTTAAGTTAACTTATGGAGGGGAGTGTACATAAAACAACATCAATAAATGAAGTTACCACTGGGATATGTTTTTAAATGGTATTACTTGATATATTCAATGCACTGTCCTGTTGATTCATTAATCATTACAATAATTTATAAACTTTTACTCATCGTTCGTTCAATCGATGCAATTGACAATTGCGAACTTCCGTATCACGTTCTTATTAGTTAGTGTATATACCATATACTGCGGGTGGATATGTCATACATCGCAAGTGAATATGCCATATTCGTTGCAGAATTTGCGTTATTTGTGTTATTACTGACTTCATGATATGATGTTCTTCATAGGGTTGGCGGTTCCAGTGGTTGTTCAGGTTGTACTTGGAAGAACAGGGGAGTACATGTTATTTCTTGCCATACTGATGGCTATAATGTCAATAGGGTCTGCTGAGGTTATTGCTGTTGCATCGTTGATTGTGTATGATGTCTACCAGCCATACATAAACCCTTTTAGGTTTGGCATGCTTTTTGACTCAAATCTTGACCTTATATATAATTATGAAACATTTCCATGAAGCAAATGCTGAGTAGATTGGCGTAGACGTAATGTGGTTGATAATGTGATATGCCCATACTTACTGTATAGCTTTGTCTCTATACTTCAGAAAGAATTTGAAAGAGGGTGAGTGCATACTTTGTGGTAAATACCCCTGGCCTTCAACTGATACTTACTACAAGGATCGTATTATTGCTATCGATACAATTGATAATGATGAGAGCAAAGCATGCTCCTGTAAACCAGTAGTTGAATGCAGTGGATGTACAGAAGACAAAGAAATGAGATCTTTCAAGAAAACTAACCTCGGAGTTAAAAAGCCATATAAATGCAAAGTTCACGGGTTGTACAAACATTACCAAGATGATCTGCTGAACTTTAAGAATTGGTGCATTCTTTGGATCACGCTTTTCACGATTCCACTGGTGTTGTTCTCAAATTGGGTTGGATTGAACCTAGGATGGCTTTTCTATTTCAATGGAGTTTTGCTAGGAGGGGTTCCCATCCCGGTGGCCCTGACCGTCCTTTGGAGCAAGGTAACGCCTGCTGGTATGATATCAGGTATGCACTGTTTATTAAAAATACTAAAGCCTAAGAACTAAGTGATAATCGACAAAAAATCCACACAATGTTGACTACAGAATCCAACTGTGTAAACTTATGTTTGAAGCCATATTTAATTGTTAGAATATTTTCTGCGATTGGCAGGTACTCTATCTGGCTGCCTTTGTGGTTTATCTTTATGGCTGGGTATTGCGTCCATGTACGAAGGTGGGGTGACTTTGGAGAACACCGGCAGAGATATACCCACTTTTGTGGGCAGTGCCGTCGCATTGGGCGTAAGTGGAATTGTATGCGTTGTCGTTTCACTGTACACACTAGACAGAAAGAAATTCAACGAGGAAGAAGAATGGAACAAGCTGAGGAATATAGAGAACCCGCTTCACCCCTGGGCAATCACATACGCACGTGACTTCGGTAGAGTTCAGGATGTGACGTCAAGGTTTGTGCGACCAACATACGCAGCAATGAAATCCCGCTTCCGAGGGTCTCGGATTACTGCGATTGTCATCGGGTTGACTCTGTTTGTTGGATTCGTCATCGTTTGGCCTTGCGCTATGATTCCGTTTAAAGTCTTCACCAGAGACGAATTTTACCACTGGACGACGTTCTCCATGGCGTATGCATTCATAGCTGCCGCGTTCATTCTCATCGTTCCTCTTGTACAAGAAATTTATTTGATTTTTGGCAAGATTAGAAATAATTGACAGACGAACAACAGTAGAAAAACAGGAAGATGAATATCCCTATGAACAGTCACTACATTCAAAATTAATTCTAAGTAAATAAGTGACCAATTGTTTCATGAATGTATTGTAGTTTCATCACTAGTTATGTTCACAAGAAGGACATTTTGTAAATATGCCATGCAAGACTAAAAGGCTTCTCTTACACCATTGTAAATATGATATTTTGTTTATGGGTGATCTAAAGGTCGCGTGTACCTATTGTCATGTCTACCAAGATTGCCCCATTAGCCCATTCATAAAGCATAAAGTTTTGTCATGAAAAGACAAATCCGTAAAGTAGTGCATTGCATATGTGGTGACATCTCTGAACTACTTCATCATATACAATTTACATGCTGAATAATTACAAAATATTGACAAAATATGGAACTATTTAGATGAGATACTCTAAAAATGACAATTCTATTACTTTCTATCATTATATTCGACTACTAGTATTCTTTTAGAATTACAGGTGTCATCCTTTTTCTGCCAGTGTCATCTTTTTTCTTAGTGTCATCCTTTTTTGGCGTCAGCCTTTTCTTACAACAGACCCTGCTGCCACCAGTCGTTGAATACACTTTCTGCTTGTAGTCAAGTTTCATTAGAGTCATTGACACATGGCTTCTTAACATGACTTATAAATCCAAAATAAATGTTTGTCATATTCAAAGAAATATGAATACGAAATATTCTAAATTGTTTTGTTAACCCCCCTATCACACCAAACTAGTTCTTACCCGTTCTTGCCAGTCTTACGAAAACGTCGTAAAACGGGCTCAATCTGGCTGTGGTCGGGAAATATGTCTAAAATAATTAGCTACTTCGTTCATAAACAGTCTTCAATACGTCCATCTCGTTCGCAGTTCGTTCAGGTCGCACCACGTCGGTGTGCAACGTCGTATAACGCGTCCCTTAGTCTAGAAGGTCATCATGACCTGATTACAGAACGGTATGGTCGTCAAAATTCTAAAATCACCTTCCCGTCTGAGTCTCTGAGAACGTTCATGAAGTTCGTGAATAGACCTTAGAAAGTTGCAGCTACGTTCATTCCGTTCACAAACAGTTTAGAACCAATTTTGAAGAACGCAGTGGCAACTTGTTTGGGGTGGTAGCTATATTTTTGCTAACTCGTCCTAAGCAGTCTTAAATACGTTCTTAATCAGTTTAAACTCGTTTGCAATTAGTTCTACCTCGTTCTCAATACGTCCTCAGACAGTTCAACTCGTTGTTGAAACGTCCCTAGTAGGATTGAAGTACGATGGTTCCGTTGGGGCTGTGGCCGTCTCATTGGGCTTGAGTGGAATCGTGTGCGTTGCCGTTTCACTGTGCACACTAGACAGAAAGGAATTCAACGATTCAACAATGAAGTACTTCAGGGTGTTTGACTGAGTGGTCCGCAACTCGTACAAAAGGCTGTGGTGTGTACTTGTATGTCTATGTATAAGTGCACATAAAAGAACACAGGGCTCCTTCAAGGAGTGGTTTCTGGGTCTATCTTTCATGTTAATTACGTAAATTACGACCGTATATATACGGGACATACCCAAGAGGTATTGCTCACCTTCATTGGTGGTAAACAAAATACAATACAATACTAGGAAGAAAGAAATCCAACGAGGAAAAGAATTGAACAAGCTGAGGAACATAGAGAACCCGCTCCACCCCTGGGCAATTACATATGCACGTGACTTCGGTAGAGTTCAGGATGTGACGTCTACGTTGGTGCGACCAACATACGCAGCAATGAAATCCCGCTTCCGAAGGTCACGGATCACTGCGATCGTAATGGCCGTCATTCTTTTTATTGGATTCATCATTGTCTGGCCCTGCGCAATGATTCCCTTTAAAGAGTTCACCAGTAGTGATTTCTGCTACTGGACAACATTCACCATGGCGTATGCGTTCATAGCTGCCGCTTTTATTATCATTGTAACTCTTGTCCAAGAAATATACCTTCAATAAATTATCCGTGTGTATAGATAAACGAAGACATGCAGACTGGTGGTGGTCAAAGATAAATACAGGATGGAACTATTTCATTTAACCTTAAGTATCTGTATTACATATATTTCTTGTTAAACTACTATTTGATTAATACCGTTCATATATATGGTATTTAAAAAAGGAAAGGGGAAATTTCTATGCTTCGTTTGCTATTCCCCAATTAGGGTATTAGGGTCTGATTTTCTTAATGTTACGTCGTAATCAATGTATGTAAGCTGATGTTTTTGGGTTAGTTTTCGTTAAAACGCAAGTAGGCTACGTTAAATCAGTTGTGAAAGAAATGATGGTCCCCCAGGGATTATGGTCCCCTTTCTTAACGGCCCTTACTGGCCCTGAATGTGTACAAGATAATGAGGGAAAGAGTTGTATTTGGGTCACCATATAAATCAATGGAGAGTAGGACCATAATTTGATAGGACCTTCTACCCTTTTACACCTGGTCATGTAGTGACCACCATTTGACAACAGACTTTTTTGGTTGGTTATAGATGGCGTACAAAAGTGTAAACTATTCCAAAATTATACCATTTTCTATATTTTATGTATATATTCTAATAACATCTATAATATATACCTTAAAAACTATCTATAACTATGTAATATATATCTTAACGAATAAAATGTGTATATTTGTATCCCGATTTGTATGTAGTTATATTGATTAATTTGGTTTTCATAAACAGTTTGTTGTCGTCTTTACGATTCTACCTTTGATCTCCAAGGTGCCACTATTTCAAAAGTGTCGTGATTTCATCTTGATGGCATTACAGTGAGTACCCTTTGCGCAGAGTCTAGTTTTAAACTACCGACTGAAGACGAAGAACTCTTCTGAGAGGCGAAGTCGAACGAATGCAAAGGGTATACAGTGAGTATAACAGTGAGTAACATACAACATTTTCCCGTGTAGAGCCTTTGGATATAAAGGTAAATCGTATAAACGCACAGATAGAACCTTTAAATACAAATGTGGATCATTTAATGCCTTATAAAGACGTACATCTTTTGAATAACAAGACATCACAATGTGTTGTGTATTAAGTTAACTTAAGTTCAACAGGTTATCCGCACTACGCCCTTCTTAATAACGGTATATTCTTCCGTTCACTTTTTCTTTTGAAAAAGAAATATTTTGGGCATTTTCCCAAATGGAAAGTAGAGATGTTACCTAAACGGTGTCACGACTTTTCAGTTAACCTATACGATTCGTACGTTTATTTGTATACTTAGAGAACTATATTTTTAGTAAAAAATGTGAGACTTTGAGTGATTAATTATCGCACATGCAGTTAAACTGGGTATAGAAACGAATTAGTATTTTGAAAATGCATTTTTCGATCTTTAGGACGTGTTTTTTTCATTTTCGTTTACATTCCCATGGTCGTTCAAAGTAAATACCACTCTTTTCAGAAAAACCACACGCCTGGTTGGTACAAAACATTAAATCGCATTAAGTTTGTTCTACACATGAAAAAAGCCCATAAATAGGTGCGCCTTCATTTTATCGTTACATTAAAACAGTGAAACCAGGTCAAAGTTTGAACAAGTTGAGTAAAATCTAGTTTGCATTTCCTGTTAAAACATGTTGATTTAATATGCTGCTCGGAAGTAAATATGAACTTTGAGTCAAAATGGGAAATACAAGTAAGTTGCAATATTATAGGTTTTAAGTCGTTTAAATATGCAATTGCAAGTGGATATATTGTTTCAAAACTATTTCAGAATATGGTTTTTGTCTATAATTGTCTAAATTGATATATACTTTATGATCAGTTTTACGAATTACTTCATTTTTTCAGTCTATTTGCCGACTACAAAAGACGGAAGTAAGTTAATAGCTTTTTAGAATTTATATGGGAAGTAAAAGTATAATTTAGAGGACGGAGAAGGCTTGGAATGTGTAAAATGTTGGACAAAATCTTAAATAGCACACAAATTTTTATTTTATTTTCTGAAAGGAAGACCCTGATAAAAAATATGGGAGTTATTAAAGATTTACAACAAAGAAATTTCAAAATTCCAAAAAAGACGTCAACTTTTATGTTTTAACCAGATAATCTAAATAATAAATGAAAAATTATCCAGAAAATGGAATCAGAATAAAGGCACTGCATAGAATGATATAATTATAATTTATGAATGCTATTTTCTGAATGATGGGGGAGGGTGTTGGTCAGTGTTTATTTGTGCGTACTTGAAATTTGATGATCCCATTCTCAGAGATTTATTTCAGAACTTACCACTCGAGAGGTTGCTCTGAGTGAAGTTGAGCTTGCAGCACTCGTCGTCGGGGTCGTATTAGGGGCGATCCTCATCATATCATTGGCAGCACTCCTTATATATTCAATCAAGCAAAAGAACAAGAGGAGGAGAAAGCGAGAGGAGGTGAAGAAAAATCTCGCTCAAAGTACGATACGTAGAGAGCTGCATATGAATAAACAAAAATATGTTCCTAATGGAAGACCGGTTGATAATGATATATCCAGTGGAAATGGAAACAGCTTTGAACAAAGGTTTGTTAATCTTTAGAATCTTCAAAAGTCATCCAACATTTTGCTGAGTATCTTTACTATTAAACTAGGAAACATAATGTTTTTCTGGACTAAACTGTTTAGCAATTGAAACATGGCCTGTCATCAAAATGTTAATATTGTGAACGTTTTTACAGTTTTAGTGTATTTAAATTAAAAATATGAGGTTTCAAACGGGTAATCTTGCATATTCTAGCTCGCCCAACTACCTGACCAACACAAGACTGGTGCAAAAGTACAAACGTCAAGCGGCACCATCTCGCGCAAGAGCAGTCGCTAGAAGCGACAATACCTCATACTATTACCAATGGTAAGCAGAGGCTTTTCTAAACATTTGTTCACGATATGTATCAATTAAAACCCGACGGTCAAGAATAATGATTGCTCTCGACCAATCAAAATCTATTAAATGGTGTATCATACAGTCCCTGGTGATCTAGGTATAGTATTCTACCACTAAGAATGTCAGACCATGGAACTTATGTAAATTGTCATTTTCTACTTTTAGGTGGGACCCACGATCCTGGTGGTACTATTGGAATACCCGAGCTTCTAATGCCCCAGCCATGCAGTACTATGGCACACAAAATAATACATATCATACCATGACGAGATATTGAAATGACCTTTGCATGAGTGTGACATGAAAACTCAAATGACAGATAGCAAAAGTTAAATCTTATGATATTGTTAACCAAAGGGCTCCATCCATATTATGAATTATTGAATGATTTGATGTGCAATGCAGGATATATTCTGCTCGAAAAATTCCGAATACCGAATATCGAGAGCAGAATATATCCTGTGTTGCACTTCAAATCATTCTCTAACGTTTTTATCGTGTGGTCCTCGGCATTGCTATTGAGAATGTCCCCTCCGTACCAATACAATTGGTACAGCACAAGAACTGACCAATCAGAAGGCTTCATTTTACAGATCATACGATAAACCAGATTATCATCCAATGAACCAAATGAGATACTTGGATATCGTTCAATGAATCATGGTTTAAACCAAATTACGTAATGTTATCCAATGAACCAAATGGGTTCATCCAAAGGCTGGGATTTCTTTCGAGAAATCAAATGGCTCCACCCATATCCCGGAAAACTCTCGTCATTTTAAAAAGTATCAAGCAATGTACTACATAATTTGCCTTATACACCCTATGCAGACAGAGCCTGTGGGAAATATTGGGTGCGGCGCAAATGAGCGGAGGGTGCGGAGCTAACGGTCATTTTTGAATTTAAAATTGGGATATTTCTGAAACTAAGCCGTTTTGGGACTTCAAATATACCAAGATATGTGTATTTGACACCAAATACCAATAAAATTGTGAAAATAGTAGTGCAATTCATTTAATAGCGACGCAGTATGCCTTAAACATTTCCTAGACCTATATATTTTGAAACTGTCCTTTTAATACTGCGTCCCCAGCATTCATAAAAAATGGTGTTCAAGATACACTACCCATGCAAATTATTTTTGCATCTTGGAAGCCAGGCAGTATCTGTGTGATTTTATAAAAATTCGGAAATGTTCTTCAGATATGAGCCCCCACTAAATATTGGGTGCGGAGCTACGTTTATGGAGCTGCTCCGCACCCAATATTTAGAGGGGGCTCATATCTGAAAAAACATTCCGAATTTTTATAAAATCACACAGATACTGCCTGGCTTCCAAGATGCAAAAATAATTTGTATAGATAGTGTACCTTGAACACCATTTTTTATGAATGCTGGGGACTCAGTATTAAAAGGATAATTTCAAAATATATAGGTCTGGGAAAGGTTTAAGGCACACTGCGTCGCTATAGAATGAATTGCGCTACTATTTTCACAATTGTATTGATATTTGGTGTCAAATACACATATCTTGGTATATTTGAAGTCCCAAAACGGCTTAGTTTCAGAAATATCCCAAATTTAAATTCAAAAATGACCGTTAGCTCCGCACCCTCCGCTCATTTGCTCCGCACCCAATATTTCCCACAGGCTCTGTCTGCATAGGGTGTTATAGTATAGTAGCCTTTTAATGTCTTGCAACTGCAGCAAGTGGCACTATGCACTGGCGGATCAAGAAACTAACAAGGGGAGGGGCAAATTTCAAATGCTTAATTTTCGAAAATTTAAGGCCCATTTATTGAAAATGTTGCCTAAAAGGCCAAGTAATGAACAAAAAAAGCCCAGTAATCGAGGCCTTACAAATTTTTTCTGAGCCCACCCATGTCCTCCCCCCCCCCCCCTGGATCCGCCAGTGCTATGCAGCAGTGTAACAGATTGTTTGCTTGATTGTCATGTGATGAAATACAAAAATGATTCTCAGATAATATCTTGGTAAAAATCATACCATTTCAATGGCCCAATTTGTTTTGCTGTTTTTAGGATTTTGTTCGATTAAACTTCTCCGGTAAACTGTCTTGGGCAATGAAAATAATAAGTAAATAAATAAGTAAATGAATAAATAAATAATTATGTTTTGTACTACTTGTATTTATTGGGTAAATAGATTAATTTAATAAATTTTGTTACTTGATGGAAAATTCTATAAATCGCATTTAGAAATTACATCACCCACATATGCGTTAGCTTCAGCTACATATGTCGTTCAGTTTGGTTGATATTTTTCAGACAAAACTGAAAATAGAGATTTTGAAACATAAGACATTTGAAATCCTACTAAACACAGGCGAATTGTAATTTCATTATCATGGAGCTGAGCAATAAACGAATGCCCTGTAATGAACATGTATACGTATTGTTGCCTTTTTATGTTGATGGATGTGTTATGTTATATAATAACATTTTCATATTTCAAAATGTCAAAATGTTTAGTCATATTTTGTGGACAAAATATATTAGAAAGTTACGAAAGTCATGGGATGAAAAGCTTATTTACCGGTCGGGATGAAATATGGGTTTATTCCTAGTGACAACATGATATTTCGCTCTGGCCCTCTGGGCACTGGGAAAATATCACAGTGTCCCTCGGAATGTAATCCATATTGAATCTCTCCCAGTAAATAACCTCTATATATATTCCGCTCGCTTCAGATATCAATTATATTCCCGCATGTTATTTACCTATAACACTACTAATTGAGTATAGGATAACGTTTCATATACTGCCCTTGGTTACGATTTCTCGGGTCACTTAAATACATTGACCTAATTCATACGTATGTTTTGATTTAAATACGAATCAAATAAGAATTCGGTGGTCTTGAATAGTTTTAATTTTTCGATGAATGAATTCTATTCAACAGTGTCCTTATTCATGGGTATTATCGTGTACTCAAATGACCTTTATAGATATTTATACAAAAAATGAAGATAGATTGTTCGAGTGATTGACGTGTAATAAATTGTTAGTAAATCCACAAAAACGTAAAAAATCATAGACATACATTTAATTTTAACCTGTCTTTTGGTATATCAAAGAAGATGTCGGTATAAATATACGAGGGGCAGTTAACAAATTGTTTTGTTTGGTGTGTCCGTTCGTTGATTAAAAAGACCACGTGCAGTATGGCAAGTGATTTTAGACGGTCATATCTTTCACCATGAGTACTTTCTTGGCATAAATTCAGTGGTTTTTATTAAAACAATATGTTTTCTTTCAAGTGAAGTACCCATGATGATAAAGATATGAATAAAAAAAATGAAATAAAAATTATGAATCCTCAAAAGAGGATCTCCCTTTTCTGATTTTTATTACATGAAAAGATTATTCAACAAGGGGTCTAAAACATTTTCAAAAATATAATTGTATTGAAAGTCTAGTTTTGAAGATATCAATTTTCGATGACCAAAATGATGCTGAAAACAATGGATAGCACGAGTTTTTCCTATGGGAAAATAACATGGGATATGTGGTTTTTAACTTTAACGCATTTCAATACGCATCCCCTTTGCAGAAATTGTTCATAGAGTGTAGAAGAAACTTTTGATATGTTTAAATTGAGAAAAGCAAGATCCTCTTTTTAGAAAATAAGCCTAACATTTTTTTAAAGTGCCAGGGTGGGGCTCTAATCCATAATTTTTCAGAGAGTTGGATTGATATTTTACTATCATGGGGACTTCACTTGAAAGAAAACGTATTGGTTTAATAAAAACTATTGTTTTTATGGCCAGAAAGTACTCATGGTGAAAGATATGACTGTCTAAAATCACTTGCCATACTGCACATGGACCTTTGTTTGTTTTCGTTTTACCTGATAGAGTCAATCATTCAATCACATAGTCTAAGTCTTAAGACCCTGTACCCTTTCTCCTCTGATCAATTTTCTCACCAGTTAGTAAGTCAAGGTGAACTACATGTATTGACATTGGGGGGGGGGGTCACCAGTTGACACAGTCAATATAACATGGTCTTGAAGCAAGAATATCAATCACCTCAAATGAAATATCTAGGCTCTGCAACATCTCGCTTAGTCTCGATTAATCTCGCTTTAAAAATGAATGTCATAATCTCTGAGAAAAGTACCTATAGTCTTGCTTCAATGAATGATATAGTCAAGCCCGAATAAAGATTATATTCACGCTTCAATCTAGGACTCAAAATCTTATTGCATTATTGAGTGGCGAATTGTAGCAACCTCACACACCTGACAAGAAGGGGGGCTAAGAGTAAAGCCAGGTAACGAACACAGCCGTCTCAACACTCACTGCCCCATAAAGGTAAACTAAAAGTAAGATTGGGCAACTAGATCGCTATATAAATCAAAAGGAGAATGATCCGATATAAGCCCACGGGATCTACATTTCTACCACATCGACTGTACGCCCATATAACCATTCTGCGCATGTGTATATTCATGTAGGCGTTGAGTTATTCTCCGGAAACGAATATAAAAGCTTTTAATATAAAAACCTGCTTTGAAAATATCAAAGGAGGTTTACTCTGTTCGACCAAATAATGACCATAAAAACCACAAACATCATATTTTCACATCTGTCATTGTGCTACGTTGAATATGTCAAAAATGTATTCAACTGCACAAGCAATTTAGAAAGTAGTTAAAAGAATGATATCAGTCGTCTACGGTAGTGATAAATATAGCTGGATAAAATAGAATTGTATTATCCGTCATAATTAAAACATTTAAAAAGTAAAACGGGTCGCTATTTACGATCTTCTGAATGCTGGGGAGATGAGAGAATAGTAATATCTTTATTTTCTGTTTTAGTGATGTGAGCGTAGCGGAACAAAATCAATGGATGCATAATATGAATACTAAAAAAGGAAACTTGGTGCTTCTTCATATATTCACGAATAAGCCTCGGAATTATAATTGTTGGAATATTCAATCATTACAGGTTGCCTTGTGAAAAACCCAATCGAAAATACTACATAGGAACAATTACCTGAGCTGATTATCCTAAGCATGGGAAACTCAATCACGCGTGAGTTTATATTTAATTCGAAGTCTAGTTTTGGAATGTAAAATCTTATTTTATAAAATCATTAGTTTTCATAGCAAATATATGAAAAGAACGCAATTTCACTTAACCGTATGTATTTACTTTGTTCACTGTTCGTTGAAAGAGATATATTTTAAAAATGCACATACAAATAAAGCGAGACAAATAAGACAAAACAAACTTGAGCTGAAAATATATATATGTATTCCAGTATAAATACTACTAATAGTGCATATGTGACAGAATTTTCACTTTTCAGCATAAATACGTGAGAAAAATATTTTCTATAATGTTTTGGGTGAGGCAGTTGTCTAGCTTGCCTCACCGTTATCTAAGCCCAATATAGGTGTAACCAAAATTACTCAAGCTTTTCAATTCTTGTTTTGAATATTTATTTTGACATCTTTGACAATACAAAAAGTGTTAACTATTCAATTTAACAGTATTTTCATATCTTTGCTGTTTATATAGCGTTTAAATAACTTGTGTGACCGTGTTAAATGGCATTTCACCTTTTTTAGGTACCGAATCAGAGAGGCTTGCATCGAGTAAGTATTTCAGTGATATCCAGATCCTTATACAGGGTGAGGCAAAAAAGATGACCCAAACAAAGATGATAACTCAGTCATCCATTATGAGTTTTATATTATACTTTGCACAATTGATCCTTGTTCAATATTCTTTTATTCAATTAGTTTCATCTATTTCAAATAGTCATGATTTTATAGCCATTTTACAAAACACACTCCAAATCACCCAATATGAGCCCCTATACTTTATGTCTGGGGCTATTTCAAAGATAGCGTTTACACTAACAACCCTAAAAGCATCAGAGAGTCGAAACAACAGAATAAAAAGGAAATTGAGGGCCATTACACACGATATCTTCAGAACAACATCACCTGATGCATTCAAATTTGCCCCTAGAGAGAAGACCTGCATTTTAAGCATGTATTATAAAATGGCCACAAAATCTTACCCATTTGGAACAGACCAATGAAACTTAATAAAATGAAAGAACGTTTAACAAGGCTCATCTGTGCTAAATTTGACGTTAAACCCATGCTAGATAACTAGTTATTTACTTTTGTTTGGGTTACCTTTTTTGGCCCGCTCTATATTTAAGCCTTCTAAGTTAACTGGCTAATAACCTGAAAGTAAAAAAGAAATCATTCGAGAATTAATGCTCATTGAGGATAGATGTATATAGCTGAAACATTTGTTGGGCGGAGTTCGGGCTCCAAAACAATTACAACTCGACGACCCCGAAGTCCAAAGGCTAGTAGCGAAGGTCATACAACTCTTTAACAATCCCGTAGTCAGGGAGTCATGCAGTTTCTAACCATTTTGAGCACGGTCCACGTGATTTTGGGCCAAGATTGTCAGATTTAACTCCCTCCCACTCCCGGAACTTTTTAAAAACTGAACTCTTTAAAACTGAACTGTACTTTTAAAAAACTGAACTCCCTTGGCAAGAGCTTGTTTGTGCGGGCCTCAAAATGGTACAGCACGACTACTTTCCACGCTAAAATGAATAATGGCATTCCTTGAGATCCAATAGTATAGTTTCCATATAGCTTTTGAAATCTCGCTAAATCTCGTTTTTCGTGAGATTTTAAGAGACTTGCATATTAGACCTCTAATGACTTACATTACCTTCTTTTAAATGGTATATTTGAATTCAGTGGAATGTTTTCTCCTAAAATAGCTTTGATTTACACAGTTATGTAATTTGAATAATTTTCTATGACAATTTAAAAAAAGTTGGGCCAAATGTCCATAGATGCAATGCTAAAATTCTTTAAAACCGTGGATTATTTGTATGTCAATCAACATTAGCATGTTTAATCACAACATGTTCATAAACAGGGTCATCATGTGGTATATCATTCAAGTTTTATACAGATTCAACAAACACACTTTGATAAATCATGAAATTAAGCCACTTTTCCAAGATTTTAGCATGTAAGTGAATGGAGCTCTAGCCAGAGTTAAAAGCTGAATAAAAGATGGCAGCACGAGATTTCATTGATTTTTCTGCTATTTAGAAACTATCCTATTAGTCCCCATCAGGTCCATCAAGGTTTTACCTTGGCAAATGGAGACGGTCATGTCTGGAAAACATATCAAACAAATGCACATGTATAATAACAACCTTGACTAATCCCTTTCAAATGCTGACTGATATGATAGTTAGATATGATGTTCCATCAGATCAATCTGCCTTTGAAAGAAGCAAGCCTTGATTACATTGCTTTAATTTTGATCACTTTCAGTTGAACTGACTGGCGGGCAAATTGCTGGTATTGTCATTGGAATCATATTTGGAATCCTAGTGATCGCTGCGCTGATTGCATTCTTTGTGTACTGGACGAAAAAGAGATCAAAAGTGAAGTCAAAGACGTATTACAACAAAACTTACCTCACTCAGAGTCACCCCAAGACCTCAACTGGCCAACCGTTGCAAAGTGACAGTAGAAAAAGGTTAAAGGGTCGTACGTAGTTACCGTAGGCAACGGTTTTATAGTTCACTCTTGAGTAGAGTAGAGAGAGAGAAGCTCCAAGGCTACTACGGACTAAACTCTAAAACCCAAGCCTATGGTAGTTAATTGTGTAGTACTACTGTAACCCATTCCTAACAATGGAAGTGTTAAATATGTTCAAGGGTTACGCAAGGTTACTATTCTAGTAGTTCATTTCTTACAATGGAAGCATATATTAATGTAAAATGTTCATGCGTTGTTACTAGTGTATTTCATTCCCGACAAAATGAGACATAGACAAAAAGTTAAGGAGTTTACGCGGGAACCAGTATATTTCATTCACTACAAAATGATACATAGACAAAAATTTAAGGAGTTTACACGGTTACCAGTGTATTTCATTCCCGACAAAATGATACATAGACAAGAGTTAAAGGGTTTTACGCGGTTACCAGTGTATTTCATTCCCGACAAAATGAGACATAGACAAAACGTAAAGGGATTTACGCGGTTACAAGTGTATTTCATTCCCTACAAAATGAGACATAGACAAAACTTAAAGGGTTTTACGCGGTTACCAGTGTATTACCTTCCCTACAAAATGATACATAGTTACTCGTGGATAAAAGTTTGCAGTTCTTGACTGACAAAGAATTACGTTTTTTATCACGAATGAAGACTAAACAAAGATAATTATCCAATTTTAAGCCAAATCCTTATTTAATCCATACAAAGGTTGATTTGTTCTATTCATGTTCTGCTCGTGTTTCAGAAACCATGATGACAGGCGCCCACGACAACAAATGGACGGATTATATTCCTACGTATTCCCATCACATTCATCTGGTTCACGGACAGTAATTGAGCCACCGCACCGAGTTCAAACTGTCCCAGTCCAGAATTTCCCGGTACAGAACGTCCCAATACAGTCTGTTCCAGTACAAACCCTACAAGCACATAGTGTTCCTGTCGAGACCGTTCCTCTGCAAACAGTTCAAGCAGTAAACACAGTTCCGAAAATGATCCAAACAGTTCGGACTGTTCCAGTACAAACGGCTCAAGCAGTACAGGGTGTTCCTGTACAAACGGTTCAAACAGTACAGGGTGTTCCTGTACAAACGGTTCAAACAGTACAGGGTGTTCCGACACAAACGGTCCAAACATTTCAAAGAGTTCCAGTGCAAACAATGCCTGTCCAAACACTCCGAGTTGAAGCACAAACCTACCCTGGGGAAACTGGAGAAACAACTGTGAAAACGTAAGCAACTGTATCATATTTCCGATCGATGATGATGACTGTCATATTTCGAATTGCAAATACAATGAAACCTTTATACCTGAACCAGTAACGTAGCCAGGATTTGGTGACTAAGGGTTCTATTTTTATGTTATCCACAATTCATTGGGGTTCCTTACATAAACCAATTTTGTTTTTTCATAAATACAATTTACACCCCCTCCTAAATTTTGGCAACCGTATCTCCCCCATGGAGTGTGTAAGCCGGCTATGCGAACATATCTCTAATCCGAAACACTTGTTAATCCGAAAACATTTGGCTGGACCAAGAGGCGTTCAGATAAAAACAAGTTTTATTGTTACAGAAAAAAAGAAATCAGTAAGAAATACAGTCCTGTAGCCAACAGTCTAAATTGCATTGTTTCTAAATGCTTTCATTCGAATCATTTGTTGTGTTTCAGGTCGGATCCAAACTATCAGCCTACTTACTGGCGTAGAACATCCGCTAAACGCTCCAAATCTTTCAAAGGCCGAGGAGACAACTACAGTTACGATGATGGTGGGTTCTATGGCTCAGTGTAATATAAGATATGATCATAATTTAAACGAAGAAACAGTTACTCGCTACTCTACTTCTACCTCAGCCTCAGAAGTATTTCCAATGAAATATCGAATATGCCCGTAAATTCTTAAGATGTTTCGTGGACCTTGAGCCATCCTTCATCAAAGGGCTTCATTTATTTTACAATTTTGGAAAGAACTGAAATACCCATGGACCAATGATGACTTAAGCATATATTACTTATGGTAACTGGACAAGGGGAATGCCATTAATATGGTGAAGCGATGGTGGATAGAAAAGATTTGTCAAGCTGTAAAATGTCTTGGACGTGTCAAGATCGAATTGTATACCAAAGGACAAATCGAATACTAAAATATATGTGGACCATGTTTATTATGTAACTCGATCTTTGCATCAAGATTTGAAGGAAGATATTAGTTAGACTATGTATATCTATAGTATATCTATTGAGATAAATGTGTGATTTCCTAGTGTGGGGACGAGTTTGAAATGAGCTGGTATTGTTTCGCAAGCGAAGGGTGTATGGTGGGAAAGGAGGTGTCAGTGATGTGACGGATGGATGTATTGTGCCAATATGGCCATGGTGTCCTATGGGGAAGGTGTGGTTTATGTCAGACGGGTGTCGATTAGGACGTAGGGAATTAATTGTGGCATGGGTGTATTCTAGGCGAGAGGTGTAATTCAAACCTACGTGTGAAAGGTGCAACGTATTTATTTATTCTGCCCGGCCTACCTGGGGGTTGACAACGAGGATATACAGATGCTTTTCACAAAATAACGTGTTTTATTGTGGCACGTCGCCTAAAGTTTACAATCAACTCGAATTGACCTCTTCAGTTTACATTTAGTTAACCAGTTTGATCTCGCAGATAAAATTCTGTTCGAAAGAACATGGATGGTCGTGCCATCTATAAAAGTCTGGAGCCCATAGAACGTGGCACAATTGACTCCCACTTGTCCCTTGCACCCCACGCCATGGTGCAAAAGACATTGGCTGAGTCGCAAAAGACGCTCCACCGATCCACTCCCAATGCCCATTTATTGACGTCCCACCAGTAAAGAAAGAATCGGCTGATTCACCTGGCGATTTCATACCTTTGCGTTTGATTTCAGAGTGTATAAAATCGAACTCCTCTTGTGTTTCTATAGCAACCAAGTTTGCTCCCATGGCGATACAGACTGTAAGGCAATTGAACCATGTCAGTTGTCGTCTCGTCACAAAATTGTAACATGACCCAAGATCCTTGTTGTACGTGAAGTTCGGAGGACAACTTTGGACACCGCCTTAAATATAGATAAATATACTCAGTAAAACATTTAGTTTTCGGTTTTGAATTAAGCTTAAGTTGACCAAAACATTTGAAATGAAAATACTTTCAAAAATATATTTCCTACGAATATTTGAAGTGCTGAATATACATTGCACAATTATTACATAAACTCATACAATTTTATTCTTTTAACAATTTTTTAACCATTTTTGTTTTTCAACAATTTGCCAACTTGACACGGATGCTTTTCACTAAGCCGACATATACTAGAATGTAACGGTTACAAGCCTATTTATTAAAAGACAAACATAAAACTTTAAAAAATTATTTCCTTAAGTGGCAGCCTAATTAATAAAATTGAGATATTTAAAATTAAATTACCCTTATTTTCGCACTGCTTCAGATCGTTCTTACATGCATTAAGTTGCTTATTGCAACCAGTACATGAACCTCCAAGAGTGCTTGGCAACCACGTTACTATGACAATTACAGCAAACAGCATCTTCTATTCCCTCAATGTCTTCTTCCTTGTCAATGATTTCGCTGTGATGACTTCTAGATTCTGTCAGTGTAATTCTATGAATTGATATGAACTAGATCGCGCATGCCCGATGGGATACATGTCATATACACCCTTGCTCATATATCTGGAATGTTGGGCACTTCACAAAAGTCTTAATACTAAATTCACAAATAGCTAGGCAAGCTATGTTCAATTCTAGCCAATCAGAAACAGTATTTCACATAATTGCACTACATTATTTAACGAACAACCCACCACCACAATAATACACCAAGGTCATTTTTAACCTGGTGAACTAATGAAACCGATAAGCTGTTCAATTTCATAGTTGAGTAAAAATCTATAAATAGTATCATAAGGAATAACGAGCAAAGTGCTCATGCATGTCAAATGGTAAGTGTTGAATGGTTGTCTGGGTGATAAAATTGCAGCTGTCCATAGCAGAGGCCGGGAGCAGAGGTTTCTTGCAAAAAGAATTACTCGTAATTCCAGTTATGGAATGACTGCGCTGCATGCAAAGATTTGAAAACAACACCTTAGTGGAATGATTGATCAGACTATGCATTGAGTCCAGGGCTGAAATCCTTTAACAATTGCTTAAGTTATGATTGACTAGAAGAACTTTAATTGTTCTAAAATGTCCAGTTAAGAACTTCATTCCAGGAAACTTTAATTTGTCTCAAATACAAGTATATGTCCTTTTTCAAATATTGTGGATTCTGACAAATCAATTCCCTGAAATCAAATTTTTGTTCCTAATCAGTATGTGAAAATATACATGTAATAGCAAAATTTCTATGCATTAAAATCTTAGAACAAAATAAGGGAAACGATGATAAAATGAAACCGTCCACGAATTTGAGCATCAGTGTATTATGGTATCCCTTCCAAATGTGCGCAATATAATATGTTGCACATTATAATATTTCACATTTGACCCTTTGATATGCAATTTCAATTTTTATTTTGAACAGCATCATTTCAATTTTGATTACAATTATCTGGTTTTATATCAATACTTTTGTCACATGTGTTAATAACGGATTAGCAGCGATTACAGGAATCTCCCCCCCCCCTGGGTTCATGATAAACACAATAAATATCATTTATAGCCAGGTGTTATAACAGTCAATGGATGTACATGTATGCATTTATTTTTTAGAATTGATACTTTATTGTCATTGCTGATTTAATATCTGAAGCTATTCAATCCTTACAATGCTCAACACATCGTTCCATCAGCATTAATGTTATTGCCTCTACCCATAACTGAAGTATGCATTTACTCAATTTTGCTTTTATTTCAATAATAATAGGAAACAGACACATAAATCAGATTGGCCCTAGTATTATCACATTACAGTAGCTGTAAAGATGCGGTTTCAATGAAGAACATTGCACATAGCTCTTATTAGATTACACCGTCTTCTTCTAAAAAAAACCGTCTTCCTATAATCCAGTACCCTTTGCATTCATTCGACTTCACTTCTTAAAAGAGAGCTTCGTCGTTTATAACTAGACTCCGCGCACAGGGTAATAATCCAGCTTTTTAAAGTAAATATATATGCACATTTAAAAAGATAAAGATGAGTAAATGAATAACATATTAATTAAATATTACTTTGATTATTTATTATCTTATGACCTTTTCGTATCACCATTAATATATTTGTTCTACAGTGCATTCTGCAGTTAATCTACAAATATTTCATAATCAAAAATATAATTTCACTTCATTATAACGCACATTTGCAAATGCACGTACAGTATGTCAATGACACAAAATAAATATCATTCTTCAAGTTCTGCCAAGGTCCAAATAGATTCAGGGGCTAACATGAAGATTAACAAGGAGTCAGGAGGCCATTGCTCAAAACTATTAGTTATTAACGAAAAGTTTTTTACAAAAAGTTTCGAGCAATGGCCTCCAGGAACATTATTTTGGAAATGCCTCATGAACTAAATATTTTGTATATTTGCGCCAACATTTTTCCAAATAAGACCCATTTGAAAAATTAAAATAAAATCCCCAGTCAGTACTAGCCGTTGGCCAGTATAGTTTGCCAATACCCTACAAATGTACATATCCTTGATTTACATTAAAACAATCCTTCAATATGTACAACAATTCACACACTACACCCCCATAAAAAGACTTGGCATAAATACACCTAAATGTTTACATGTACATGTACAACCCAATCAAAAATCTGAGAATAATGTGTACATCTTTCTATGTCCCTATAAATGTCTATACCCTGTTACGTGTGTATTTTCTACACAGCCTTCAAAATAAGAACATGCATTACACAATGTATTGCATGTCTACACAACATTTCCATGTTAATTATTCAAATAAAACCTTAAACACCCAAGATATCTCAGTCAAAAGGTCAGAGACAATATTAAGAAAAATGTGTATGTTATGCTGGTGGTGATTAAGGTGCATAGCTTATTTTGTATGACTTGAACTTGTGACATTTTGATTCTATGTATAGTTTGTCAACCATCACTACCAACTCACAGGATGAAAACAAAGAATATACTTATAGTACCCCACACAAGTTTTTGTTACATATTTTGTCATAATGAAGCAAAAGATTAAAGTCCAAAGCAGTGAAAATGTTATTACTGGACAATACAAATATTTATATGACTTGCATTTCATCAACATTTTTTGAATTTACAAAAATAAATTGGACCACATCATCCAATTCTTTTGAATTTTTTCCATTACATCAAAGTATGCTATGTATGCAACATGTGTGTGGGGTACTATGTACAATTTTGTTTCAATCATAATTGAGCCCCATGTAATAACTTGTTTTACATTTTATGCGAAATTACATATTTTCATATACAGCTTCAATTGATATTAAACTTAAACCCTGATATAAAATCAAATGAGATAAATGAAGTATCACACATAATCACCTCGTTTTAACATGTTTAAAGTGGCAACAAAGACCAGACATTTCATAATATTCTTTGTTCAAAACATTCCTTGTCATGCCTATTTTTAAAGGCCTAACATTTTTGACTTTATTTCATGGTGATTTGATTCTAATTTTGGCAGTAATTGTGAAAGGATGGATTCCAACTTTTCCAATTCCATTAAAATCGAATGAAAAATAAATCTCAATAACATCCTTATTAGATCAGATATCTCTTCTTTTTTCAGATAATGAAATTGCCATTTTACACCTTCCATTGTTTGCAGTCACTAAAACAAAACAAAATTTATATTCCAGGCCCGTAGTCAGGGGGGCCCGAAGGATTAACACCGGCCCTCTGGCCAAAAAGTCTCAAAATCATGCTATTTTCATCATTCTGAGCAAATTTCAAGTGATTGTGGGCCAATGTTGTCAAATTTGAACCCCCTGAAATTTTTGAAAATTGAACCTTGGAAAACCTGGGCCTATAGTCAGAGACAGTTACAGAGCATTTCATCATGGTCCATTTGTATAGATATTTTATACTCAAGTGACTTCCTCAGCAAACAGTTGATTACAGTTTTAAAAGTTACCTTGCAACTGGTTGATAATCCATTTGCACCCAATTGATGAACCTTGCATTATTTGAAAATCCATAGATTCAAATTTCAAACAAACAAAGCCTTATGATACAAGGATTAGTTTGAGACATTTCATAATCAGAATTAGTAAAATAAGATTTTTGCATACCATGGCTAAAACTCCTGGAGGGAGCACTATCATATTCATTATTACAGTATTCTATTCTACCAACAGAGCAAACATATGCTTACTTTCTTGTGAAATTAGAATAAATGTTTATATTATTTTAAACAGTCCCTTTTTGACAGTTACTGTACATTTTAAAAGCTTCCAACTTATTTATGCAAGTACAATATAAGCCTTTCATTCCAAAGCATTTCGTTGTACTGTCTTAATGTCAACGGCTTATATGTTTCACCCTTGAACACATCTTTAGGGCTGTATTTGGCTCATAAACAAACAAATTACCGAAAATGCAACTTCCGTCAACACGTCTTATAACAGCTCCCTACAAACCCATAATTTCAAGTACTAGTATAAAAACTACCCACAATACCTTGTCGAGACTAGACCTGGTCAGGACAGTCTAAATTGTGATCACAATAAAATGTTCGTAGAATTTTAGTTATTTGATGAATGCCATCTATATAAGCCTGTATATCTCTCAGTATTTGTGGCATAAAGTCCATATTTGATATATCATAATCTACAGATGCTAGGTGCTGTAAGAAGTCTTTTCTATATGGAACTGACTTTAAAGCCAACTGAAAAAAAATAAAAACAAGAAATTAAGTTTCTTTATTTTCTCAATTTTTTCACATTTTGGTTATGTTCAGCTGCCCACTGAAAAATAATTCTGTCAATTCTTAATTCAATTTCACCTAAGCCAAAAGACTACTTAAAGACATTTGACTGGGTCACAGCACTTCGCATATAGCAGTGACTTAACAATAGTATATCATTCGTTAACTAATTATTAATGACAGTTGAAGTTTTCGAGACATACTAACCGCAAACACCCCCCTGACTACCCATCCATGGAAAGGTCTGAGTGTTTTACTGTATGCATTACTGGCCCCTGACGCCAAATCCTCATCTCCTCTTATGACTTCATGGAGAAATTCAGCAATAAATTCAACAGCCCTGAAACACAATGTTTGTAGATTATGAATTTATTCAAATAATAATACACAAAATGAATCAAATAAGTACATGGCATATAAGTACATGGAATGAGCTTTTAAATGCCATTTATCATATAAGGAGCATCGGAAAGTTCAAAAAAGGCACAGAAAATGTCAAAATATTCAGACAATACAGTACATAATCATTCATAGACGATGGCTATATAGACTATATATCATGCTTATTCGCACGCACACACACACAGAAAAAAGCATCATTTCTACCAACCTTTTGAGCCACAATAAGGCAACGGTAGCAGAATTGGAGTTTTCTTGTTGGTTGTTCTTTATCTCGTATTGCACAATGTCCTGCAGTGTCTCAAATTTCCCTGGATCTGATGTGAATTTTTGTCTTATTTTCTGAAAAAAGGAGGATTTAGTAGGTAAACTACAGAATATGTACAATAATCAAACTAATCAAGACAGGATTCTATTCTATACACAAAGACAGACTCAATATAACATAAGATGTTCTTCCTTAGGTATTTACTAAATAATTCCATTCATAAATATCTTGTATTGTATTTGTTCCTCTTCTTACTACTGTATGTCTTCTGTTCCCATTTGGTGCTTGTGTTTACATATTTATACTTTGTTTGCAATGCCATCTTTTAATGATACAGAAAGTTGTTTCACCAATAATGCTACATGCTTATTTAATACCCGGGGCTTAGTTCTGGGCTTTCAATAGCAGGGGGCGAGTGTCCGAAATCGCCGTTTGTTTTCGATAATTTGCCGTTTGTTAGAAGTCAAATATTGTCTAAGTTTGGGGGGAAAATATAAGTCTTCTATAGACTATCCTTTATTTTATTCAGCGATCTTGTTTTGCACTTCCTTGTCTATGATTTGTACCTCAGTTTCGAACTGCAATGGAACTCACTATAATCGTAAGGATCACTTGATCTCATTATAGTAGTAAACACCGTCCAATTTTGTACCTGTTTGGGCTATGGATTTTAGATCACTATCTGACCACTATCATGTGCATGATAATTCAAATTCCAACCTTTGGTATAATCAGAGTTGGTTATTTTTCACTGGACATGCAGTTACATGTATGATTGATACAACTCTGTCCAACCAGTCACAGTACAGTCTACCCTGCGTCAGTGCGTGCAGAGTCTAGTTAAACTACTGAAGATGAAGAAGCTCTCTTTTAAGAAGTGAAGTCAAACGAATGCAAAGGGTAAGTACAGTCCTTCCAATGGGTGTAAAATTGTATTAATCAGTTAAAGGCCCCATATAAAGTTTAAACCACTTTGGCTTATATTTTTGTCTTATCCAATGTTATCAAAGCGTGAAATGTGAAACTTTTTATTAATTTCAAAAATGTTTTTGAAGGACTTTTTGTTTAAAATATCGTGAATTTATTCAAAACTAACTTTAAGAGGTCACACTAATCCTTTAAAGCGATAATTCACACCGATGTATAGCAATCATCCTCACTTGTTCTTTTGCCGACAAAATCAAGAAAATTGGTTGATAGGTGAGCGAGCAATGAACTCATCCATGCATGAAAGTGGTTCAGGGAAAGATGCATTTCAAAATTTTAATTCTCATAGAAACCAATGGTAAACTAATATTAAAAACATATTCATCCTTTTAACCTGGTTTAGTCAAAATTGGTTTATTGTTTAGCATATTTAGAAAAGATTGACATTGAAAAATGTTGCCACCTAAGTGATGTCACGATGTGGTCACTTAGGTTGAAAATATTTTCGATATGCTAAATCATTAAATTGGCACATTAGATATAACATTTTATTTTTAACATGGTGTGTCCGTTATATATTGGTGTTAAAAAGATATAGAGGTTCTTATATGAGTACCTGTGCAAGATCGTCCATTCTTGATGAGATTTAATAATTCCTCTTTATCGAGTCGCAGACGAGATAAAGAAACATTATCAAAGCGACTGTCGGATAAATTATGAATGTAGTTTCGCACAGGTGTCAACGGAACCAAACAGTGAACCCCGCTTTCCCGAACCCGAGTTTCCAGAATTCGCCTCGCATGCCTTCGACTCTTTCTCAAGATTTGGGCCCTAATTTTCTCAAAATATATTGTACCCCGACATTATCATCCTGGTGTCTCGTTTATAACACCCTTGTAATTACAATGTGAAGTTACTTAAGCATGATAAAAAGTGTATGTGTGGATGGGGGGAGGAGGTTTGACCCCCACTTACCAAAAGCTGGGACATGTATACCTTTATATACTCAACCGGCCAAGTATTAACAGTACAAAAGGGAGAAAAAATCCACCAGGTCCATAATTCTACACGTTCACGTACAAGTTTAAAAAAGTGTATCTTAAATTTATGTAGAACTACGCCTTTGTACAAGCGACGCATTTTCACAGGTGCGTCTTTACAATGAAACACAATAACGAGAATTGCAACTTTAGGATCTTGAAAAAAGTTGCAATATTCTTCCTGGTTAGAATAGGTTTCCACGTACAACTAGAAACACTATATAAAATAACTATCTATACACCATCAATGCAAATATATGCTTTCTTCCATTCTGATACTCATGGCATCTTTCTGTTTCACCTGAAACACAGGGCTGAGAAGAAATGAGATGTCATGGCTTATCATGATGGCTTTCTTCGAGAATACATAATGCGGGCCCGGGAATGCGGGGTGCCACATTCATTGCAACACACCTTGCAACAATGTCTTATATGAGGGTAATTTCTTATATTGAGAAGTTTATCATCTATTGAAATTAAATACTTGTAGCTACAAAAAGCGAATTTGTTTGAGCAGTCCTAGCTCGACATATTGAAAACAATATTTACAACATGGTATTCTTAGTAGACTGTTCAATTTGGAATTTCGAAGTAGCCAAACATCAGCTTTCTAACAAAAATCATCATTAAAGGATTTTATCAAAGTCTTCCATGCAAATGAAGGTGTGAATTCACATTAACAAATTAAGATTAGATCCACAATATGTTATCAAATGGTTAAATGCGCAAAATGTGTAGATATGTTTTCCTTAATAATGTGTGAGGAGGTCTTTCAGGCAATTTTCGAAAACGTAGTGAGAACAAGTTTGGTGTAGAGGGGAGGGGGATATCTCCCACCTCGGTCTCTCTCTAATGCCTTGGCCACATATGCGCCGGGCGCCGGCCGATGATTAGTCATCGGCCGATTTCTAAATCAATTTCGACAATAATTATCTAATTCGGCAATTTTAGTTACAAAACATGAAGGTACATTATGTAAAATTTTGAAGACAATTGGTGCATATTTAACAAAATACCGGCACCAGTCCTGTTACTTTTGGAACACCCTGTATGTCACCATTTCTGGCAATGTCTGGAGGCGGTAAAAACTAAAATGAATCTGATATACACATAATCACAAGTGAATCATCTATTAATACATCACTCTCATTTTAATAATGACAATTCTAGATTTTGATTTCTATTAAAAGTGTTCAATTCAACGGGTGCATTTGGATTTGTGAAATGCAACCTGTGTAAGGGTAAGTTATCTTATAAAAGGTAAATGACATTCTATATAAGTTGCCCTAGTCATTCCACAGTTCCAGGTGTTATTTTGTGGAGCCCATGTCTTGTCACATCACACGAGGAAATGACTTTGACAAACCTTGGACATCTTTCTTTCAGTCCATGGACTCTAAAATAACAAGAATTTGTATTGTCGGGAGCGTAAAATTGGTTATTTTGAATGCCGCCTCTTGTATTTTTCATCTGCCCCTTGTACACAAAGTTACTGAAACCACTGTAGTTGTGTACAAACCGAAACGAGAAACGGCGCAACATCCGGGGCTTTGTTTGGTCTTCATTAGACAATGGTGTATAGGGGGTAGGTTTTCTCAGACCTAGGTACCTTTTTCTGTACCGTTTTGCGGTTATTTTACTCTATAGCATTTGAATCTGTTCACATCATGAGCTACATAATTGATTAACTTAAATATATGACATGTAAAAATGGCTTGATATGAACAGAATAAACAGGGAAATGTACTTGAAGTGGCGATTGTGTTTTCTGTTAATGTGTGTCACCCTGCTTCGGAAATCTCTCATAACAGTCTATGGCTCACGTGATTATGCAAATGAGAAAACCCCATTTGTTTCCAAGTGGTACAATAAAATCTGACGCGGACAATCTTTGTTTTACCTGTTGTTTCTGAATGGTTTGTGACCAAAATTCACTTAACTATAGAAAATATGTTACGTTATAAGGATAGATTGATTTTATTAAACAATCATCAACATGTGCCCCCAAAGGGGGGTAAGACACATCGTCAGAAAATATTTTAAGTTCTCACACCCCTAAGTTTAATCATGGACCTGAAGTCCACGGTTTAATTGGCTAATTCAAATCGGATGCGGTTAAAAACAGAACGCCAATTTGCGAACGTTCCGAGTATTACGTTTGCCCTTGCATAAACCCCCATAAACCTCTTGTGGTCTTGTGTCAATGTTCAATTGTGATAATAAAATATTGGAACCTCCCAAGACTAAGAGGAAATATTAATGGCAGTCATATTTTAATATGACTGCCAACTTAAACGATAGAAAATAATGAGAAAAAAACTAAGCAGACATGTAGCCAATGCTTTTAATTGTACAGAAATGCAAGAAAATGATTCAGTTCATACAAAGTCTAGAGAGAAAAGAGTGAAACAGGCATGCCTTGAGACTATAAACTAGAATATTTCACATACCTTAATGTTACCTGCTATGTCCATCTTTACAGGAGCAAATGCTGTTGCACTCAATTTATCTAAAATATAGCATTTTCAATAATTAACGAGGCATTATAGTGATAAAACCATTTCACCACCTCGAAATGGTTACAAAAGTGTAACGAACTGTTACAGATGCCAAAAGGAGCATTGGTCAGCAAAAGTGAAGCCTATTACAATGTCAACATTTCTTGTCGCTTTGGAAGGATAAAGACAAAGGGGGCACGGCTATCGCAATGTTTCTTGCTAGAGATTTCGAAAAAACACCAAGAGGTTTTTTGGCAAGCGTGGTTACAAAACTATCATAAAAGTTGACTATATAACATATCAATCAAAGCAAATTATTTATATGTACTGTATAAGTTCGAGACAATTTTTAAAGCAAGATTGCAAGTTAAATGAATTAGCCCAGTACTGATGGAATGTTGGCTTCAATACATATCCTTTCTTTGTTATCATTTATTAACCAATTCTATCATTTTTACTATTGGAAGGAGTCCAATATATGGTATGACACATTATTTTAGAAGTTTCTAAAACTACATTGAAACCTGGAAAGTGAAACACCTCTAGATGTGAAACCCTTCTGTTAGTTGAACACTTCAGAATTCCAAGACCAACTGACTTAATGTTAAATTAACCTGTGGAACATTTTAGAGGTACCAAAGGTGTTCCACTTACACAGGTTTTACTGCACATGCAAAACAACAATGTCTGAGAATTTGCCCTTTTGGTGAAAGTGAAAATATCTGACACCCACTTGAAAACCATGTGGATTTTTTGAGTGAATGACAAGATTAGAGATTTTTTCATCTGGTTTGTAAAACGACAATCGAAAAGCAAATCTGACTTACCAAAAATCGGTAATACTGCATGACAGGCTTCTAAGAAGGTGAGGACTGGAATGCCACCACCTGGTCGCACTGGGATCTCTGAGAAACTAAAACAAAAAATATGAAATAGATTTAGCACTTTGAACCCCGAGAGTGTTTCCTTGTGCTTCTATACAAATAGGAGAGTTGGATATAAAAATCAAAAATTAAGTTCATTTTTCAGGGGAAAAGCAAAGCTGTGATCAGAGGGGAGAGACATTACATACAAATATGTACAACAAGTATATATAGCTATATATATTACTATATGATGTATTATGAATTTATACAATTAATGCAACACAACAAGCTCGAGTACTATCTTTACTTGATGTAACCAAATCTAATTACCACAGTGTGCCAGTGTTTTAAAAATTCAAGTTCAAATAGATAATAAAAAGAAAACTTTGTTTAATTTCAAATGGCACGTCAAAACCTAAGTGCTGACCCTACAATGATATCAGCTGATTGTCCAAATGACGCAGCACTTGAGGCTTTGAGTACCTCCTTTGATCTGACCTTAAATGCAATGCAGTAAAAAATTACCCATGAGAAAACTATCACACTGATGATGTGTTTCATATTTTCTCTCTAAATTTTTCATAACCTGATGTTCATCCATACAATTTGGAATGTTAATTACATGTCAGTTTGTTCTAATCCTTGCTGATTCCACTCTTTTCACTCATGTTTGTATTTGAAAATATGACCACTGTGACATTTTTCTTATTGGACGTATATGGCATGATACATGTACCATCATTCAACCTATAATTGGTAATATTTCTTGACAACATAAAGTCATTTTCAAGTTCCTTCATTCATAATTGATAAACCCATGTGTTCTTGAAGGTCAGTGATGTTTAATTAGCATTACCATTAAGCATGACAGTTTCATAAGTATTTCTATATTTAATATAAATTCGATGGTGGCTAAATTCTCTCAATCAATCAGAATCTTTATAACTTGATAATGGACAAATTGCGTGCATGAAAATATTCAAATTGCCTATGACCTAGATCCAGGACTCAATACTTCTTGATGATTCTGATGAATTCAATATCAAAGTTTGAGCTTCCAACTCCTCTTATTAGAAAATTGAGAGCCAACGGTAAGAAACTTTTTGATCGGCCCTTGTATTACATCAACATTATGGCTCATAAAAGGAAATTTAGTAAAATTGAATTCAAGCTAAATTTTGAAAATACTCATTTGGAATATGTATTGAATTAGAGGTCAGAATTGTTATGGATGTACCCTTATCACATATGTATCAACTCTTTTGAACATTTTAAAGACAAAATAAATAAAACACAATATGCACAAATTCACTTACCATACTTTCATATTTGTAAAAAATGTTGGATATACACGCTCTGTTGTTCGCCAATTTGTGACCCCATTGGAATGTGGTTTATGTGTTACAATATTATCAGCAGTTGCGATGTCTTCCCCCTGCCCAATTTCATCATCCTGGTCGTCATCAAGATCGTAAAACTCATCTTGATCTTTAGATGGCGCTCTTCTGTGCCCACCACCACCATGGTCTGATTTATGTGGCGTTTTCTCGGGAATATCATACTGAGACATAGGATCATCTGGTGTGTCATGGTGACCATGATGTGTCCTGTGTGCCTTATGATGTGTCAATTTTGGAGTGTCTAGTTCTGATCCTGTTTCACTTCCTTCTGAGGCAGATATCCTAGATCGGGGGACAATTTGGACAGAGCTTTCCCTTAAATTGGGAGGCGGAATGTGTCTGAAACATACAAAAATAATAAAACACATGAAATATTTATCATTTAATATACATGTATATCATTTATAAAGATTAAACCTTTGAGTAAGAGCCATGATTATTATCTTGATTTAAAACAAACAAAATAAATAACTTTTAAAAATTCCCGGGAGAAGGAAATATTGCTTGTGGTATTGTATTGTGATTTTGATCCAAGTGGGGAAAGGGCAACAATTGAGTATCTTTATTGCTAATTATGATTGATGCACATGATGTTAAATTAAAATACATATTTTATTAAAGTAAAATAAAAATCTATTGTTTCTCAAAAAACTTAGACTAGGGATAGTTTCAAACAAGTCAATACAGTATATGTATTGAAAAAAACACATTCTCATCCACTACAATATACATATATAACATTTTCTGCACAATCAGGTCTGTATATACCAATACTGTGTATATGGAAGAAATAAACAATGGTAGGAAGAAATAAACAATGGTAGGAAGCCACAAAAACAGCTGTTTGACATAACAATCATGGCACTTTGACCTGCTAACATTTTATCTCAAAGGGAGCCAAACACCCATAATCCTTAGCAAAGTCATGGGACTTATTTTGCTATCTAAAATTTGAATGATTCGCATAGCTTTTGGCATTTCTATACAATTAAGATTGCTGACTTCATGCCTCACTTGACCCTTCAGTAACATCATTATTTTACTCTCTCTCTCTATTCCACTTTAAAACATTACTCCAATGTCTATGCCTCAGATTACTAGCTTATCTATGTATTTCAACATTAGAATCAAAGTCAATATTATCCCAACTCAAAGTCTGAATATCAAGATCGTACACATTGAATCGATGATGGCCAAATTCTATGTTAATAGAGTACTTGTTTTCTGTTTCACTGATTATCTTTCACACAAATGTATTTTTTAAATTCTAATGAATTTACTTTAAAAACACCAAAAATAATATTTATCTAATGTTAATGTTTTTAGTTGGGACATCCAGTGCAAAAATCAGTAGCAACATGTGTCCTATTGTCTCCCGTAGGAAACACCTCTCAGAGCATAGTACTTCAGTATTGTCTCAAGGAGAGTTTTATTTTACTGGATCATATTAACAGTGTAATGCCAAGTAGATTAGATTCACCACTCTTTAATTTTGAATAAGGGCAGAAATCAATTTTCATGTCACCAGAAGTGGTATCATATTGTCATAGGAACTTTTTATGGACAGTGTTTGGTGTTTGGAGGTCAGTGTTTGGTGTCTGTAACAAATGGTAGGTGGTGATATTTTGTGTTTTAATGCCTTGTTATACCTTATTATTTAGAGCACAGTTAGACCTTTAATTCGATGTTTTTGAAGTCTAATACCTTAGAACTGAATCGCTTGGACCGGACCCTTGGACCAAGAAAAATCACCAAATCAGGAAAGGAATTTAGAATAAAGAATAGATGTGCTGACCCTTCGTCATGTTTTGTAATTTAAAACAGAGAGCAAAAGAATGGAATCAGGCAGTAGAGAATAATATTGACAGATATGAAGTGTACTCTAAATACTACAATATCTTCTCACCAAAAAACACTGATCGTTTCCAATTTTTTCATCTTCTGATTGCAGGGCTCGCAGACATCAGCCACTGCATTCCTTCCTTCTCCAAAGAAGACTCAGTTACCATTGCCTTATTCACGCGGTACTAACTTCGACCGTTAATTTGAATTTTTGACCTACCGGATGTTTGAAAATCAAGGATTACGAGTCTCAAAATGCACCGTTTTTCTTCAAACTTGTTCCATTCAAAGCATAACAAAAATCCCTTTCTGTTGGTACATTATTCTCTTAAACAGAGTCCCTACTTACAGCGGCATTTTGGTCCCCAGCTGTAAGAAGGCCTTCTCACAGCTGGGGACCACAACGCTGCTAGAATGAGGGACTCTTTACAATAAAGTAATGCATTGACAGAAAGGCAATTTTGTTTTGCTTTTAATGGTATAAGTTTGAAGAAAAAAACAGTGCAGTATGAGACTCGCAATCCTTGATTTTCAAACATCTGGTAGGTCAAAAATTCAAATTAACGGTCGACGTTAGTATCGCGTGTTATTGAAGCTCAAAAAGTTTGTAGAAATATTGGTTTCTTTTCATGGAAGAACGAACTGAAGGCCTGTGTTCGGATGATGCAATTTTTACTCTATTTCGAATTTCAAAACATGACCAAGGGTGGCTGATCTGTTATATTCTCCACTTTACATCCCATATCCTATCAAGGAGGAATTATTCTGCTTGAGGTAACCTTATGACAGAAAACACTGACCTGTTTCTTGTAAGGAACATTGTGAATATGGAAAACATAATCCATACACTAAGCAGCAATACAATAATTTTTCTCAAATTCTTCGAGATCCCCGCCATTGTACTCCAGATGTGCTTTGAAGTAATTTTATCTGATTTAATATCCTTTAAATCCTCCAAAGTTCCTTTAACTGAGATTATTTTAAACTGATCTTTGTTCATATTTGACATTTTGTGGCAATGATTTCTTTCTGCATTGTTTCTTGGTGTCCCTAAGTTTCAATGTAGAGTACATCTTTATCTTTATATATTGTTTATTCAAAACTAATTGACACAATTCTGAAACGTCGTAATCACAAAGTTCAACAGCTTTCCAAATTGCTTCAACAAATTAATACCCAAAGTCTTGTTTGTGATCTCAAATAAGGAACTACATTCTTTGAGTGTCTGCCAAGAACTGTGTTTGTGTACATGTACAACTAACTAGATACCTGTGACTAAAACTACACTTTACTGGAAGCAAAAACATCATGAAGATCACATTGCAAACCAAAATAGAGTGATATGGAGTGGAATTAGCAAGGAATAAAGTAAATGGACATGTAGTTGATCCTAAATTATATAGAAATGACAAGAAATCAAACACTGCAGTCACATTTAATAGGAATGAAATTGATGGGCAGAGAAAACTAAAGCATTCATTTATAGGCTAATTACTCTCTCCAAAATCAGTAAAATTGGTAACTATTTTTTCATTTGGCAACATTACAAAATATGACCAAAAGTCCTTATGATTCCTTGTAATTTCCAAATTCTGTCTATTTAGCTTATTTGTTGCACTAAAGCAAGATATCCCTGATACATAAATCTTATTCGAGAGTAACATTCATGCCAAGGTTTCTACAGTCCAACACATTGCCACATAAAATGCCTCAACTGCAAGCAACACCATCCTATCATTAACATGAGAGATTAATGAAATACTTGTGTTTTCTTAGAGCTGTGTTGAAGTCTATCTAGGCTCACTCCAGAATCAGCTGTTCTTTTAATGCACAAAAACAAAGTTCAAATCCTGTTATACCTCGTGTACTTTTACTTATAATACACAGTAAACAATAAATAAAAAAAAATTATGAGAATCCAGAAAAAAATTTCTCCTTAATTTCCTCTTTTTATTTCCTCAAATTTCCTTACTTATTTAAAATAATTAATGTCTATTAATTTTTTATATTATTTCTATTTCCTTTGACTCATGTACTGTAAAAACCCAATAGATTGCCGTTGTAATAATTTTCATGGGGTCATATTTAAATATCAAACATACAGTGAAAAGAGTGGAACCGGCAAGAAATAAATAGACCTGATATGTTATTTTCACTCTGAATTGTAGAGAAATGGAGGAAAATGGGACAGTTAACACAAATCCTGGAGGGGAACCTGTGAAGTGCGATGTACGCAAGATGAAATTTGAGCACGGGAAAGAGCTACTGATATCTAAATTATGGTTAATGAATAATCATACAAAAATTCATCAGCTTTATAATCTCCAACACAATACATAGATAATATACACTCATATATTATTATTGAAGTTCTTAAGACACATGAACTAGATTTAGATGACCTTTTCCCCTTTTTAAAGATAATGCACAAAACTATAGATTAAAATAAATGTTAATCAGTACGATACTTATTCGGACACATATTACAATTTCCTATAATGCTGAATATATGTTTATTTATTTTAGAGACTTAAAATACAATCTACACTCGATAAAAAGTCACAAAATAAAATATGAATCTTTGATTAAGTTTAACAGAGCAAAGAGCAAATGTGTTGAAGATCAGAGAAGACATTTTAGTTAAGTACATTACAGTGCTTTAGAACTCATAGCCTTGAATCTCTAGTGTAACATTTATAATCCTATTAAGTAATTAATATACTTTATATCATCATAGCACTTGACATTATCTCAAAAAAAGAACTTAAAAGTTAAACTGTACATGTACTTTAGGCCTAAAAGAAATTCAAATGCATAAGAGGGATCTAATGAGAAATGAATTGTATTGCATTGCATTGCATTTTATTGTATTGTATTGTATTGTTTTGTATTGTATTGCATTACATTGTTTTGTATTATATTTGTACTGTTTTGAATTGTATTGTATTGTATCATATTGTATTGTATAATGTTTTGAGCAGTAACCTCTAAGGTTACAATTATCCCTTACTTTACAGTCATGATTTTATGCGTGAAACCATGAAGACAGACCTACTAAGCCAAGGATCACAGTGTTCCCTTATGTTCACTGATACATACACTGTATACAGGAACATTCATGTACCACAGCCACTTGTATGGGTTATGGATTATTCAGTCAAACAACACCCAGGGACACCATCATGAGAATTCATCATTCTGATACTCATAGCATCTTTCTGTTTCACCTGAAACATGGGCTCAGGGCTGAGAAGAAATGAGATGTCATGGTTTATCATGATGAAAATTCATGGCCTACTATTAGCTTCTATTTCTAGTTGAAGGCAGAAAGATGTGATGAGTTTCAGAATGGTCAAACATTCTGAATGGTTAACCCAACAAGCAAATTGACCAAGTGTTGACCTGTACCTAGTGGCACTAACTGCTAACTATAATATAGCGCTGAGTATAAAATGGAAAAGGTATGATGTCCCAAATGAATAAGTCAAACATATCCCATATATATTGGAAACAATGTCTGTTCACAACTGCTGATTTTCATTCTTTGGGTTTGTGTAAATGAAAAAGAAGTTGGATTTCTGTCAATAAGGATTAAGTCATCATAAAAAGTCATTTATCATGATTTTATTTATGTACAGTGTATGTAGTTTGCAATATAAGTAGATGGGAATGTATGTGGGTTGCAATCATGTAGAGTGCAATATATGTGGATTGTAATAGTATTATTTAGTTTGTTAAGTATTATGTAATAGTATTTTGAGTTTGTTAAGTGCAGTGCTTAAATGTTAATTGCAATAATATTTAAATAAGTACGCTTACCTTTCTGTTGAGGAAGATCTCGTGAAGGGCTAAAAATAAAAATTAAAAACATGCAGATATGAGGCATTAACATGACAAAATGTCACCACCTGGTTGCACTTTTGTATAAAAAATTGTTAGAGATGTTGCATGTTGATTCCACATGTTGGTTATGAAAATGGTGAATTGAACAACATGCACTTCATGCTGAATATAATAGCAGGGCTCTCGCCAGGCTTTTAGACTGTGGCGCAGCACCACACTCTATTTAGCTCCCACCACAACCTCTCGGCAAATCATGACTGTTTCCACAGTCTAAACTTGACTGAATATACAATAATAGCATGTAAAAAGGATAAAACATAACATAAATATGAGAGCCCAGGAATAGTAAAGTGGGATCCCGGGATTACATTTTTAACATCCAAACTTAAAGGAGATTTTGAAAAGTTCTTCAAATGTAAAATCTGTTTCATCAAGAGAATATTCAAACAACTGAATGTATTGCTTTAGCAGTGCCATCTATATATTTCTTTATCCCACAGAGTGAAGATAAGGGATATAGAGCATTTTTATCATTATATATGTATCGCCCCTGGCATTTAAATGACACAAGCCAATCAGATCACTAGAGATACAGATCACCAATAAAGTTTATCTAATTTTTTCCCAAAATCCTTATTACCCCAATATTATTAACAAGTAGGAGAGGAAAGTAGGAGATCATATAATATGAAAGACTATAAAGGATCATTAAATTAAATCATCATCTAAATTAATCATATGTACAACACATAAAGCCATTTTACAATACATTAAGCCAACTTACAATGCATATTGTCAATTTACAATAAGTATATTAATTTACAACACAAGAAGGCACTTAACAGAACACATGAAGTTAGCTTACAACACAAAGTCAACTTACAATACATATAGTCAATTTACAATACAATACATAAAGCATCTTACATTATAAGAATGCACTTTACAACATATAAAGTCAGTTTTACACAAAGACAATTTACAATACATAAAGTCTATTCACAATACATAAAGAATCTTACACAACCAAAACGGTTCATTGTCTCTCATCCTTTTTGATTTAAAATATTGGTTTAAAACTCATCTTATACTGCAACCAAGTGCCATATATTCGAAGGATTTAAAGGTGAATATATCAATGAATATGAGGGGATAAATTTCAATTGTTAGTGATCGTCAATTTCAAAGGAAGGGGCATTTAAAGACTAATTGCTAAATGGTCAATTACACTTTTGGGGAGGGAAAGAATGGAGTCAGTGTTATGTGAATTATTGTGAACACATTAATGCAACAAAGATGATATATCGACCCAGGATCTGTTTTTGGAATTATTGTAACTTGGTCGCAAGTCATTGCTTATTTATAAAGGTATTTTAGTAATTGCAAGTTATGGTCTTTCAAAAACAGAACTCTAATCTTTAAGGAAGACTTGGACAGAGAAATTCCTGATAGCAAAGGAGTCCTGCCACCTTTTGATAATGAGAGAAACTTTGAAAAATTGGCTATCTTGATAATGTCATAGACTGCATTCTTTTAAATTAGCAATAAGTTAATCTTGTTTTTTCATGGTCAGATTTCTACCTACAACCAATGACATCATCAATTTGGCCAATGTATCATAGTTTTTCTAATATATCAAAAAATGGCAGATTTATCGAAACGATTTGTTCTTTATTTTTAATTGGATATAAGACAAGATCATTGCAAAATTCTCATTTCTACAATTTAGACCTAAATTGGTCAAAATATACCAATCAAGGGATTCTCTAGCCGGGAATGTAGATTTTTTTAAAGGAAGGGAATCAAACTATCGGAATGAGTAAGAGATTAAGTAGCTCTCAGTGGTCTCCCCAGCATTAAAGCAAGTGGGCGCAGCACCCACCTGAGATTTTGAAAACAGCCTTGCACCCACCTGAAAATCCATTTGCACCCACTTGAAAAAATAAGAAAAATCATGAAAAATTGGTATATTTTGACCAATTTAGGTCTAAATTGTAGAAATGAGAATTTTGCACCCACCTGAGAAAAAATCCTGGGGAGATCACTGGCTCTATTCATTTATTTTAAAGTGAAGGTGTCCGAAATGTATGACAACCAATACAAACTTATTAACACCATGGCAACCAATGCAAGCTTATAAACAACTAAAGCCTGACCAGGGCACCATCCCAAGCATGGGTATTATGTTACCTTCTTTGAAGCGCTTGATCTAGTTGGGGAAGATGGAGCGAGGGCGGAATCAGTGACGTGAGTTGGAGTTGACGTATAACATACATGGTTGCTGGCCAGCCGCATACAGTCATCTAAGGTTGCCACAAAATGATCACAGGTTGCCTTCATTAATGACGATGCTTCATCAAGTTTCTGAAATGTATGAATATTAGCTTGAAGGATAACGTACAATGCTTCAAAGGGTTTACATAAAATACCAACAAAATCACTTATCCTTTTTTCCTTAATAACAGCAAAAAATAGAACAAATGCAGATAAATAGGCAATCATTTTCAAAATGCAATAATTGGGGAAATGTCAAATTAGCTATGAGCTACGCTTCCGAGTTTTTATATAAATAATTAATAATAAAATTGCTCCAATAATTTTCCAACGATCAAAATAACTGACATATTTTTGAAAAATTGATTTTTTAACTTCATGTGACAAGTAATATTTTGTATAAAAATTCTCCTAACTTTATGATGTTCACAAGTTTATTCAAGACATCAGATTCAGATTACTGGAATTTGAGTTATAAGTACAGTAATCCCACCCGTGAGTTTTTATGTTGACAAGCCCCTTCACTGTTGCCTATCTTCTAAGACATATGTGTTCCTGATAAAGAAGGGATTTATTCAAGTTTCCGTTTTACCTCAATATCTGGTTGTTCTCGATTGGCTATTGCTAGTTTGATCCCAAGTACTTGTTGCATAAGGACATCGCAGTAGAGACGCAGTTCTGATTTCTTTGCCCTCAAGTCATCAGACGTGCCAAGTCCTTCTACAATAAATTATGATATCCTTTTGATAACAAAAAATACATTCTACATTAAAGAGAGAATCAGAGATAGCGAGCAGGCTAAACGAAAAATTGTTTCAATCTTAGAATATTTTTGGCTCATGTCATTCCTTGTCATGTCTATTTTCTAAAAATCACAAAAGTGCATACTTTATTCAAGGAAAACGAAAGATTTTTACAATAATGTATTATTTCTCTATAAGAATGGTTACCATTCTTATTATTTGGGAGAGTTTGAACATTTTTCACCCATTTTTGCACTTTGAATCATTAATAACTTCACCTATATATAACATATTGTTAATCTTTTGGGAGATATTGTATTTGATATTGTAAGGAATAGATTGGTAGGTCAATTATGCAAATCGCTTGTAATTTTGTCACCCCCAATAGATCTGATTCTGCCTTTAAAAGGCAGGAATAGTAGATTATGAAGGCTGTATGACTCACACTCATTGAGATACTTTGATAATGGCTTTACTTCTGCAGTAGACATATATTAAGTAGATATTTGATTGTTATACCTGGTTTTTTAATGGTCCTGCCATCTTGTGTAAGACACGCCTTGCATGTACCAAGTGCGACTAGCCAGAGTTGACGCTCTTGAGGGGTGGCTGCTTTCAAGTAAAAGTGGGCTTCACCAGGAATGATCAAGTCTAATCGTGATCTGTCTGTGTTATGTACTGAAAATCAAATTAAACAAGGCATTAACATGCAAAATGTCACCACCTGCCACTTGTTACAGACGCCGAATGTAGACCACAGAATGCTGACCACTGAATGTGAAACATCAACTGCCAAACACTATGCACAAAAAAGACCATAACGATATGCCATGACTTAAAAAGCTACCTTTTATAAACAATCAATGTTTTGGAAGCACTGGGCCACCTTTTAGGGGAGAGTAAAAGAGAGAGAGAGGAGGAGGGTAATAGGTGTCCTTTTTGAGGAAATATTAGAGCATAGAAAGATGATGCCTACTTTTTAGTATGCATTCACAGTATACTTGGAGAAAATAATACACTTTTCTGAACACTCCTCAAGTGTTTTATTGTCATTACTATTTCACAACCCAATAAAATTGTTATGACATTCATTCATTTTAAAATGGAAAATACAGTGGAAAAGAATGGAATCGGAAGTGAATAAAGTGAATCGATATAAGCGTAACACTCTAAACTATATAGAAATGCAAGAAAGGAATATAGTTCATTCAGATTTTAAAGATCAAAGTGTTAAAGATGCATTAGCGGAGAGAACATTTAAACATCGGAAAGGCAATAAATGTGATTTACTGACTGCATAAGCCTGGACAACAATGATGTTTTTCTGTAGCTTTAAATAAAACACATTTCTTGTTTGTTTATCCAAATACAATAAAAAATTTTATCCAAATACAATAAAAAAGGAAACATTTATGAAAAACATGCACCTACATGTAGGAGTGTTATAAAATCAGTACTGTATAATCTTCTAACAAGACCAACTACCCCGGTCTATTAGGTCCCCAGTAGGTCAGTGATGTGACAGGGATAGGGCATGTGGGACAGGCCCAGAAGTCAGCTTTTGCCAAGGGTGGGTTCACTTTTTTAAAATCCATGGGGGTTCACATTTGATCATTTTAGCCCTAAATCTCATGATAACCTTCCTTGATCAGAGAAATCTAAGGCAAGATATACTTTGTGGGTCACATGCACACGAAATAGTTTGTTTCAGCAAAGAACAAAACCATGATATCATAGACTCACCAATGACATCACAAACAGAGAGTTTGACGGAACCTTTACAGCCATTGTTGACATCATCTTGAGCTTTATAATATGATAATATGCCATTTTCTAGCACAAACCAGCGAGGCTGCCAGCCTGAAAGAATATGGATAAAAAATATGGATATACAGTATACATGTAAATATCAAGTAAAGTCATAATGTGAATTATGAGCTTCAAAAAATCATAACATGTATTATAACTCCACGGCTCATTTTTCTTATAAATTCGGCGCCGTTCCGGTGCCGTTTCGATATCGTTCCGACGTCGAATTCGGCGCCGATGAATATGAGGGGATAAATTTAGTAGATGATCTATGACCAGTTTTTGGCTTACTTTTGGCATGTTGATATGTTAAATAATAAATAATAGCTATTTTGTACAAAAATTAAAGGAGCTCAGCCTTTAACTCTGAACCTATATACTCCAGGTTTTTTTAAAAATCTAAACAGACTGCAATTTTCAAAATGTACCAAACTCTTTTAATGGGATGTTAAATGTCTTATTCTGATTCTTTTAATTTTGGTATTTTAGATTTAGGTTTGTCAGATTAGCAACTCTGAGCCTTTTATACTCCAGGTTTTTAAAAATTATAAACAAACTGCATATTTCTCAATGTCAAAATTATTTTGATGGGCCCTTATATCTTATTTTGATTCTTTTAATTCTGGTATATTTTAGGGTCAGATTTAGGCATTGAGCCCCTTTAAGTGTTAAGTAGATAATATTTCACACACTTGTGGATTTTTCTATTTATCTTATCAAGAGCACAAATGGCCTGATTTTAGATTGAAAATGAGAATTAATTACAAATCCTATTGTGATTAGATATGACAGTTGAATAGCAGCATTTACTTTTTACAGTTATATTGCCTCCAGAAAAATAAATTTGAACAAATAAATTAAAATAACATGCATCTCAATGAGCACATGCATTAAATGAATATGTATCAGTCCGCTAATTATCAGTTCAGTGTACATGTAGTATACATGTATTATTTGACATGTACATGTGTAGAGATCAAACAGCCAATATTAATCTAAAGAATGAAAAGGGGTGAACCAAAATATTTTGGGGGCTAATCCTACTCCTAACCTGATTTTTTAGGAATCCCAACAGATTATTTTCTTCCCTTTCAACAGGGAAACTAATATTAGTTATGTGCACATTTACTTCCTTTTATTTTTCTGTATTTTGGATTTGAAAACATGAAGATCATGCCACTTTCAAATCTATCAGCTGATATATACCCATGTTTAAATAATCACTCCAAGGGGTCTTACTACAATTTTCTCTCTAACTTTTAAATGAAGTTCATTGTATTAATATACTGGATATATAATTTAAAATGTTGACTTTAAGCCTGTATACTCAAATCCTTGATGATTCTACTCTATTCCACTCTATTTTTCATGTTATAGCATGAAAATGATGACAACTTCCTTATAGGGGAGGTCATACCCATGTTGCGATAAATAGAGGGACACATGGCCTGATATTATCAACATGAACTAGAATGTGGGAGCAAAGGAGCATTAGCGATATGTAGGATGACCAAAGATATCATGCAATACCTTAATAATGTCATACCATATACAATAACACAGTCCGCAAAAAAGTTGGAGACTATAACAATATGTCACCGTTTGTGGTGGTGATAAAATAAAAATACTGTTGCCAAATTTTGAAACCATCTATCAATACAGTAAGCAGTCTCCATGTTTTGATTTTTTTGCCAATAACAACTGTGTCATTAAATTATGCTTCAACATTTTTTTTAAATTTCTATGTTTGGCTGTATGTTTCAAAAAAATATCATGTACTAAAACTGAATGCAACTAAAAATGTAAAAAGACTGACTTACTTTCTTCATGAATTTCGGAAGTTTTGATTTAGAGCACGTATGTGCACATGCAATCTGCGCCAGATATGTTTTTCTGTTTCGGATTTTCGCGTATTCATGTAAAACAAAGACTTCCTTCAAATCATTCTTGATGATTTTTGTAATAGATTTAGTTGTATTGCCATTAATTTTTTTTCATTTTTGGACTCATCAATTTAAAATTGCATATCTATATTTACTTTACTGTCTATGATTCACACACAGACATATAGACAATTCTTGTCTAAATGCCTTAATGAATGGTGGGTATGATTTAACTCTAGATTGCACCGCCATCTAATATAATTTAAAGTGACTAATGTGTGGGCATTCGTGCTCAAAATAAAGAGTATCAAAACTTCTGGAATAATGAAGAAGTAAGTCTGTTTTAAATTTTATTTTCGTCTCTTGGATATTGTGGTCATGCCAAATAGTTGTCACAATAAAGTTCATGTGCTGTTAGGTTGAATGGTTTACTAACTTCCGGAGGGTAAGTGATAGTACCATTTTTTAGCTAAGTGTTATTTTTAATAATCAAAGTACATGTAGTTAGAAAAATGAAGTGGAATACTACATGTAATTACACATTTTTGGGATTTCATGATTTTAGATAGGGTTGAAACGTGAGAGTCCAAATCACTTTTTCTGTGTGTCAATCAAACCTAAAAATAAGCCGGACCACAGCGCAATATTCTATGGGAACATACATTCATATTTTAGATACAAAACATTTGCATATCTCAGAATTGCGTGTGGTTTTGCTAACAAAATGTAAAGCCTCTTATATTTTGATGCCTTTCTGGTATGTCATTTTCAGAAAAAACATGGTTGCTTAATAACAAGAGATCACAGGTTTACTGGACAAGAGATGTGAAAGAGGGAGTTGATTTTACTGACCTGATAAGTAGTTGGTCCATTTCCACAAAGTCCCTTCTTGGTTCATATTGAGTGTTCAGATATGTTGTTTCACATTTACTATTGCATTATTATATGGTTTATGACAATAGCTCTGCAGTCCAAAGTTCTATTTAAAATTTTATTTAAAAAAAACACTGAAAAATAAAACGCAAGATTTTGTTTATTCACTAGAATTAACCACTGTAGTTCTTCATTTCTAGCATGTTTGTGGTATATATTTCACAACTATAGTCTCCGGTGTACATTGAGTTTATATTTATGATCGTTTGATACTTTGAGTGGTAGTCACCCACGAAAAATAACTTTGAAATCAGAAAAAATATTTCAGTTCCATCAACTTCCGGTGGTCTCATATTCACATTGACCTTGTCAAAGGTCAAATTTGAACCAATCAGAATTCGCCAGGAGTAAGGTACTTTCACTTCCGGGTTATGTGTGGGAAATTATAAAAGTTGTGAACAGATTGTATTTCTCCCTTTAGTACCATATTGTACATATCAACATGCATTGTAAAATAGTTGTTGCCTTTTTGGCTATTTTATCTGTAGCATTTGCTCAAGAAGAGGGGGAAAAAGTATTTGCCAAAGATGATGGTTCACCAGATGATGAAGCAAGAGGTCTCGTTATCGACCCCACATTTGTGCCCGATGAATGTGAAAGGAAGTCCAAGAAAGGTGACATGCTGAAAATGCACTACACAGGATCTCTAGCTGTTGATGGAAGCGTCTTCGATTCAAGGTAATTCTTCACGTTATGATTTGATGCATCTATTCACATACATTTATCTATCCCGATCAGACTACGACATTTTGTCTTTACTAGTGTTGTCACAGTATACCAAAATTGAACATCAATGCATCGGCAGTTTTGAGGAATAAAGATCGATGCTCATCTCGTTATTGGGAAAAAGACTGCATGGGATGGGAAAAGGTTCACTAAAATACCAAACACGCAAGTTATAAAACACTAGATATACTTCCTGTAACGATGCGTGAAAATAAATTGGAGGTCATTCGTTCATTTCCACAATTAGCTAAAATATTTTTAAAGTGGAAGCATATCAGAGATCATTGGAAAATGAACCAATGCGAAAGATGGAAACAAAGATTAACATCAATTTTTTGTTTCAGACATTGATGCATCGCTAGAATCATTTTTGGCGATGTAAATCACGATGTATCGATTAATCGCAAACTATACTCTGTGTCAATTTTTCCTTTTTAGAATGTGAAAGCTGTATCAGTTATTATTCATTGTTTTTTAATTCAAGATATTTTAGTCAAATTCTTCATATTTATCCCTGACAAAATAATGCAATATCTCACCATGGGCTTTCAAGAAAGCCCATGATCTCACTTGTGATATGTCATATATACTATTAGATTTAATGGTCATGAAGAAAGGGAATCTGTTTTTAGATTGGTATCACATTTCAGCAGATTTTTATACCCTGCACACAAAGTCTAGTTATAAACTACCCTCTGCTTATTAAATTACAGTTTAGCAGCCCCGCCCCCCACGGCCGATGCTCATGACAGCTCAGGTCATAAAGCATTTCAAACCTACCATGCTGACCTTTTTCTCAACCACTCAGCGGGCTGGAAGTAACATGTGCGAAATGCGTGCACAAAAAATTATGCGATTATGTCAGAGAAAATGACCATATATGGAAAAAAATTTCTTACATACATTTTTAACTTTTGAACAGCTATGGTAAGATTAGTTTGCAGGTCTTTACGTTTGTCCATGTATCATTTTTATATTTGTCCAAGTATTATCATTATATTTGTCCATGAATTTAGATCTGATGTTTAATAAAGCAACATAGCTGAAAAGTTGGGGATGTAGAGCTTTGAGAGGGATCTAGTCTAGCTACAAGCCATTGTGCGTCAAAGCTAGTGTTGTCGCGATGTGCCATAATCGTACATCGATGCATCAGCAATTTTCAGCAGTAAACATCGATGCACTGATGTACATCGAGAAAAAGTCCGAGAAAAGTGCACTGAAATACTGAACGCCATTGCACTAAAATACTGAACAGAACAAATTAATAAGAGTATGCTGGTACATCTGGGAACTTCTAGTAACAATGAAATGAAAGTAAAGTGAATTTTTTAGATTAATGGTTCATTTCGACTAGCTAAAACAGTTTTAAAGCGAAAGAATATCAGAAAACATTGGAAAATGAAATAAGACATGAGAAAGGTAAGTGATTTGCGTCAAAATAAGATAAGAAAGGATTAAAAACATCGATGTTTTGTTTCAGACATCGATGCATCGCCAGAATCAGCTTTGGCGATGTATATCGCGATGTATCGATTAATCGCGACAACACTAGTCAAAGCCCCCCCCCTCCACCATTACACACCTCCCCACAAGTGGTGGTGGTGAATTAGATAATGGGGTTCATTTGCATTTGCTGCTTATATATTTTACATATGGCATATTCTTTTGTCTGATATGTGATTAATCCAATAGTCGCTGCATTAAGAAAACCGGTTGAAATCATACATATTTTATAAACAGATAAACCTCTTGTGAGGCAATAACTGTTTGTCAATGAAATGAATCAATGAAATCAAATATACCAGTAGATATGATTTAACAAGACTGAACCATAACACTGAAATTGTTTGTACTACTGAACCTGAAGATTTCCTTGTAGAATTGAGCACTGTTGTATGAATAACTGGAAAAGGTTACCAAAATGTAGAGACATACGTAAAACACAACGTAAAGACATTAGACCCCTCCCCTCTGGACAATGGCTTGTAGATAGACTAGCCCCCTCTCTAAACCTCAACTTTTCATCTATGTTGCTTTGTAACATCACTTTTAAATCAATGGACAAATATATTGATGTTGAAGTAGGGGAAGGGGGGGGGGTCTTGAAGAAAATGCTTCAGATAAGAAATTCAATAACTGATATCAGTCATTCAGTCGCACTTTTTAATGTTTATGAGTATCGGTTCCCTCTCTGAGATATTAGCGGCTATAGAACACATTGTTGGTCTCAGGGTTGATTGAAATTTCAGATCATAAGGAAATCTCGCTTTGCAATCTCTTGTCTCTTCCCTGCAAAAGAGTTTCCATGTGTTTTAATCAATAACTGTATTTTAGGAATACATTGCTCTCCTACTATTAAGGTATATGAGTAAAAAATGTGAGGGCTGGGTAAATATAAATGTTCGTTGTCACATATATTTAAAGAACAGAACATGTTTAGTCAGTATTTAAGCAAGTACAAGGGATACAGAGTACAGATTGTCAGAAGCAATCGTTTCAAAAAGAATGCTAATGTTTACCTGACTATCCTTCATTTCCTGAAAAAAATTCAGAACAAATATAGAAATCATTGAAGATTTAAGATGGAGGAAGGTCCAAATTGATTAGGGTTGAAAAATGAAAAAGAGGTTTTCTACCTTTTCAGTTTTTTCCAGAAAAAAGTGAATGCTCATCCTAAAATAATGTCATAACTGTTAACTAATTAATAAATAATTGGTTACTTATATCTACAGTATAAGTAATCTAACAAATAATTCCTCTCTGAGAAAAATCATCATTAATCAGATATAAATGTTTGCTTCAGTTGTTTTTCTTGAAAAAACTACAATTAATTATACTGCATACTTAGAAATCAATATTTTCATTGATGCGATCTTCCTCTGAACCAACGGAATATAACTTCTTTGTTCAACAAGTGGACAATTTCACAATCAATGAACATGCAGAAATCCTGAATTGTTATGATATTTATGATGATCATTGGTTTAATTGTGTACGCTACATTGAAATACAGTAAATCACAACTCAGTATTTTCTCATGCAAACCTGCATCTTGAGAAATCATGGTCTTTTCTTAGTTTTTTTCTCAAAACATATTGCTGGAAACAGAACTCGAAACATATTGCTGGAAACAGAAATATGTGATGAGTATCAGAATGGCAAACTTGCTGATCCCTGCAATTTGTTAGTTTAAGAAAATGGCTGATAGTTACTAAAATATCTCGACACAAAATCTATGTATGTGGAAACCAATTTGATATGCAGTAAAAAAAATCATAAAAGAAGTCAAATGAATGATGTTTATATCACAATGTATGTGCTATTTGTAAATGTGCATGTACTAGTGATTATGAAAATATAATAGATTGATGAAACAGTGAAAAATGATTTCTATGAATCATTTTGATCATTATAATTTTATTGTTGAATTTGAATGATAGCCCATCCTGAACATTTCCTCTGTTCGTGAGTTTTCATCAATTTTTCTTCTAATTTGAATGAACTGTCTGATTTTCTCGCATTTCTATACAATTTAGAGTGTTGACTTCGTGCCTGTTCACTTTATTCCTTGCTAATTCCTCTCTCCTCCACTCTATTTTTCATTTCAAAACATGACTTCCATGATATTTTTTGAACGCATTTGCTTTAGTCCAATTGTCATCCTAATGGCATAAGCTATACAAAGCCAGTGTTGAATCAGGTGGGAAATAGCATATCATTTTAGCCATTAAATATTTTCAATGCTCAACATTATCCCCTTTTTATTTTTGCAATAAAAGTTAATTTTCATTATTTTAAGTTCTAACATCCTCTTGTCCCATGTTGGTTAGTCTCGTAATATAAGCACAGGTTACTCTGACCTTGTGTTAGAGAATTGAGGAGGGGAGGGGGACAGGGCCTTGATGCGAGACTTTGTTTTATACTTAATGGGATTAATGTACCGTGCCTGAAAATCAAAGGAAATTTCTTTTGTTAAGTGGTTAAGTTTTCTGAGATGGGCCTATAATACAAATTTTAAAGTGTCAAGATCTTATTTTTCTCATTTTTGTATGACATATTTAATTGTGCATGTTGCGAGATTGAAAAGGATTATTTTGTCTTTCCATGAAATCATATGTGGCTTGTTTTTACAGAAAAAATGTTGATGGTGTCATTTATTTCAGATAATCTGAGGATTATGTCTAACAAACAACAAACTAACAAACAATACATTTTATCTACTTTCAGTGTCGACCGTAAAGAGCCATTTGATTTCCAAATCGGGGCAGGCCAGGTGATTCAAGGCTGGGAACTTGGACTGTTAGATATGTGCATTGGCGAGAAACGAACCCTTACTATCCCAGCTAGCCTTGGTTATGGAGAGGCCGGAGCAGGTATGATAGTATTTTGAGAATAAGTGCCACCATCGTGAAGCCACAATGTTCAATTAATACTTGATGGTTTGGAATGTGGCTTCTGTGATTTGATAGTACAAGTTATGACATCACTTATGACATCAAGCTATGACAAGTGAACTTCTATTTTGAATTTCAACACAAATTAGTATATAGTAAAACCTCCCTCAGATGAAAACATTTGGTACCTCTAAAAAGTGGTCCACTTGGAAATGTGTTCTACTTATAGAGGTCCAATTAATATTAAGTCAGTTGGTCTTGGGAAAAACTGTTCTACAGAGGTATTCCACTTAAAGAGGTGTTTCCCTCAAAAATTTCACTGTATATTTATATTCTATTCAATGTTATTTTGATTTAACAGGTGAGAAGATTCCACCAGGTTCCACCCTAAAGTTTGATGTTGAACTAATGGGCATAGAAGATGGACCTAAACAGAAGAATGTTTTCAAAGAAATAGATGTCGATGGCGACAATAAGCTCTCCAAAGAGGAGGTAAGAATGTATAAATTAATCATTGAATAAACGTTGACCCACTTAAAATATCTTGATGGTCATGTTTGAAAGTTGAAAATAGGGTGGAAAGGGGTGGAATTAGACAGGAATAAAGTATATAGGCATGCCATTAGTATTTTTTCTAAATTATATGGAAATGTAAGAAGATTTGATATTTTATTATCATAATCTTTAATATTGATATGACATGGAATAAACAGACCAGATAGATATTTTGAATAATTTAGAAGTCATATTATAAGTCAATGTTGTAATTTGTTGTAATTAGGTGTTGTAATTCAGTTGGCTTGAATAAAAGTATTGATTCTATATTATTCTAATACTGAATCCACAGAAATGATCATGTTTTGTTGAAATGATCTACCAGTGATGTCAGGCTACTGTATATAGGTTAAAGTGACTTTTAGTCAGTTGATGTAAATTACATTTGATGAGGCTTTTTATGACACAATGAGGAAGCCACACCAATATTTATATTTTATCATTGTTTCCTGAAGGAGAATTTTCAATGCCATTGTCTCCTTCCGGAGAATTTTCCCAGAAAGACACACTGCAGTGCTCCTTTGTGCCTTTCCTAGTATATCTCGTTGGATTTACTCTAAAAACTACATAGGGCATATTGAAAGTGTTGAAATTATACCTGGATTAATAAACCCTTCCTTCTCTTTCTCAGGTACTCCAGTATACTTTTTCTCTTTAAGGTGTTCCAGTGGGATGAACAATTCGCATGAAATCATTTTTTCTGTACATTTTTATGTTATAACAATTTCTAGAGTCAGTCAAGCATTGCTTCTCTATAATGCATGAAAAAATCAATAAACGTTCTGATCCGAGTCCATGTTTAAAATGTCAATTTGGTCATGGATATTATTTCCCTTCTAATTTCTAAATTAATTGCTGATTGTCTGAAATTGCCAAGCAATTAAAACTGTGATCCTGAAAATGCTTCACCTTAACATGGTGATCTGAGATTCCAGCATGGCCAGTTTGATGTTTTATGCAATGGACAATGGGAATCTATTTCTTTAATTGTATGGTTTAATCTATTTCTTTTATTGTATGATAAAATCATGACTCTATGTGTGCTTTTTGTGTTATTCATTTGCATATTTTCACCAAATCTGATTCACTTTTTCGGTGTCAGGTTCGAAACTTTTCCATTCAGCTCATGAAGGAAGTTCGTGAGTTGTACGCAGGATTCCCCGAAGATTTTGAATTTCCGGAAGGTTCTGCATATGAAGGTGCTAAGGTACCTCAGCTTCCTGACGATTATGAAGAAAAGTTTATGGAGCAGTCGGATGAGATCTGGGTTTATGAAGACCTTGATCAAGATGGACGTCTAACCTTTGATGAATTTTCGGGACTTAAACATTATTGCCTTAATTGGTACGCCATGTCAGAGGCAGATGATACATCAAAATGTGAAAGCTTTGGCGTCGTCAAAGAGGAATTTCGTGAGCAAGATGTGCAACTACCTAGATACACTAAAGGAAATATTAACTCACCACATATAAAGGAGGAACTTTAATTATATTTTATGGGACATTAAAACAATACTTCTTATTCAGTCTTGGTGCAAAGTCCACTAAACCCTTTATACAAAAGTGAAAATGATATTTTCATAAAAGCCAATCTATTTTCCAACTTTGAAAAGATTTTTTAAGTTCCAATATTTACAGAAAAGGGGATTTGAGAAAAAGTCTATTAATGATCCACACAACAGAGGTTATTCATGTCGTTTTGAATGAGAAGCCCTTTAATTTACACAGTATTATAATTTGTACAATATGGCATTATTCCATCGCCGATTCTGTTGTATATTATCAAGTGGTGATAAGAAATAAGAATAAACTTTTTCTCAATAGGTGACCTTTGCTCTGAGAACAATTAATCAGTAATGCAGATATTTCATTTATAGAAATATGATGTAGCAATGATGTGGCAGTTAAATACAAGTGATGATGTGGCACTCTCTGAACCAATGAGAAGGAAGGAAACATAATATATGCGCATACATTAAATGTACTGCTTGCTTTGCATAACTTATCATAACATATCATGTTATTAATTTAAAATATGTTTTCTATCAAAATTATAGGCATGAAGAGGTCTACTGTTCAAGTTGTAAAGAAATGTCTGGTAATCAGGCCAGTGGCTTAGCCAGCTTTCAGTCAGGGGGGGAGGGGGGTGCGATTGCCAAAAGTTTTCGGCTTTCAGTCAGGGGGTTACGATTGTGGCATAAGCAAGCCAAAAAATGTTTTTAAACATTTGTTTTAAATTTTACAAAATTTGATGCAACTTCCTTCAAATTTGAGCTAGAAACTTCAAATGAAAAGCATTTTTTCAATTTCATGCTTCCATTTTTATTGCACCCCCCCCCCTCACCTGGCTACACCTATGTCAGGCAGTCAGCCCTTGATATTCCTTTTTAATAATTTCAAACATTTGTCTTTCAGATATATCAGTTCTTTTACAATCAAATCGATGAAACTGTTGATCATGCTCTAGTCATGGATGACCATGATATGAATGAAGTCATAACTTTTAATGAATTCAGTGGCCCTAAACATCTAACCCTAGATGAATATAACCCTATAGAGTATGAACCGCCATACCCGTTTCTTAAATTGGGTTATGGAGTAAATGGAAATTGGGACCCAAGTTCTGCTGCCCAGGACAATGAAGAATATGAAGATCTTGATTAATTTTAATTAGCAGTTAACAAAAAATTTACAAATCAAGTAGCGTATATTAGAATTGGATACTGAACAAATATTTCACTCTCTTGAGGTGAATACCTGTACATCTTTCACAAGTGATATTCCACGAAGCCCGAAGGGCAAGTGGAATATCACCTTGTGAAAGTGCTACAGGTATTCACCGAAAATAGAGTGAAATATTTGTTTTATTATATCATTGTCTAGCTAAACATCCCTAATATTATTAAGTCATTAAGTCTGCCATTTTGACTTACACTGAACTAAATTATTTACACTGAACGAAAACAAATTCTTTGAAAATTCCCGGGAGCGTGGGATATCGCTAGATATCTCACGGTTGTCTTATCTGATTAGCATTGCCATTGAATATTGCCAGATATCCCACGACATGTGACCCGGTTTTGACCAATCATACTGTCGCTAGCTAGATAGTGATATAATAATGACAAATACATGCGCATTTGTTTCTATCATGAATGATAACTTAATGTTATAATTTTTGAGATGCATACAGTGTATACTTTGTGAGATTGCTGTATTTTTTACATATGTTTCAAATTAAATAAACTTTTTTACTTTTAGATGACCTTTGCACTTCAAGTGATTTATTGAATGATATCAATAAGTCAATAAAAGATATATATAATACCATATCAGAATGTAACCTCCAATTCTATTTTAATCTAGATACGTCAATTCTTCATCAAACGAATTGCCGAAGATGTGAGGACTTCATTTGATCTGGATGACCACGATAAGAATGATTTCATAGATTTCGATGAATTCAGTGGCCCAAAACATCCCTTCCTTGATGAATATGATCCTCTTGTTTATGAGCCGGACTATCCCTTCCAAAGGATGGGCATGGAAGAGGAAGACCCAGACATGGCCGAGTTCTTGGAGGGAGTACAAGCAGGCGTAGAAGGGCAACTTGAGGATGGATATTACAATGACGATGTTTTAGACATAGAAAAAGATGAACTGTAGACATAGAAAAAGATAAACTGTAAATTCTTGTGTGAATTGAATTGTTTTTATCTCTTCACTATTGTCATTTTGTGAGCATTCATTCTGTGAACATATTTTTATAGTGCAAGGAATATGTAATTTGTATGTCATCAGTATTGTAAATGGACTTGTGTTGTATACTTATCATTCATTTTGAACATTTGAGAAATACATGTTCAGCCAAGATACCACCCACCAAACACAGGCCTCCAGAACTCGTACCTCCTTCTTTGGAAGAAGGATGGAACATAGTGGATGAATTGTCTGGAGCCCTGCGTTCGGAGGATGCCAAGATGCAGGACTGATAATATGCAAAATATGAGAACACAAGCCGCAAAAATACCTGTCCATCAATCATATATATAGTATAATGAATATAAGTGTACAATCATAATTTTATCTTAGATAATAAAAATTCAATTTTTTTTACTCTAAGGTTGACCTTTGACAAAACAGCAATTTATTTCATATTTGACGTTTCTTGCATTTGGCAAGTTCTCATTGGACAAGAAAGTGGCCCATTTTTACAAGAATGGCATTTTTATTGCCACTCCACTTGTGTAAATAGTTTTCTGTTTTTGACTTAACATTAAACTAAAACATACTTGATAGGCTCACAATTTTACAATTTTTGAAGATTTTCCTCCAGAAGTTAAATAAACTGCTTTCGATTTTTGTAGGTGAAATATAGAGCAGACAGAACTGAATGTTTATTTATATGTTTATTTGTACCATTGCCCACTTAAATGATTTTCCAAAAATCACACCTTGCATCCCTGCTTCCTCTTTCCCCCTACTCTGCACCCAGGGTACTTCCCCTTTTCACATGCATTATATGTATTCATATTTCACTATATAATCCAGCAAATCAGTTTCATTGCATTTTCTCAACACAGCTTGGCAGATTTGTTGATGACATGATGACGAAGATGATAATACAGAAATCTGACATGGAATCCATAGCAGAACAACAGATGCCTGATAGGAATGAGGCTCGGGAGCTCATGGTTGAGAGTATGCTCAAGAGGCATGATCTAGACAAAGATGGAATTGTCACATTTGATGAGTTTAACACTGCACGTGAACGAATGAAAAGGCGGAAGGATGAACTGTGATGATCACAAATACCTCATTTGAAATCTCATAACTGATTATTTCATCGTTTACCTTTTGCAATGTTGCCATATTTATTTCTGTATGTATGTGGTTTGACAATAAAACTTTTGATATTTTAGATGACCTTTGGCTTTTGGTCAATTAATCATAGATCTGTTCTTGATAGCCTTCCTTGAGAGTTGACCAGATGGAACTTACAATACTGTACCAACATGGAGCATTATAGTTTGTACATATAAATAACACATGTTAAATTGTTTACTGTACATGTACATGTATATCAATTTTATCAATTTCAGCAAACTGATAAAATTCTGTGACACACTTTTGGAATGGTTTAAACTTAAGTCAATGCTTATTATAAAGCTGAACTTTTGCAACAGTCTCTTGTTGTTTAATATGATGGTTGTTTATTTTTTTTCTCAAATGCAGATTTTTGTTGTTGTAATATACCCCCCCCCCTTTATATAACCCCACAATGATTTTCTTCCTAACAGAATTCCCTACTTTTTGGACACTGTCCAGTTGATAAAACCCTCAATTACAACATGGTGACTTCATCTTTCATTACACAGTTCAAGAAATATTTCCACTGGATGGCGAAAGTCTACAAACTTCCAGAAATGATTGACATCATAGCTGATGGAAAGGACGATGCTATGATTGATGACTTCTGGCCTCAAGCTGATGTTGATAAAGATGGTTATATAGATAAGGATGAGTATATGGACTTCACTGGTGGCAGATATGAAGATGAGGATGGTGAAGATTATGAGGAAGAAGAGGAAGATGATGAAAATACCTCAAAGAAACATGATGAATTTTGAAACGAGATGAATATTTGGACTTTCAAAAACTTTAAGACTGTCTCTTTGACAAAGTTGAAATTGATTGACACCAACCCCTTACTTTTATTTTTGAAATTTAGGGAATATGTCATAGAGAAGTGTTTCTCTGGGCACATAACTTTAACTTAATGAAGTTCCTTTTATTTAATGCAGGGGTGTCATATTCCCCAGTATCATACCACAGTAATATTCTGATATTCATGTAGTATCTATTATAACACAGATGTACTAGTACTGTTATACTGGATTGTTCATATCTATCATTGTTATCATTAATTTATAATAAACATTTGTATTAATCAAGCTAAATGGATACAGCTACAGTAAAACCTGCAAATATGAACATCTCTCCAACTTGAACAACTCAAATTTGAACATTTTTTACCTCATTTTGGGGATATTTCAATGTCTCGTATCAACACACCATCTGAACATTTCTCAAGACTGGAGACTTTAGTTCGATCTTTTCTCAGGGGTCCCCATGCAGGGTTGTTGATTTCAAACAGGTTTTATAACTACTAAGTACTTGGGAAAATTTAAAGTAGAGCAAGGAGGATTGACTCCCAGAATGCAATCTCAATATTTTCCAACAATGAAAATGTCAGAATCAATTTATAATCAGTAACCCAAAAGATTCTAGCTAATATCTTGATCACTTCTTGCATGTTTTGAATGACATCAAGATCGGATTCATTGTTGGAAAATATCGAGAATGCAGTATGGGAGCCAATCCTCCTCGAGGCAGCGTGGACATTTTAGCTTTATCCTTTCAGGTGACCTTTGATTCCTGTCACATAAATCATGTTTTGTGTGAATTCAACAACTGGCCAGTGAAATTTAAAAACTGAATTATCAAATATGATCTTTGAAATGTTATAAGTTGACGGTAATTTTTATTTCTCTTTTGTAGACTCTGAATCGGAAAGGTGTACTTGCTACAAGTTCTCATGTCTCAGAATAAAGTAATTCAACATAAAATTTGAGACTGGGAGCTTTAACCTATCCCCATAGAGACCAGTACCCACCTTCAAAAATCTATATAAATCATACATTTTTTGTGCTGTCTTGGGATGGCCTGTGGTGCTTTGTTCTGACATTCTGTCTAAACTTGGGCTGAATTTCTCTACATTGAATGGCTTGTCTTCATTTATTAATTGCCATTTCTTTACATGTGTAGTTGAAGGAATACTTCAGACGAATGGCAAGAGTCTACAAGATAGCTGAGGTGATCGAGATGGTGAAAAGCGAAACAAGGATGAATGAAGTGGTGGATCAGATTTACAAAAAATATGACGTAAACAAGGATGGCATTGTCGTCAAAGAAGAATATTATGCAGTTGAAGGGCCTGATGAGGGGAAGAAAGGCATGAGATGGGAGCAAGCAAAAGATAAACTTGAAACTGTTGATGACAATATTGTGATAGATAAAGATGATCATGAAGATATCATACCCGTACATGATGAATTCTAGATTGATTTTTATGAAAAATATACAGTGGTCATGCTTTGAATGGACAAATATCTCAGAAAATATTGAAAGGAATAAAGAGACAGTTAACCCTCCTCCCGTACATCAATGTCTCAATGTCAGATATATCACACAAATTTAAGAGAAAATGGCATTAAAAAGCCACTCATGATCAGATGATATTTAGATCAAGCCATTCATTGATATTTGTTTAAGAGAAAAAGTGAAAAGAAGAAACCCTGTGAGAGCCATAAAATGTTAAAACCATGACAATGTTATAATAACAAAAGACCAATGTGCCAAAAAGTCACTCTATCATACAGTGAGAAACCATGGACAATATGCTCTGTTATATAAAATAAAATAATGTAATCAATAAATAACTAATACAAAACAAGATTACAGTTTTGTACTACGTTGAATTCATACAGTAGTCAGCTGGGAATCAAACATGTGCTTGAACCCTTTATGACTGCATATGTGGCTGCTCTAGGAGCCAATGATGGCGTCAGAGATTTGTCAATCCATTTTATATTGTGACCTTCACCTTTCACCTTTTAGATATCTGATTAGAGTTAAGGTAGGCGGAGTAGAGTGAATATTCTGAATTAGTAATTTGGATGATCAGCACACAGGTTTCAGAATCACTCAAACACTGCCTACCTTGATATTATATCAAATGTATTATCTGCAATATTGATTAATGATAAGATTTCTTATTTCAGAATATATAGATAGTGATTACGTAATTCAACAACTTATTATCTCATTTACTGAACCTTTTCATTTAATTTGATGCTATAAACTAATAAAAAATATCTTATTTTTTAGATATCCATATGAGCATGTATTCGTGTGTGATCAAATAGATTACACATCTCATAATTCCTGCAAATCGTCTAAAGATTTTCTTGATTTCACCTTGCAACTTGATTTCATTTATTTAACCTCCTTTGTGATAAACTTTATTTCATTTTAGGTATACAAAATATTTATTATCATTTGTCACTATGATATGTAAGATAAATTAAAAAGTACATGTACTGAAACTGTAAACAGCTGATTAATATACTGTATATGTCATGTTATTCTTAGAAACATTTGTTATTATATTGTTATAAGTACGATTTTTTTTATTAACTCACATTCGGGGTTGGCATCTGTAACAGTTGTTACACTTTTGTAGGTGGTGGCAATTTGTCATATTCATGTCTTTTTGTTTGATATGTCACCACCTTTATTGTTATTGTTGCCTGAGATATTGTGTCTGCAACTCTTTTGTGGCAGTGGTCAATGATTGGTGTTCGGTGGTTGGTGTCTGTGACAAATGGCAGATGGTGACATTTTGCATGTTAATGCCTTGTTTTGTGTTGTAATTTGTGTCGTAAATGTGCGTGTCTGTTTTCCAGATCAGTCGCTATGTGGAGGAAGACGTTTATCCACAGATGAACCCAGATGAATACAAATTAGAAGACGTCCTCGAAATGGTTCAAGAGCGCGTAAAGGATGATGACGAAGACAAAGATGGATATATATCATTTGATGAATTCAGTGGACCAAAACATGATGAATTATAATGTGTTTGATATTAGGATATATACAGTTCAGCATTGGTTTACAGCAAAAGACCTGGTATCCAGTTTTTGTGTATTCAATGATGGTGCTAAACTTGCAAATGATTGTAATTGTGAGACATTGGTCCATACTCTGGCATGTTTAGTAAGGAAGAATAAGGACTTCTACTATAATTTGCTAATATTTGAAATTCTGCCATGGGGGTTCACAGTTTAGTTTTGCTGTGGTCACATTTGCTCCAATTTTCAATATCAGCAACCAGCGGATGAGTGTTTTGTTCAAAATTGCATTCAGTTTTGAACAAAATACTCATTAGACGGGCATCCGTGTTAGGGTGTTGAAGATCGGAGCAAATGTGACTATGGCATTAGCAAGCAATAATCAACCAAACATCTTTTTTATTACTGAAATGCATCCAATGAATGGAGGAATTAATGTAACTGTGACCATATTGACCTTCTATTTGTCACTAATTGAGGGACAACAAATCTTTAAAGGCCACTGAAGGCATTGATCCTTGGAGCATGTTTTGCTTCATTCTATATTTGATGTATGTGTTCAGAAGTATTGTTAGGTCCTTTAGCTGTAGGCCAGTGTCAAAGTATATTAACTACATGTATTTGAACCATAAGTCAGGTACCAAAAGTGAGAACACGTTGTCATGGTTGCCATGTTGCAAATGCAAATAGAGTGAAACAAATATCTCTCTGACATTATTTGGATGTCCAGTGTAACATTTTCTTGCATTCCAATACAGTATAGAGTTTTTACTTATTCATGACTGTTAACTCCAATCTTCTAATTTCACTCTTTTCCACTTTATTTGTATTTGAATGATCACCATGGTAATTGTCTCCATGTAACCATGGTAACTGGATTCTGCTTCATGTAAGATGATGCAGTTGAGATGATATTTGGAAGAGTAAATGAAACAGAACTCTATGAGTTGAGAATATTCAGTAAAAAATACAATTTTAGTCAATTTAAACAATTGGACAGTGCTGTGTTGGTCACAAAAAAGAGAAAATATACTGAAACGCCAGTATTTGAATTTAACATCGAAGCATGTACAGATTTTGTAGTTATCCAAAATTGATCCAATGATCTATATATGTGAAAGGGCTGACGGGATCAAATACATAGAAAATAGAGATTTTGCAAGTTTGGTCTGTATCTATTTCATTTGATGAATTAATTAAACTCTCTGTCTAATAATGATAAAAAAGCATTAGTCACCTCTAATAACTCTCATAAATGCTGAATTTTAGTTGATTATCAAGCTCCATACATCTGTTTTCAGATGAATGTGTGTACAGTATCATATAAAAGAGATAATGACATTCATTGTATGTAGATTCTGTAGAGTATTTTCTATTTAAAACTGCTAAGCATAATTTATATATGTTGTATATAATGTTTTGTTAATGCGATTTGCCATTTTTTTAAATTGATAATCAACAATAAAAAATATCACAGCAATAAATGACAAAAAAGTATATGATGTTATGTTGAATTAAGTGAAGTAGAAATGATTATGCCATGCCAAGATTGTTCTTGTAACTGTCTAAAAGTAATGTATTGAAATGTTTTTAGGATTAAAATGAAATGTAATTGATTTACATATTGAGGAGTGATATTCAATTTGTTTTTACGTCACCTCCAGAAGTCATGACAGATTGTCATAGTCTGCAACTTTTTTTCTGGATGGTGTTTGGCAGTTGATATTAGGTGTTTGGCATTTGGTGTCTGTAACAAATGGCAGGTTGTGACTTAATGCCTTATGTTACTCATATACATGTACACACCTACAAAGTGGTGAAAATGGCATCTTAATCTGGCCTCTAATGCTGAATGGATTTTTTATGTATGAACATATAAGCACTAATGCCAAAGGGAAAGGACCAAAAGTTGTAATGGAACTTAGCAAGAAAAAGCAAACTCTAGTGCATACCAGTCAAGAAAAACAAACCCCATATAGCCCAAAACCATGATCTAACGTGAAAAGAAACAATGTCTAATACCCCCTTTCCCCACCATTCAAGAACCAATATCACAATCCAAGACCAGAAGACCAAGGGACATTTCATTCATACTGAAGCTAGAGTTGAACAGATACCTTTATCTGTTGACTTTATTCATTGCTGATCCTTCCCTTTCTCAAACATCTATGTTATCTTAATGCATGTGATTGGCTTTAGATGTATACATGTGCATGTTTTGATTACTAGAATCCCTTCTACTAGCATCCAATGCATTTCTGTTGCAAATATCAATTATTTTATGTTATTAAATAATTTTATTGAAAGATGAATCATTTTTCAAATAGCTTTACAATAGTTATGTTCAAATATGGACAAGAACCCCTGTGAGGTGTCACTGATCCAATGGGCGTTGTTAAGCTTAACTTGGCAGTGTAATAAAATGATTGAGATTAAAACAAATGGGCTCCAGAAAGTTGAACATCCAAATCAATTTCAAAGGTTTTCACCATAGATTTTGAAAACTGGATGGATAACTGAAAATAATTCCACCCAAACAAGTGGAAATTCTTACAATAACTTGTTTTATCAAGACTTCCCCGAATTTCAAGGGAATCCATCTTTGAATGTAGTTTACTCAGCTACACTTTGTATTGTAGCTGTATGTAATGCATATTGCGCAATGTTGTAAAACTTAGGATAATGTGAGATTTATCTAAGACATCATTTGATGTGAGAAGTTTCATTGACTTTTGACTTTTAGGAAAAGTGTCCATTAAGGCTATTAATGACAATCAGATACTTACACCACTATCACATTCACAATGAACCCTTTGCATTTATTTGACTTCGCTTCTTAAAAGAGAGCTTCATTTTTTTATTTGTCATGTTTTATAATCTATTCCTAACTCAGAAGGATACATGTACGAGGGTTGTCCCAGAAGTAATGCACATTATGCTCTAACTTTCTTCAATATTCTGGGACAACCCTCGTACATATGATTTTCAAAGTATTCATACTTGCATGTTTTTTCACTCGCCACCATTTGATATTGACAAAGGTATTTATTAACTGCTCTTATTTATTTGTTACAACAATTTATTCATTCTTAGTAATGTTGCAACATTTGGTCATTTACAATTATTGCAAACGTCCTTGTAGTGCATTAACCCTTCTATTTCTCTAACAAGTTAACCCACTACACTCCAGGTATTGGAATATATCACAGCTCATGGCACTCCACATGACAGTGAGTCTGATCCAAAAAGTTTGGAAAACCGCAATAAGGAAATTCTCAAACAAGTATTTGAAACGGAAGACAAAGACAAAGATGGTTTCATATCATTTGATGAATTCAGTGGGCCAAAGGAGGATGTTGTAGATGATGTTGATGATGAAATGAAAGCTGAAAAGGATGAAACAAAGAAAGATGAAATGAAAGATGATGACAAGAAACCAGAAAAGAAAGATGAACTATAATATACCAAAAATTGATAACTAATTTTATTTAGGCAAACTACAACAAATGAAATAAAAATTAAATAAATAAATTTGGGAACTCTGTAGATGAGTTTAGTCAAGTTCAACCCTTTTCTTGACCTATATTTATGACCCTCCATAGCCTCACTTTCAAATTTGATGGACCACATGCTCTCTGCCTGACAGATTTGGAATATTACATTATGCTATGACCTCAATTTGACCTACTTTTCTCATCCTCAAACTGCTTTGGATCATGGATGCAAGATCAAGTATGCATAGTATATGTCTGAGAGATAAGGCACAAAATTGAACTAATACATATTTCTTTAAATCAATGGATGACCTTGACCTCTTCTGTAACCTTTCGTGACAAGGGTAACATTAAAATCTCAATAATATGGAATTTTTACTTTCTGTCAGACCTTGGCCAGTTGATCTATGCATGCATCATGGATCGTTTTTGTGAGACTCACAAAATCAAATAACCAGAACTCAAATGTCAGAAAAAATAAGGATATTTCCAATAATTCCTTTTAAACCATGGCTTTAGAGATGCATGTTTGTAGTTTAGTAATTGTATACATAGTTAGCATGGTTTGCCATGCATGTCTGTTTAGTTCACATGCATAAATCAATCATATATGATATACATGGAATTATGTAGGTCTAGGCTTACACAAATGGGCCAAGTCTACATACTAATATGCAAAAATCTGTATGAAAATTAATTTAAAATCACTAAATAATGTTTCAGGTTGACGTATATAGTCTGTATGATATATATGCTCGGTATGGTCTATTAGTACATTAACCCTCTACAGCCTGTGAACACATTAACTCAACCTGAGTCTAATAACAAATTAACCATCTTAGGTCTATTAATACATAAACCCTATATGGTCTATTACACATTAACCCTCTACAATCTATTAACTCATTAACCATCTACAGTCCATTAACACATTAACCCTCTATTATCTAACTCATTAACCCTCTATAGTCCATTAACACATTAGCCCTCTACAATCTATCAACTCATTAACCCTCTATAGTCCATTAACTCATTAACCCTCTACAATATTTTGACTCATTAACCATCTACAGTCCATTAACACATCAACCCTCTACACTCCAGGTCCTCCAATTCATCAAGCCAATTGACCCAGAGCAACAAGCCAAGCCTGATGACCCCAAGGGACAAGCCGAGGATGCTCAACAAACCCAACAGATGGTTGATCAGGTATTCGAACACGAAGATAAAGACAAAGATGGTTTCATATCTTACGATGAGTTCAGTGGACCAAAGGTGGATGAGGAAGATGAGCCTGAAGCTATAGAGAAAGAAGAAGAACCAGAAGACAAAGATGAACAAAAGAAAGATGAGCTATAGAGCCATATATTAGATGTATTATTAAATAATCAGATGATAGTATATGAACACAGATAACAGATATTTTGTGAACATTTGATAAAGAAAAGATTGTGCCTTATCTTTGCTCACTATTTATAAGGATATTACAGTCCAGTGTCAATTTCTTCCCATTTTCCATGTTGATGCATAAACAATATGATTTTATACTGAGAAATTCAATATTCTTAGATTTTAAGTAAAGTATATTTTGTTTAATAAAATCATGCTTGTTATAACTTGCCAGTTAGGAATGTTTTTTTATTGATGAGAACATGTTGGTAATTATAAGCTCAAGATTTAAAGATACATACACCAGAGAGCCTTCATAATATAAAAATTGTACATTGCAAGAGATCAACCCTTGTATTTAATTTTTCAGCAATAACACGTTGCATTTGTTAATGTCATGTAAACCAAACGTGTAATAGATCAGTCCTGATTATATGCATAACAATGCGATACAGACTTCATATTGCATCAAATGTCCATAAAAACATTTAATCATCAACCGTTTATAAATACACCAGATTCATTGCATTGGCTCTGTATCTATTTAATAAGTTGTATTTGCATGTTAATGCTGTTTTACATGGGATGATTCCATCCTTATTCTAACCAATCCATACATTAAGTGACACGTATAAAGCACAAGCATGTGATTGTTTTTTCACAATCATGAGGGATCTCGTTATACTATAGTCAGTCATCCAACACATAATAAAATTGAAATAATTGAAACAATATTGTATTTTAGTATTGTAGTATGAATGTTTAATGTAGTTACAGTAATTATCATTTATTATCTCAGCTGAGCAGTTTATTTCAATAAAACCAGATGAAACTATAAGTATTATTGTTTGATTTTATAAATGTGTGTATTAATTTTCATTTCTGTTCAATTATAGTGAAATTGTGAATGAACATGATTTTAGATTACACTAAAAGCAATGAAATTGCTACGTATTTATGTATCATGATCATTCATCAATCAGTCACGCTCATAAGAAAATATTCTCGTAAGAGTGGAATCAGCAAGGAATAATATATTAAACAGACATGCCGTACACATTACACCAGTTTGTGCAGAAATGCCGGAAAATCCACCTTTAATTTAAAGATGGAAATTATATAATACAAGAATAGGAATGATCCTCGAGAAAATGAATGCATCTATGATCTCAAAGAATATTGAGAATTCAACAAAATGTAATGCTTGGTTGCATTCGTTATATCTCGGAAGATAATGTATCTCTGCTCAAGATTTTATTGCTTTATCAATTATAGAGATGCTTTTTATACCTGAGTCACATTTGCTCTGATCCATCGCAACGAGAATTGGATCCCAGAATGCAACTCCAATATTCTGCCATATATGGGCATCACAAATTGCCATGTCCATATATGGGCATCATTGCCATGTCCATATATGGGCATCATTGCCATATCCAAAATCCAAAATTTAAACAGTCCCTCTTCTCAATCTTTCTCACTTCAGAATTTGAATCGCGAGTTTTGGTCTTATTACTTGACAAAAAAATTCAAACACAAGAAGTGATCAAGATATTAGTTCAAATCTTTTCATTGCTGATTGTGAATTTATAGCCATAACATAATATGAATATGTATCTTTGTTTTAAAGAGGACAAAAATTTAATTTGGTTAATGTTTTTTTTTAATGTTACCCAATGAGCAACTTGTCCCATTCAAAGCAAAGCTAATCAAAACAATAAAGGACAAAAACCGCATTAATTTGAATCAGATAAAACAAAACAAATACTCCATGTATGTGAAATCAAACATAATATATTTCAATCTTATTACAAAACCTCATATGTTGACCTACATTCCCTTCAGTTAAGCAACCAAAAGTCCCATTTTGAAAAAATCCTGATTTGTGATTTAACATATTATTTTCTTTCTATTTATTTATTTACTATAAGGTCTAACATAAATTAATAGGGTCATCACAAAATATAAAACAAGGCATTAACATGACAAAATGTCACCACCTAGTTGCTCACAATATTATGAGTTCAAACTTAAGTCAGATTTGAATTTCTGAGAACTTGTAAAGTCAAATTTGAACTTCTGAAAAGATGTAGATGATTTTGAAAAAAAAAATTTGGTCAATTTGAAGCAAGTTGAAAACAGACCTTTTTGACCTTTTTTGACCTTGAGAAGGTCATTAAAGGTCAAATGTCAAATCTAAAGTCAGATTTGAATTTCTGAGAACATGTAAATGATTTTGAAAAAAAAAATTAGTCAATTCGAAGCAAGTTGAAAAAAGACCTTTTTGACCTTTTTTGACCTTGAGAAGGTCATTGAAGGTCGAAAGTCAAATCTAAAGTCAGATTTGAATTTCTGAGAACATGTAGATGATTTTGAAAAAAAATTTAGTCAATTTGAAGCAAGATGAAAAAATAACTTTTTGACCTTTTTTGACATTGAGAAGGTCATTGAAGGTCAAATGTCAAATCTAAAGTCAGATTTGAATTTCTGAGAACATGTAGATGATTTTGAAAAAAAAATTTAGTCAATTTGAAGCAAGTTGAAAAAAGACCTTTTTGACCTTTTTTGACTTTGAGAAGGTCATTGAAGGTCAAATGTCAAATCTTAAGTCAAATCTAAAGTCAGATTTGAATTTCTGAGAACGCGTAGATGATTTTGAAAAAAAAATTTAGTCAATTTGAAGCAAGTTGAAAACAGACCTTTTTGACCTTTTTTGACCTTGAGAAGGTCATTGAAGGTCAAATGTCATATCTAAAGTCAGATTTGAATTTCTGAGAACATGTAGATGATTTTGAAAAAAAAATTTAGTCAATTTGAAGCAAGTTGAAAAAAGACCTTTTTGACCTTTTTTGACTTTGAGAAGGTCATTGAAGGTCAAATGTCAAATCTTAAGTGAAATCTAAAGTCAGATTTGAATTTCTGAGAACACGTAGATGATTTTGAAATTTTTTTTAGTCAATTTGAAGCAAGTTGAAAACAGACCTTTTTGACCTTTTTTGACCTTGAGAAGGTCATTGAAGGTCAAATGTCAAATCTTAAGTCAGATTTGAATTTCTGAGAACACGTAGATGATTTTGAAAAAAAAATTTAGTCAATTTGAAGCAAGTTGAAAACAGACCTTTTTGACCTTTTTTGACCTTGAGAAGGTCATTGAAGGTCAAATGTCAAATCTAAAGTCAGATTTGAATTTCTGAGAACATGTAGATGATTTTGAAAAAAAAATTTAGTCAATTTGAAGCAAGTTGAAAAAAGACCTTTTTGACCTTTTTAGACCTTGAGAAGGTCATTGAAGGTCAAATGTCAAATCTTAAGTCAAATCTTAAGTCAGATTTGAATTTCTGAGAACACGTAGATGATTTTGAAAAAAAATTTAGTCAATTTGAAGCAAGTTGAAAACAGACCTTTTTGACCTTTTTTGACCTTGAGAAGGTCATTGAAGGTCAAATGTCAAATCTAAAGTCAGATTTGAAGGTCAAATGTCAAATCTAAAGTCAGATTTGAATTTCTGAGAACATGTAGATGATTTTGAAAAAAAATTTAGTCAATGTGAAGCAAGTTGAAAAAAGACCTTTTTGACCTTGAGAAGGTCATTGAAGGTCAAATGTCAAATCTAAAGTCAGATTTGAACTTCTGAGAACATGTAGATGATTTAGAAAAAAATTGAAGTCAGTCTAAACAGTATTTGTTAAGTTATAGGAAGTTGTAAGAAATTGTTACAGACGCCGGACGCCAACCGCCGGACGCCAACCGCCGGACGCCAACCACCGTCGCAAAAAAAACGGAGACCATAACAATATGTCACCACTTTTGGTGGTGACATAATAAAAGCGGATATCAGTGCATATATCAATAGTTCATGTACTCATCGAATTTAATCTATGATAAATTTGCCACTTATTGTAATTAAATAACAAAATTAACAAAATTAAAAATCAAATATTAACAGGCATTCTACCCAATGGGGAGTTTCAGTTGCCAAAGGGGGGTGTAATAATTGAGTTCAACTACAAACTAAAGCTTTGGCTCCATCTACTACGAAACTAAACAATAACTAAAGTACACTATTAAAATAAAAAATGGTTGTAAAAATATAAATGGTACCAAGCATATGGAATGATTATACAAATGAGATATGACACGCCATATAACATTAGGTGATTTTGCTGTATTCTATATTTTTCAATATATTGAAGTATGGCAATTAATGCGAAGACATTGTTGTTTGGCCATGTGGGTGATGCCCATCTGAAGGCATTGGAAATTCTTTCACAGTCCCTACTAAGAGAAAAGTCAGCCCAGCTCTTTATTACATGGATAGGTCTCGCATACTTTACTATAAACATGTACAACCTCACAGAGAGGTATAATTGAAGTACAATGAAACGTGTAAAGTAGAACACCTCTGTTAGTGGAACACTTTTCAGAGTTCCAAAACTAACTGACTTAATGTCAAATGAACCTCTATAAGTAAAACACATCTCAAGTGGCACATTTTTAGAGGTACCAAAGGTGTTCCTTTTAATAGACAGGTTTTACTGTTATTGATGAAAATAAAAAATCCTTTCATAAACATAAATAACATAACGTTGAATATGTTTTCCAGAAATTGACCCATTAACGGTTACATTAATAGAATTTGGCACAAGCAAAAACTCCTTATTACATCAACAATGTAAAAACATTATAAAAATAAAAAACATTCTAAAATATTCACTCAAAAGTCAAGTCAATAATATATCAATGAGAATGAAATGATGCATTTGGGGCTCATTTTATTCATTTTGTGACACATTTGAAATGTCAACAAAAGTCACGTAGAATTGTTTAAACATTACTGGTGTTTGTAATTGTACACCATGAGGGAAAATGAGGAAAATGGTCAACTGCACAACTTATTTTGCATTACTTGACAATGGACATTGTCATTTTTTGACCCAACCTTTAAATACATCTAAGCTAATATTGGAATGATATAAAGTTTAATATACAATATATGTACATATATTGGCTTGAATTACTATAACTAACATTCCCATGGCATAGAAATAGATTCCTTTTTCATTTTCATCTCCATGGCTGGCTACCCTCAAACCCTGATGGTAAATTAATACCCCAGTTACCCCAGAGTTCTTTGAGTTGTGAGTTGCCAACCCCAGAAATGAACATATAAGAGAATGAAGAAAAAAATCATACTTTGGAGAATGAACCTAACATCAAAAGAATACAAGGCATTGACATGCAAAATGTCACCACCTGCCATTTGTTACACACACCAAATGTTGTTACAGATGCCGAACACCAGCTGCCGAATACACCAACCACTGAACACCAGCCACAAAAAAGTTGGAGAATCAATAGGCCTATAACAATATGTCACCACTTCTGGTGGTGACATAATAAACCAGAGACCTCTTTTAATCAAGCCTCTGATATATGCCTCTTATATGGTCAGTTCAATAAGTATTGCTTATATTTGGAAGCACAGCATTACATATATATCATATTGTATATGATACTATATGATGTATGATATTTAATATGATATATAATACATGTATATGATATTACAATTATGACATATTGTATACATTCTATAACATATTTTGTCTCGCATGCATTTCATGCATACATGAAGCTCTTTAAGCTATTTATAAATTATAACTATTGCATAAACGGTTGCATCACTGTTGCTATGGTAATGTCTTGTGTTACAATTGCTTGAGTATGCAGTGTAGAAGTAGTTGTAATCTAGCTGGGACATTTGCAGTGTATACATTTGCATTTTATACATTTTTAATGTAACTGGCAGACAGCGACCTCTATTCATAATTTTGAAATAAATAAATATCCGGAGTTTTCTCTTACTTTTTTATAAAAGCCATTTCATGGTTGCTACAGATTCACCAGAGTTGCTATGGAAACATCCCGATACATTGCCAGTTGCTCAGCTGCATATTGATTGCTATAGAAAATTATGCATCTCAGTTATTCCATGTGATAACTAAAAAGTTATTCCATGTGATAACTAAAAAGTTATTCCATGTGATAACTAAAACGTTATTCCATGTGATAACTAAAACTAAAAGAAAATGATTTTCTGCTGAAAATTAGTTGCTACTGTTACAAAACCTTGCTGTCATCACAATATGCTGTTGTCCTGGCAACATAATTTGTATTGGAACATAATGATTGTCTATGGATACCATAGTAACTATTCCATTACCATGGTCACTGGTTGCCAAAGGAATACCATCAGTTGCACTAATGCCATTAAAAAGGTTATGTTGACAGTCGCTATGTCGACAAATTGTTGCCACAGAAACATTATGTAATATTAGTAGCTGCTATTGTAGAAAACTGTTGCCATGGATACACAATCAGTAACCTATGCTGTGAGGAGTTTGGAAATGTAATCCAGCAATTGTCCATCAGCCTGGTCCATTGAAAATTTCTTTTTAATGGAACTCTGAAAAGGAGTAATAAAACTAACAATAGTAAATAGAAGGAAATGAAATATCTTCCATGTAATCCTTATTTCAAGTTTCAAGGATTTTATTACCTACACCAATTCGTAATGAAACAGTTTTTCCAGGTTCAAATTTTCAAATAATATTACACACAAATCAAGTTGAAAATACAAGTTTCTTTTCATAGTTTGATCAAATACAATCAGTAACGTTGTGCCGTGGTAAATGATTAAAACTGTTCTGATGATAATTTTGATGATGGGAAACAAATAAAGGACCATTTAAATTAATCAATTCAAATATACATACTCTGGACTTTCTGAGCCTCCTCTAAGAGGAAGTAAGTGTTGGTTCCCATAATGAACAAACATTTGTAATGAACAGATAGGAAGCCAAGTAGAATGTGTAAAATAAACTAGAATATACTAGACTCCTCATGAAATCCTTCATGGATATTGGAATTTTCCTGATAGGAGAGACAAGACAAGATGAAATGAGCCAAGATTTCAATGTTATTCATAATTGATGTCACATTATAAGTGCACAAGAACTAAAGAAGAAATAAAGAATAGAATTGATGTATCTCAAATATATAACATATATAATATAACTAAAATAATATATAAACTCGTTACAATAATTAAGGCTGATTTGTAACATGGTTCACTGCACTCAGGACTTCACTTTTTACCTAAATACCATAAAGTACAGTGTATGTAATTTTCTAAAATCTTCAGATTTAGATAAAATAATACCAGGTTGTCATGGATATTTACTATTGATACAACAAAATTAATGGATTACCTTCAGTTTATCCAGGTTTGTTACACCAGGTTGCCATAGAGATTTGAAATCAACGAGGTCTGGTGCACGTTGGTAAAATTCCCCGAGAGATCTTAGGTCACTGAGAACACTTTCTGATAGAAATCGTTCCTGCTTCATTTGGAAAATCATGTCCATAGGCATACCATAATCCCTGGTTTTGTTCTGAAAAATGTTGATATCTTAATTCTTCATTTAGCATAATCATACAAAAACATACCATATTCTCTCAAATGCATCCTCCGATCACAGGGCTTCAAAGTCCAGAATATATTCTTTCTTTTTACCCCCTGCGATAAACAGTTAGCATTTCCCCGAATAAGAACTTGCAATCTGATTGGCTGTCGCAACACTGCGACAGAAATCATGTATAAGTCATGGCGCATAATTAGATCACGTGATTCAGTTTAATCGGGCACTTCCAAATTGGTTATAGCAGGGGGAAGAAGGAGGTACGGATTCTGGATACCTGCTTAGGAGGATGCTCAAATGAGTTTTAAAAACTATTGGTGATATTTTTTTCTAAATAATTTGTATGTGCGGTTGATGGAGTCTCACATTATATTGCCATTTTAAATTTAAATTTGGAAACTGCACTGTGCGCTCATGTGAGAAAATATGGTACATGTTTAAAAACTTAACAGGTGTATCTAGCGTTAATACGTATATATGTTATAGCAAAGTATTAAAAATATTTGAAAAAAAAAATAAAGTCAAGGAATCAAAAAACATCAATATAATATGATATGCCATCTTTTGGCCAACATACAAGGCTATACTCTTTAGAAACCTTTATTCATTCTTGGCTTGGGCAGAAATGGCCAAGACTAATAATAATGGCCTACTTACTAAATGTTTCCAAATAACAATCAATAGTAATGGGCATGAATAGAGACATTACCCAGAAGGCAAACTAACCTGATATGCATGTGAGTACCAGACTTCAGGAGGAGGCATTACCCAATAGGCTTTTATAGAAGACTCAACATCAGTATTGGCAGGGTCGAAACTTGCTGAAAATAAAATACATAGTTGATTAATGTCAGATTAGTGATCACTCTGTACACAGACTTAGTAATCAGTGCACCTACGTGTACACATGTACATTGCATTTGAAATAAAAGAACCATATTGCTCAAACATGCTTATATGTAAGATAACAAGTCAGTAACATGCAACATGTCACCACCTGTCATTTGTTACACATGCCAGATGTCAAATGCTGAATACCAATGGCCAAACACCATCAACAATATGTCACCATTTTTTGTTGTGACATAATAAAAATGTTAAAAACATGCGTGAAGTACTTCAAGGTGTTTGACTGAGTGGTCTGCACAACTCGTACAAAAGGCTGTGGTGTGTACTTGTATGTCTATGTATAGGTGCACATAAAGGAACACAGGGCTCCTTTGAGGAGGGGTTTCTGGGTCTATCTTCCAGGCTAATTACGTTAATTATGACCGTATATATACAGGATATACCCAAGAGGCATTGCTCACCTTCATTGGTGGTAAAGAAAATACAATACAATATACTATGTACTTACAGACGATCATGCCAACACATGGGTGATAGCTGGAAGATCCAGTTCCCTTCATCTTGATCTGGTAGTCCATCTGACAGTCAAGGTCACGCAGTGATGGGTCTGCTTGGCTCTGTGGGTGACTGTGGTACCAGCCCACCAACTGCAGACCTTTACGGTCCATTGCATATTTGATCTGAAATATGATTGCTTTTATATGGAGTGGATCAATAGGAAAGATTGGGAGGGGGTCTGCAACTGCTTGGCTCTGTGGGTGACTGTGGTACCAGCCAACCAGCTGCAGACCTTTACGGTCCATTGCATATTTGATCTGAAATATAATGGCTTTTATGGAGTGCATCAATAAGGAAGATTGGGAAGGGGACTTGTCTTTGTGGGTGACAGCAACTGTGTTTGTGTAATGGGCCAACCAACTGTAAAACGTTGTGGTTCAATGCATATTTGATAGAAGATATTAATATAACTCTGGAATGTTATTCCAAATGGTTACATTAACATGCAAAATGTCACCACCTACCATTTGTTACAGATGCAAAACAGCACACCCCAATTGTCAAATAATGTCCACAAAAAAGTTTGAGACTATACCACTTCTTAGTGACAAAAAATGCAGTTGATCAGGATTTTAGCAAAAATGTGGAATGAGACATTAGTACCCTGAGACAGAGAGAGACTGGTATATGCTCTGAATAAGACAAACAAATATACTTTTAATAGCAGATCTAGTGACCCTACAAGCAGCTGTAATAGATTTTCATGTGAGTTTGAACACAAAATAAATGGAAGGTACCATGGGCTTTCAAGAGTCTTGAAAGCCCATGAAGGTACTTATGAAACCATAAAATTTTGTCAATCATATTTCAATTGATCCTTCTCTGTTTGGGTTATGCTAAATCAAAGGTAGGTATGTAAATACTGAAAGGGTACACATGAAGCTCTTTGAAAGACATAAAACAAATTATTGGTAGGGATACGCAGACCCGTAGCCAGGATTTGCCAAGGGGGGGTTCATTTTTCAAAAATTTCCAGGGGGAGTCCACATTTGACAATTTTGGCCCAAATATGGCTAAAATCACTTAAGAAGTGCTTAAAATGGTGAAAAACTGCATGATTTTGAAATAATTTTTGGCCAGGGGGGGTTCGCCCGAACCCTGCAAACGCCCCTGGCTATGAGCCTGGGTACTGGTTTGGTGGTATTGTAAACTTACCTCATCTTCTGTGAGATGTGCATTGTCCTTGTCACCAAGTCTACACTTACATGGGAATGCTTGTTCAATAGTCATGTCTGAAAAAAACAAAACATTATTAATACAGCGCATAATTTTACACATTTAAGAAAATATTTTAGTGTGAGTGACATTGTATACGAAAAATTTGAATTTCAAGTAACACACTTATGTTGAGAGTTAGAGTCTTTATTCGAGGTACCCCACAACCACTTATATTTTTACCCTGCGAGCTACACAGTATAGTCCACTCTTCACATAGATATCCAACAACGGCTATACTACATACTTGCATTGAGAGCTACAGTCAAATCTTACCCTTAAAGTACCCTGCAACCACAGTATAAAGGTGCATTAAGACTTAAAGTAGAATCCCTTCTTCCCCCTAAGGTACTGTACCCCAAAACTACCCTGTAGAGTATACTACTTACGTTGAGAGCTAGAGTCCCATCTTCCCCCTAGGTACCCTACAACCTCACTACTAGTCAAATGTGAATGGAAGTCCTAGAACATAGTGAAAATATAACAAATTAATAATAAATAATCTCACATATTCAATGACCAGTCTTTCAAGCTTTCTGCAATTGAAAATAAGGGGGATGAGGAGTTCGCTAACACTCCCTGAACCCCCCCCCCCCCCCTCCTGGCTACTGGCCTGGGAAATAATAAATTCTGCTTGTGACACTTGAAAATTCTGCAAATGAAAAAAGATAAATCCAAATCAAGGATCTCTCTGAAGAAATATTCTGAAAGGGTTTCATTCAGTCATGGTAAAAACAAGACATTAGCATATAGAATCTCATCACCTGTCATTTGTTACAGACATCAACTACGGAGTGCAAAACACCAACCACCAAATACTGAACACGAATCAATGAAAACCTTCCACAGAAAGTTGGAGACTATGACATAAAAGAATAATAACAGAAAAATTGAACTTTTTGTGACTTTCAGTCTAAGGTAGAAGTATATAATTTTGCCAATTTACTTTTAGTCAATACATAGATCAACAAATATGGATTGCTGTGAACCACAATTCTATTTTTCAAAGTTTGTAAACTACAATAATAGTAAGATAGCAGTACACATACAAATATTTATATTATATATATACCATTATAAGTAAACAGTTGCTGGATACAGTCATAGTAAATGGTTGTATTTTCCCAAGGACATCAAATGATAAGCTTTCCACTAAGATCTTGGTATCCTGGTCTGATTTGCGCTCAGCTACTTTGTGATATGGCACGGATGTTGTTGTAGGGGTTCCTGGATTGGATTTCTTGGCTCCGTTGGACACATTGTATTTATTGCTGGTCTTTCTGCAATAACAAGAGTCTTAAAGGTAATCAAGGATATAATTCTACAATGTCCATCTTGTTTGGTCATTTCCATCGGTAAATGATATAACTCCCTCGGTGTAACAAATCCCAAAATTAAACAAGGCATTAACATGCAAAATGTTACCTACATGCCATTAGTTACAGATGCCGACCAGCGCATGCCAACTACCAGACACCAACCACCAGATGCCGTCACAAAAGTGATAAACGAGGCATTAACATGCAAAAAGTCACCACATGCCATTTGTTGGAATTTTTTGAAAAGTGAACCCCCCTTGGCAAAAGCTGGCTACGACCTGCATATGTGCTGCAAACTTCCATTCAAATAGAATTAATTATCTTTAATCCAGGATACAATCAATCACACACTGGAATAGCCTGACAAAAGTAAAGTAAGATACCGTTGACACAAATGACGGATACAACCGTCGCTTCAATTAGATTTTCAAGAACTGTATGTTTAATAGAGCACCGAGACTAAATTCCTTTGGAACAACAATCAATCAAAATGTCTTTATACTTGTTGTACAGGTAATTATGTTCTACTATCGAAACCAGAACAACGGCAACGCCAAAGCGTAGCGAATCCCATCGAACAGCCATGGATGGCATCTTTACAAACAAAGGATATAGCAAAAATGGCAGCCATTTTTCAAAATAGCCACCTTCTACCAAAAGTGTCATTAGACCATGTGCCATGCTTATAGTATTCACATACCAAATGTGAACAAAATCGATCCACTACTTTTCAAGTTATAGTAAAATACGTTAAAATGGCGGCCATTTTTCAAAATGGCCACCTTCTACCATAAGTGCCATTAGACAGTGTGCCGTGCTTATAGTATTCACATACCAAATATAAACAAAATTGTCCACTATTTTTCGAGTTATAGTAAAATACGTTAAAATGGTGGCCATTTTTCAAAATGGCCGCCTTCTACCAAAAGTGTCAAAGGACAGTGTGTCATGCTTATAGTAATCACATACCAAATATGAACAAAATCGCTCCACTACTTTTCGAGTTATAGTAAAATACGTTAAAATGGCGGCCATTTTGAAAAATGGTGGCCATTTTTCAAAATGGCTGCCTTCTACTAAAAGTGTCTTTAGACAGTGTGCAATGTTTATAGCATTCACATACCAAATATGAACAAAATCGCTCCACTACTTTTCGAGTTACAGCAAAAATCATAAAATAACGAGTAAAGACCGCCATTTTTCAAGATGGCTGCCATGTGCTTCTTTAATATCTACATTTCTAGCTTTATTAATGTCCTATATAATTTTTTTACATCTAAAACATATTGCTATTACAGTTACATACTGCACCTAAATTACTATAAATTCGGCATTAAAACAGCCGCCATTTTGAAATGAGCGGCCATTTTGAAAATCGGCTTTCGAGCAGAACTTCTACCCCCATAGGGTATATGTGTACAAAATATGAACAAAATCGGGCCAACGGTATTTGAGTTATTGCCCGGAAGGACGGACGTACGTACGGACGGACAGACGTACGGACGGACGGACGTACGGACGGACGGACGGACGGATGGACGGAGGCGTTCCCTATATCCCTCCGAACTTCGTTCGATGGGATAATAAAATCTTAAGTTTAATCGATCAAAATGAGATACAGGACAACAGACACTGTATTACCATATGCCCTTGTCTTTGTAAATTATATCAAATTCAGATTCCTTTGTCATTGACGATATCGAAGACGCTATATTGTGGCGATAAACGACCCAATTTGATCGAAATTGGGATTTAATATGATATATCATCACAAGAGCTTAATACATGCACAGAATAAGCGACGATAAAATCTCATACATATAGGACCAAGTGATTAAAGAGTTGAAGCGACAGTTGTGTCTGCCATTTGTGACAACAGTATCTGACTTTACCATTGTCAGGCTATTCCGGTGTGAATCAAGCAATAATACAAATATGGCCTTGCTGCTGCCTTTAGATGCATGTATTTCAATCATGTCAGCACCACAAACACATACATATAATATATTTTCCTTAAATAAATATAGTGCCATTGTTTGAGACTATATTATTTCATGACAGCCTTCACATGACATTTTGAATTGTCATTGTGAAAATAGGTTTATCAAAAGCGCTAAATCATCACATCAGCTTTTAGATATCTTTTTCATAATTTGTGACAGTATACAATTGTAGACCTTTCTTGAGGTCAACTGGTAAAATTGCATACCTATACTATAAACCTTGAAAGTACTGTACTCTCAAGAATTACTGTTTAGGTATACACTTTTGCCAGTGTTAGTCCAAAAATATAATAATTGGAAGGATATATTATTGAATATCACATGAACATATTTGATAAGAGTAGGTATCATATTTTAGCAAAAAAAAATCCCAAACGGTCGAATATTTGTAATTTTTTTTATTACTTATTTTTTCAATTTTTTTCAAAATCAAAAAAAATTTAACATTTAAAAAACTTTTTTTCAAAAGTAGCAGTACCTAGTAGCAGTCACCAGTACATATTGTTGACCGCACATCAACCAATCAGAGTTGAGTATTTCAATTGAGGTACTAAGAATATGATTTGCTTCACTGGACCAAAATTCAAGTTACCATGTTGGTAATTGTCTCCAAAATAAATCTTGAAAATCTCAGTAAGAATGGTTGTTCCATTATCACGCGGTACTAACTCACCGGGGCCAAACGTGTAGTTTTAGGGTGTATAGATCCAACGGGGCATTTTGGAATAGAACGGGGCGTTTTGATCAATTTCGAACAGATGCGTAGGACTTTTGTAAATTGCTGCGTTTAATGTAAAAAATATGTTGATGCAGAGATGGAGAGTTTTAATGGGAGTCCTTGCGCAAAATATAGGGGAGAATAATAAAAGAACTGGCGATATATCAAGGCTTTTGGTTGAAATCTCTGAAGATTTGCATCTTATCATATCTGGGGACCAAAACGCCGCTAAAACGAGCAACTCTGTACATAAAAGCAATATCTCGAGTGAAAGGTATTTCTGTGAAGGTTTTAATGGAACAAGTTTGAAGAAAAACAGTGTACTGTGAGATTCACAATCATTGATTTTCCAAAGAAAAGGTAGGTTTAAAATTTAAATCAACGGTTTTGCAGGGCGTTTTGGTTTCGATACGCCCTGGTGAGTTAGTACCCCGTGATTACAAAACTAGAGTATAAAAACACTACTTCATCATCGAACCTGTCCAAGGTACTATTAAATGACCTGAAAAACCACATCTGATATTTCAATAAACATGTGTGGGCTAATTCATCCTAGTAGAGATGATTGTGTTTCATGAGTCAGGTGAACTACAAACAAAAGAATGGATTCAAATAAATAATAAATAACAATAAACAGATGTACTTAGCTGAATGTGTGAATCCCTAGTAATAATGACAAAGCACTATACCAGTCTTAGTTTGAATGTCTCTTTTTTCTCTACATACTTTGCCGACGTTAATTGCTTAAATTTATGAGTCATGATAGTATACAAATAGTGACTGCCATTGAGGGCATATACTATTCCCGAAGCCTGCGGCTTCGGGAATAGTACATTGTAGAGGATATTCCCTCGGGGAAATAATTTACACTATTGCTCGAAATTAGGCAGTCACTATTTGTTTTATTATATACCCTATACTGACTCTTGTCCCGTTTCTTCTGCGAAGGCTTAGAAAAAGGCTTAGAAAGCCCCCTTCCCGGGTCCATTGTTAGCTTTATAAGCTGTGACGTCATCAGATGCTCAACAGAAATTTTTGCCTCTGAGACTCACTTGACAAATTCAATCGCGTTTAACACGCGGAATAGATTATCATAACACTTGAAATTACACAGACGTATTGAGCTTAGGGAACTTTATACACGTTGCTTATATTGTATCGTTCACGCACGTCTGTCATGGTGAACGGAGTTGATTTGTGTTTGTGCTCATCCTCCATTTTTCTGTTTTTCGTCTGCGCAGTGATGATGCGCAGACGTTTCCAAGGGTAATAGAAGTTGCAATCGTGACGTCAGCGGGCAATAGTTCAAATGTATATTCCCGCTGACGTCACATTTGAGGGAATATAACTTTCCGAGGGAAATAGTAAATCTATTTCGGAACACGTGACTAGGTATTGACCAATCAGGATTAGTGTTACATATTGGGTATATAATAATAAGAGAGGTTATTAAAATGATGTACCAATGGTATCTAAAACAATTGAAAAGCCGATCATTGTTGCGACAACCTGATTGAATTGAAGATATTGATACAAATTTTAATTGCCCAGGTGAAAAAACAATGACTTGCCAAGATGTAGATTTATGGGTAGTATATAAAGCACAAAACATTCAAGAATGATACAGTTTAATTTTATCGAGAACATGATTGCGACAGTTTTGCTTCTTTGTATCTTTGGTACACTTTGTAGGGCTGATCATAAATGTAAGTAAAAAACAAGTTTTATATAAATTTATAGATTGTGTTTTACAGATTATTATTTTTCAGAATGAAGTATTTTTTTATTAGACAATTAACTCATTGAAAATATATTTGATGCTTATATCACGCGGTACTAACTTCGACCGTTAATTTTTGACCTACCAGATGCTTGAAAATTAAGGATTGCGAGTCTCATACTGCACCGTTTTTCTTCAAACTTATACCATTAAAAGCAAAACAAAATTGCCTTTCTGTCGGTGCATTACTTTATTGTAAAGAGTCTCTCGTTCTAGCAGCGTTTTGGTCCCCAGCTGTTAAAAGGCCTTCTTACAGCTGGGGATCAAAATGCCGCTGGAAGTAGGGACTCTGTTTGAGAGAATAATGTACCATCAGAAAGGGATTTTTGTTATGCTTTGAATGGAACAAGTTTGAAGAAAAACGGTGCAGTATGAGACTCGTTTTTCAAACATCCGGTAGGTCAAAAATTCAAATTACAGTCGAAGTTAGGACCACGTGAATATGTAGATTATTTTTTGCTACTGAATTTCCTTTATTAATATACTTTAATTTATAAAATTACTTCATAATATAAACAAACATTCTTATTTTCATACCTATAGAGGCTTAAACTTCACCACAAATACAAGATATTACAAAGATATTACAAATGTAAGAAAGTCACCACAAATCCATATAATATTAAATAAATCAACTCTTTTCAATCATAACAGTACTCGGATTCAATTCAAACTATTGCCTAGCTTTCTGAGTTACATCAAGGACATATTATGCGCTTATGAAAACTAAGGATGGCTTCAGTACTGAAGCTCAGAAGAAAATGTAACACTTTCAGAATGGAACGGACAGGCCAATTTCTGTATTATTAGTGAAACCTTAATATGGAACACCTCTGTACACCTCCTGTAGAGCAAATGTGTAAGTTCGCATATTTTCACAATGTAATTTGCTTCACATTGCAGCATGGAAGCCTCCACACCCATGTCCAGATGGCAAACGTTATTGTGTTATTGACCCATGTAATGATCTTGTACGCCCAAATTGCCCAGCATGCCCAAAAGCTACTTGTGTGTAAGTACATCAACTGGCAATAGACCTTTCAAATAATAGGCATCACAGAGGTCGCGGCTTATAATTTAACCCTGCCCCATTTGGCATACAAAAGAAGATATGGTATATCGAGGATTGTCATAGATACATAGTAACTTTTCAAAATCAGCGATAAGTTAATGCTTTTTTGTTTGGACAGATTGCTACCTACAATGCAATCAATATGGTATCATCAATCTCGCCAATATATCATAGCTTCTGTGATGACTGTATCAATAAATGGAAAGGCCTCGTAGAAGGACTGTTTGGGTAAAAAAATAGAGCATAAATTACACATGATACATTTGTTTCAAGTAATCTTAAAAATATAAGCTTAAATAATTTGATCTTATCACCTACTATAATACAGTTTAACCTGTTTTAGTAAACACCTTTCTCTAGTGAACGCCTGTGTCTAGTTAACACCCCTTCTCAGCACATGCTCCACTAACTTCTACAATAAAATTACCTCTCTTTAGCGAACACCTCTCTAAATTGAAAACATTTTTTGTGGCTCCATAGGTGTTTACTGTACACAGTTTAAATTATATTTAAAAAACAGTATTTCAATTTATTAGTACCCCACACACTAATTAGTCACAAACTTTTAAACTTGTTTTAAACATTTTCCCTTTATTCAATCACCATGAAATTTTTCACAGCTAAATTAGAAACAATTTCCAACACTCAAATTTTTTTGATTTGTCTAACTATGCCAGGTGTTCATATATACTGGGAAAGTTTCTCGCTTTCTCATTGGATAAGAACTGATCACTGAGGGAAAGATGAACATGTATTCACCTCAGTGGATGGACTATTTGAATACTTTTTCAGTTCCAACTATTGTGACTACTGCTTTCCTGCACTCTTCAACTTCAAAGGTAGTTGGGTCAACTGCCGTAGAGAAGGTACTGTATAGAATTTATAATTTAGACACTGTAGATTTTAAAAATTGCTAAAATACGGATGGCCAGCATCTTGTTTCATCAAGCTTCGGACCTATCCTCAGAACATAGTGATTGAGCGTGGGAACCGATGGGTGGCCAGAGGGAAACATTTAACTAAAAATGAACCTACAGTGTATGTAGAAACAGACTTTAGAAATACAAATACTCTAGATATATACTAAGGACAGATTTTAATTTTATACAATTTACTATTTTATTCAAAAATACACTATATGCATTGTATTTTGCCTTTTTGGCTTGTTTCAGGGGCATGGCACTCAGATTAGACAGGTTTTACTGTATCTATGAAATGTTATAAACTGATGAATTTTTCAGAATTTGAGTGTGAAAATCCAGTCCGGTGTCTAGTGAATCCATGTGATCATGTCAATCCTCCACGCAAAGGACACTGTGTGTAAGTGTACTTTGTGTATCACAATGCCTCAATGGGTGAAAGAAGATCTGCATATTTTATGCAATAGACTAGATGCGAGTAGAAATAATCTTGATTTACGTCATTAAATGTTCAAAATTCAGTCAAAGCGATGTCGTATTTGAAATGTAAACGTTAAAGTACGTCTAGAAATATAGTTTCGAAAATTGTTTTTCAACTTTGAGAATTTAATTTTTTTGAAAATTTGACTTCTAGTTCGGGTTGATTCCCCATAGACCCAATGTTACAAAATCACAAAAAGTGAAATATTTTTTTTTTTATGGACAGATAACATTTTCTTTTACTTGGCATATTTTTATTTGCATAACTATTAGATACATAAGGGTTATATGAAAGTTAAACCACTAAAACAGGTGTAATTTAAGTTAAATGGAACTTTCTCGATACCTGCCATGCTATCTGACCCGAATGAGCCATCTGGTGGTGAAACTGGTAACTACTTACTCGCATCTGCGTCATTTACATGTTTATGATTATATCTACCAATAATTCACTTTTTATTTTTATAATGCTTTACTACTATTGAAATGACATTTTCTCATTTTTTTGTTTTCATCGTTTTGGTGGAATTACAGAACTACAAATTTAAATGGATTGAAATTGTGTAAGAATATTTCTTGATTGAAAGTGCATAATCATCTTGTGCAAACTGATTACTACGTCTTCAAAATTTCTCGATTTTTTCAGTGCTAGCTACTGTGACCCAGATGTACCTTGCAAGGCAGTCTGTTTTGACCAAAAATGCAGGAAAGTACCATGCAGATAGAAGGGCTAGTGTACTTAACAACATAATGAACTATTACGATAAAACCAAAGTGCCGATACTTATTGTCTTTGCATCCTGGGATTTTCTAGTGAATTTAAAAATATAACATTTTATGGATCATCAATCGTGCAATTGTCAACACTGATATTAAAATAAAATATTTCAATATCTTGAATAGATTTTAATGTTTGTAAGAGGGTGTAATAGACATGAAATACATGTCAATCCATGCCAATTAGATTACTAGACCAATATACCGCTGGACAAGTAGACCACCAGATCATTAGACCACTAGATCAATAGACCACTAGACCATATAAGACTACTTGAGTACTCTCCATGTAAAAGAAAATTTGAATACTTTACTCACTTTTTCTTTGGAAGTGGTTGTGAGAAACTGGAATGTTTACTGTCTGTCTCGTCATTGCTCTCATGGTCTGCCTCCTCTGCCTGGTCACTGTTACCATATCTACCATTATCTTCTGACGGCTATAAATTAAGCATGTATTATTAATACTTTTGGCCAAATATATAATGGGTTGCAATCACTGTACTCTTATTATAGATAATAGTTTATAGTGTTTTCCATACCATATAGTAAATGTGAGGGAACTCCACAATTCTATGTTTAAAGTGTGCGCCAAAGTTTAAAACTGCGCAGGCACAGCGCTCTTGCTAACCTATGTAAAGATATTACAAGGTACAGGCTTCAGAGGTAAACCAGGAAGGTGAACAATCTTCATCCCGAGTTGATTTCCCATATAATCGTAACCAGGCAAATTTTACCATTGAAAATTACTATTAGATATACTTTGAAGATGTTATTTATGAAGCTATTTAATGTATTTATCAATCAAATGGCTCATTTTGAACATTTAAAAAGTATTTGTGTTTTGTTTCCCAGGGAATTGTATTACCATGTAGTACATACATAAATAGTGTACATTATGTAGTACTTGAATAGCCCGATTTATATAGTATTGAAGGGCATGCTGAAAGTACACACACTAGTACATGCACGAAGGCCTAATATTGATATAGCTTGCATACCTAAATAAAAATGAACTCTTCTAATCCCCTAATATAAACATGACGGTACAGTATACGTAGCCCAATTTATCGGGGACTTTGATGGAATTCATTAATATCAAAATCTTGGGTCGGAAAAAAGATCAAAAACAAAAAAAACAACAATTTTGATTAAAATATGTATTTTTCAAACTCTTAATGAGGCCTTCAAATAATTAAAATAATATTTTCTTTATTGAAGCACAGCACACATATAATGGAGTTGAACAGTTTAATAGATCAAACTCACAAATCGACAAATGTTATGAACACATACAGGACATGCTTACCCCAGTCAGAACTGCCTGGTTAGGTCGGACTTTTCTGAACCAAGCAGATTTGTATATGTCTAACTTCTTGCCTTTGTATTTCACCTGAAACAAGAGTAGATTAGTTACGTGTTAAGATACTTGCTTCAGGACTCTGGACCCCCACTCTTATCAACGGGGGATCTATAAGATCGTACTTCAACATAAGGGTATTGTAACCAGTGCCTAGATGCAGACAATTTCATATACATGTAGTGTTAAAATAGGGCTAAAATCAAAAGAATGTGTGACAAAAAAGAGCTCAGTACTTGAATTCACTACAGGTACTCCTTTAAGCCATCATTCATCAGCTGATGAACTACAACTGAAAACCTTTTCAACAGTGGTAAGCTAATAACATATCCTAGAATCTAAAGCTTCATCGCATACTTTGAAGCTGCACTTTTAAATAAATAATATCATAATATCATCTTACGGATGCCCATCCACAGCCTGATTTCTTTTGCGGGTTGACAATTTTCTTACAATTGATCGCCCATGCACTTGGGGAGTTGAAATACAATGACTGTCCAGCCGCATTCACCCATTTGATTTTACCATTCTCTAGTAGATCAGCCTTGAACTTTTTTCCCTGGAATAAGAATGAATCTTGCAACATTTCCTCATCATCTACAGGGTGGCCCATATAAATATATACGAGTATATATTTCCAGATTAATAGCAGACACATTTATTCCCAAACAAAATACTGATATGCAATATATAAAACCTGCAAATTTGACAACTTTGGCCCAAAATCAATCAAAAAATGCTCAGAATGGTGAAAAAACTGCATGAAAGAATTTTTGGTTCACTCAAACCCCTTGAATCCCCCCCTGGCTATACCGGCCTGCCTGTTTGTAAATCTAGAAAAGGGAATAAATATACATTTAACTACAAGTAGTATGTTTGGGAAAAAAGCTCAATTTTCAACTGACTCTTGATCAACTTCCAAACATACAACTTTAATAGTTGTCCATGTAATATATATCAACTTTCGGAGTGGCTCCAGGACCGACAATTGTCGGTACTGGAGACTGTCCAGGGGTATTTGCTGGGGTACCGACAATTGTCGGCACTCTATCATCACCTAGTAGTGCCAGATAGAGAACTGACAATTGTCGGTACGCAAGTGACTGCTACGTGTTTTTGCTAGAGAGCCGACAATTTCATAAATAGATCCACTACTCTTACTGTCGAAATAACCTCATCACTGGTAGCCTAGTGGTTAGGGAGCAGGACTCGAACACACTCGGTCCGGAGTTCGAATCCCGGTAGGACCTACTTTTTTCTTTTGAGGGGGGAGGGGGCATAGTGCTTCTTTTGCAGTATGGAATCTTACAGGCATTAACTTGTAGTGAGCCATAATTTATTTCGACAAAAATTGATTCAACTTCCATCAAAATTGTCCTACAAGCTTCAATTAAAAAACATTTTAAAGCTCTTTTCTTACTCTATCTAATGGTCGATATATACAGTTAGGGGAGGGGATGCTTTCGCCCCCGTCGCTCTCTACCCTTACTACGCCATGGCACAGGAGAAATATCTCATTTGGAATAAATCACTGTTTACTTTGCGTTTGGTAGCTCTCTCATGCGAGATGGAATCGTGGCCATTAACTAAGGGAGCCAAATGCAACTTCCATCAAAAATTGTGCTATAAGGTATGAGTACCGTAATCCAACACCAAATTCGAAAATTCATAACAATACTTTGCACATATGGCGTTCGTGACCAACTATGAAACGCTTACCCCCCATAGTGTTATATACCAAAATGCACCTGTCCATATAGGGGTTCGATTGACCTACATCAAATTATAGGGAGTCAGGTTACTTTTTGAGATATCAGCGTCCGTTTATTGTAACTTGCGTTTGCTACCACTTCCTCAATTCTGATATGAAGGGCAAACGCGTAGTAAACATGCTCACGTTCGGAACTATTTTCACCTACATCGCTATTTTCGTAATTCAAATGAAAGTTGAACTCCTCTTTATTTTGATACCAAATAGTGGCATACTACATGTACTAGGTACCCTAGAAGCCAACTATGGGTTATTTAGTATGATACCACAGGTTTTTAAATGGACTATATAGGCGGATGGATATGGAACCTCATACCATACGCTTCAAATAAAAAACATTCTAGCTATTTTCTTCTATCTAATGGGTAGCAAACGCCCCTTTCTACGCCTGATCGGCTCAGGAGAAATATCCTGTCTGTTTAGACTATATATAGCCGTTTACTCTGCATTAATAGCTCTCTAACGTCTTACTTGTTCATGTTTTTTATTGGGTTTTCAACGTTTACTACCATTCCCCGTTCCCGGGCTACCATTTTTTGACTGGGTTTGGTAATCCCGGGTTTTGCACTTGTTCCCGAAATATCCGTATGATATCTGAAATATCCCCCCGCGCATTGCGCATGCGCCAGAAAATTCGAAAATCAATATTTGTCGGTCCTCTAGCGTGTAAACACAGCATATCTCCCGTACCAACAATTTATTTGTCGGTCCTCTAGCGTGCCACCACATCAGAGTCTAGAGTACCGACAATTGTCGGTACTCTAGCCTTTACGATCAACTTTAAGATTAAACCGTAGTATTTAGTGAACTAAATAAGTTCCTACCAAATATTCAATTGTCATGACGCCATCTCCATAATCCATCACTCCATCAGACATCAACATCTTCAGGGTGATTCCTCGGCCTGTGATGCAATGACGTGTCCTTTTACGCTCCTCTTCTGCACTATCTATATCACTTGTATCATTGGCGTCATCATCAACTGCAGAGCCAGTTGCAGATGTAGAGTCCTCGACATCAGGCTCTATATCCATTGTGGCAGTTTTCATGTGACAGTGCAGTAGCTAAAGCTGAAAGTAAAGATACCTATTGACATTGTACACTCAAACAGCAGGAGTTCCATTATGATAGATTTCTGCCCTTCTTCAGATTTCTTCCTTATGGACATTTTCAAAATTTCATCCTTTTTTCTTTTTGGACAATATTTGGAGTAGAAAGCCAAGTACGTCCAGAGTGTTTAGGTTAACAAAATGAAAGTTCCACTTCCAAAGATTTAATGCAACTTTGTAAAATCTCATCAGAACCGCCACTTTGTTTTTTGGGAGATACTTTTCGGCACTGTGAGAAAAGGATTTCTTGATCATCAGAGGGACAGTGCTGATACTTTAAATAACCCACCCAATCGATGCTGATGACATTACATGTCCTTTTCGGGGATATCAATTAGTGAGTGGCTGGATCACAATCTAAGGGGACAAAAGGGTGTAAAAAGTCAGCCTTGGTGTCTCATTAGGTAAGATTGCACCAATTTGAATATAAGTGGATTGTCTCCCAACATACAAAATTTATATTTAGGGTAACTTCTCTTGAACAGAAAATGAAATCAACTTTTTGACACTTTGACCACGGACATCTAATACGTTCTTCGAATTGCCCTGGAACTATATTTATACCAGGACTGGCATCCAGATCCAAGTATTTTTTAAAGATGTCATTTTAAAAGCAAAAAAGGCTCCAAAACGTAATAAAATATGTAGTTTGGATGTTCATTTATGTCTGTGGATTATATTTTATACCACAAACACTTATAAATACCTGAAATTTGCAATAAAAGTGCCCAAAAATTGTTGTTTCGAAATTCCCCATTTTTCCTGTATCGCGCTAGTCACGTGACCCTTACGCGTAGCAGGCAATGCCTAGTATTACAGATATTACAGTACATATTTCAACATGTTCAATATGGCAAACATCAGCGATTCTGACTCCCGGGTTCTGGGAAATTGCTATATATAAATCGGCGAGAGGGTGTTATTTAAGGAGGACAATTTAAGGAGGGGAAATATGTCCAAGTATGCCAGTAAAAGAGGAGATATGGACTTTAGACAAGTACTATGACGGAGAATCAACTAAAAAAATGTGCGTTCTGGAATGAAGACCCGTTGCCATTGACTGAGAATCCCAGCGATCCTATAATCCTACTCAGTTTGAATTTAGACGCGGAAAACAGGTTATGAAAACGGGCTCTCTGCAAAGTTATCAAATTTAAAAAAATATGGATCTTGTTTTTGAGTGGCTTAACAAGCATTCGGATACAAGACTTGGCGCTATCTCTTGTCAAATACACGCAGACTTGCAGTAAATTGGCCATTGCAAATTGCAAAATCAGATCGTCAAATTAATCGCTTCGTTTTTAAACGTATGCTTCATATCTTCATCCAAAACTTTAGGATTCGATAGAGATAAGTTAAAACTTGTACAGGAAGAAATGGGAGATCCTACCTTAATTTAGAATCGCTGATTTCTCTGGACAAATTCCGAGAAGAAATTGTTCAACATCGCGATCAGCTCAGACTAAACTTACATGTCGTGCATGTCACTCTGAACTCACGTGATAAAATACGGCATTTTGATTGGTTACTACTCGTGTTGTCATGACGCGAAAAACAATAGTAAACACTGAATATGTTAATGAACTGTCATATATGGAGCAATTGTCTTTCTGATTGGTTAACTTTACACGCCTCCTAAATGAATATAGTAGTCGTAGTAAATGATTCATTGATAACTCTGAAAGTGGGCGTGACCAGCTTTATTTTGACACCAAATTCAAGATGTTTCAAATAAAAATGGCCTCGCAAGACGAGGTTGAAATATCGGCAGTTTGATACTGATATGGTCTACGATAGATCAAAATTGACTGCCCCGCGTCATATGTCACGTGAGCCTATATTTGTTGAAAAATGAAAGAGATAGTGACACTTTTTAATCTTAAGTTAATACCAATATTACAAACACATATCTATTTTTTTCATTAAATATTTATTTCTTCATTATACATACATTTGTTTTACACTGCATTGATGTATTTTTGCAAAACCTTTGCTATTAGATCTTTAAGACCGCCGACTCTCGTTGGGCTATTTATCCCTATTGACTCAGTTGTTCATATAAATTTACGTACCTTAGATGCTTTGTAATCGACGTAGATAGAAAATATTGTTTCCTAAATTGTTCTGGAAAGCGATAATTATAACTAAATGTACTTTGAACAGGTCGACTGACAAAAAAGCCGGGCTTCTGGCACGTCTCGTTCTCGCTCTCAAACAAAACGTGAAGAACGTGACGTCACTTCCGAATCATAGCATTCAAAATAAGTAGCGTTTAAATCCCAATACCAAATGTAATATATCGGTGGTCTAGGGGGAGAATCCTCGCTTAGCACGCTGGAGGCCCGGGTTCAAATCCCGCGCTCGTTCTTTTGTTTTTTTTCGAGGTCGTTATCTTCATCGTCTAGTTTACGAATACCAAATGTCGATGTGATGTTTTAATTGATAAATACGAATTCCTTACACATTTCGTTATCTTATTGTGAAATAGCAAACTAAGAGATATCTTTACTCGCTAGAAATTAACATAATATTATTTGAAGCGATTTTAGAAAATTTTGAAACCGCCATCTTGGTAATATTGATGACGTGATCACCATCGGTCAAGGTCAGGTCAAAAGTCATCCATCTTGCCATTTGCCCGGTGTTTTCTTACCAGTCGACAAAAAACGATGAAATCACGTTGAAAATAAAATATACACTTTAAAATAATTTGAGGCTGATCGAATATGACAAGACTCCATTGAATATAGTCCAACAACATTAGACCTAGCCTGGGCCTCGTTTCTTATCTGACATGTCTTATGGCCCCTGCTAGGTCTAACCTCCATGACCATTTTGCCCTTGATGTGTTAATTTAGTCGTTCAGCAGGTTCCGACATGCGGAACTAATTAAACTCCGAAAACATGGTAATATTACATAAAGAATGTGATTCAAGCATGCATACATACCTTATAAATACATACACACCATCCCGTACCCCCCTTAGACCATATTGATGCATAATTACGAAAATATTGGAGACAGGTTTGGAATTTTACGAAAATATCGGTCAACTCCGGTAACATCGAAATTGCAAATCGTATCAGGAATTAACCGTCATTGCGACACTGCATCAACGAACAGTAGGTTTGCAATTAATAACTATTTTGTGTGTATACAAGCGCTATATAAATCAATCAAAGATACCTGCTATCCTCAAAAATAGTTATTTTATCCCGAGTAATCGCGTGATAATTATCAATCTATTTGACAACAATTTCGTTTCAATAGTTTACATTTTAACCCGGGACGAACAGACACAATGGCGGACATGCGGAAATGTCATTTTAGAGATTGGTAAGTTTAACCTCATTTTACTTGTATAAATGACCATTTAATACAATAATATTGTGTTTAATCGCTTGATGTTATGTGTTTTTATATTGTTGTCAAGTATCAGTTGCATGTTATCGCGGAAAAATGGTTTCGGTGGATCCAAAACTTGCATCAATGGAAAGAATAGTAAGGAGGTTAAACTCAATAATGGCCCCAAGAAAATTCTTAATAATAAATAACGCCGTTATTGAGTTTAACGACGTTGAACTACATTGAATACAGCTGTGCAATTTACAGTCATCAAGATGAGCTAATTTCGGAGAGATTCGGGAATTAAAAAAGGTAAGCACTTCCGGTTTCCCAACTTAAAAGTATTTGAAGTCCCAGAATTTCGCCAGAAACATTCTCTCTGACTGTGACTTTGACAGCAAAATTATTTTTGCTTGACCTTTAGATATCTATCTTGTTTGTCATGATATCATTTCCATTACATTTGATACTAAATGACTTACAATTATCTTACCAGGGGCGTTACATCTCAGTGGTATGTCTTGGAGGTGAACTGAATAAAGATATAGTGTAGTTTTGAAAAAGACACCTGTCACTCTTTTGTTTACATGTGTGACCTACTTTTAATTCTGAATAAACATTGAATTCTGATTGGTTGTTGAATAAATTAGTTCAAACTTATCTTATTCATTCATCGATTATTAATTATAATAATCAAATAATAGCCATCAAGATTATTTTTAAAGTTTAGATTATACTAAACTTGGGTGTAAATGATAGGGTTAATTTTTTAATAATTTTAAAGATGGTTGTTCCGACAATGTCCGGAGATGTTGCTCATTTTACTGGATTAGCAAAACAGCTTGAAACTCAAGAATTAGACGTAAGTAATCATTTATTAGACATCTTGGCTATAACATTAGTACATAGGTATCAGGTCAGAAATTTTGATCTTTCTGTGCTTCATAGATTTTGAGATAAATTGATGTAAATATTGGAAATTTGCAAAAATCTCTATTATCGCCCATTTAAAATAATAATTATTTTTACCAAATTTGACTTCTGTCTGACATCCTTATACTTAAACCTAATATTTAGCAAGTATCAATAGGTGATGAAAACAGTTTCAGAAATTATATTGATATATTTCAAATAAAATAATTTTTATCATGATTTTTCACCTAGGGCAGTCATAATTGTCTGTGGTATTTAGGTAGACTGTTATCCCGTTCCCGGACTATAGTCCTGCACTGAGCGCATTCATTTGCCTGTACGATTACAACTTGGGAGAATTATCTACGCCCCTTACACTTACGATACCTACTTCAATGCATTATAGAACTCAAGATGTAACTTCTAATATATTGGAACCGCCGATTGTCTGGGTATATCGGCAGAACGGGAACATTTCTCTTTTTCATCGAGAGAGATTCCATCACTTTTCAAAATGGCGGTTGGATTTAAAAGGGGAATCCCCCGTTTGGCTGTCCCGGATGTAGCCCGGAAGTACCAATATGGAGGAATTTGACGGTTGAAATAAGTTAAATGTTACACGCAAATATTGCGATCAAAAACGAAAATGTCTTCGTTCTGCCGATAAACCCAGACAATTGTGGATTCAACTACACGAAAAGAATGCTAAATTACCAAGGAATCTATTGAAGTAGGTATCTGAAGTGTAAGATGAGTAAAAAATTCTCCCATGTTGTAATCGCACAGGCAAAAGATTGAGATGTTCACAGGACCATAGTCCGGGAACGGGATAAGTAGACTGTATCCTTCGTCTGAATAAATTTAGACCGAATATTATATTGGGTCCGTTGGATACATCTTAGTAGGTATTTAGGGTGGATGCATAGATGTATGCGGTTACCTTGTCATGGGGCTATTTTGACATTGGCTTGTTTTCAGATTCACAGAGTTCGCCATGTTTCTTTTTGAAAAATTAAAAAATATATTGAAATCTCCAATAGGCAAGACCGGTCTCCTGGTACGTCACAGGAAATGACAAAAAAGGAAGTGACAAAACCATGATTTTAAACATTTTTTGAACCAAGATAAAAGAGTTCTGTTTTGACCTCTAGTCAATTTGAGTACGATGGCACCTTAATCCAAGATGGCTGACCCTGGAAATATGAATTATCGAAATAACCCCATGGTCAAAATAGCCCCATGACATAGTAACTCCATACGTCAAAGTTCGACGCATCTCCCCTAGTGCTCCCATGGACTGATATCTCTTGTTATTAGATCTCTATCGACATTTTTATGTCACCACTTAACTTTAGACATATTGTTATATAGTCTCCAACTTTTTGTAAACAGTGTTCTGCATTCAGTGATTGGTGTTCAGTGGTCGGTGTTTGTAACAAATGGCAGGTGATGACTTTTTGCTTGTTAGACTATTGTTAAATGCTAAATGTGTAATCTAAGAACTTGTGATTGAATGATTTAGAAATATACTTTTATATTGAACCATACAGCTACACTGTAGATGAGGGCATGATGATGTGCTCTATAGTTCTCATAGTCCCCTTCGAGCATCATACTTAACCTCTTACCAATCCTGACTTGGGAAGATGAAAAATGAGTAATTCTCAGTCATTTAGATATCCCCCTTGAGAGACCCCTTATACTTTATATCTTATTGGATACGGACTAAAAACACCCTTGACCAGATTGACCTACTTATTTATTTGGAAAGCTTCTTTAAGCATTCTGGTATTTAAACTATTCAGTGATGATGTACTCATTACTCATCCAATGTACTCATTACTCATCCAGTGAGCCCATGGAATCAACTAATCATCTGTTCATCCATCAAAAATATTCAACGAATGAAAGCCTCTGCCTATTGTCTGAACTTATCTGCTTATTTACTTCAAATTTGCAATATTCTTTCTCCTCTCCCTTCATTATGCTTTTACTGTCTGGTAACAAATTATATTTTGTTTTATTTTCAGTCACCAGGTGGAGTCGCAACACCTCAAATATACTCTCAGTTATTAGCAATTTATCTGGTTCAAAATGATATGTAAGTATAACAGAGTTATTGATTAAACAATACATTGTTCACATCTTTTGCATAACACGAAGAACCATAAGCAAGACTATTCAAAAATTAAGAATCAAACAAAACAAATTTAGGGCAGTTTTCAGAATCACACAAGCTGTCATCAATATGAGGGAGTGGTTTGATTTTGAATTTTGTTATTACGATTTACTATATTAAATTAATCATCCTATGCTCCACATGCTTTCTTACCATGTTAAAATCATGACATTATATCAAATCGTAGATTGACTAATACATGTTGACCCTGAGATCATAGAAGGAATAGGGATTTAAGGACCTGTAAGAGCAATCCACACTGTTCATATCTGTACATTGCACCAGAATAACAATATCCAAAGTGCCATTTTTGAAAAAATTGATTTTTAATAAGAGATTTGTCCCAATTAGCTTACTGTACGCCCGGTATTATTCGCGTGCGATTAACTTTCGCGCTTTTCGCGAGGGTGTTAAAATCGCGAAAAATTATCGTCGCGAAATTGCCAATTAAATCCCCGGGAATTTGTTTTTACCCGGGGCTCTGATGCATTCGTTTTGTCTACTAGTTTGGATCGAGTTATAGTACTTCAATAGTACTGTGCAACTCCATGACTTTACTATGCGCATGCGCGGCAATGAAAGAGCACGTGCGCACGATTGTTCATGTGATCGTAGCCTGCAATTTGATTGGACATCATATACTGGGGAATCCCCGAATACGATAAAATACAGTATTCGCGAAATTTAATAGCCGCGAAACCGTGTTTTCGCAAAATTCGCGAAATTAAAGCTCGCGAATAATACCGGGCGTACAGTATCCTCTTTCTTTCTGTGATATTCACTTTAACACCCATATCTCATCTCAATGGCCTGGTCAAATTGTTCTCTCTCTATAAAAAATTATAAAAATAATAGAGACTTAAAAAGACTTAATTTGTTCTAAATGTTGTGATAAATAAAACCTTATTCTTATGGAATATTTATCAAAATGAATATAAATTCAGACAATATTACAAATATTTTGGACTGTTGGTTGTTACCACTTAATAACAAGTAGACATATTTATTTTCAGTTCAAATGCCAAACTGTTATGGAAAAGAATACCACTTTCAGTAAAGACAGTAAGTAGAACCTGTACATTAATGCATCCTACGAACACAGGCCTCCAGAACTTGTACCTCCATAGTAGATGATTCCCAGAGCCCTGCGTTTGGAGGATGCATTAATGGAGAATAGGAGATTTTACATTCTTTTTTTCACATAAACTATACTGCCTAATCCTGAGAATTTAATCATGAAGTTTCTTTGTTTTAAATTGTCTGTATAACATGTTAAGTGAAGTAAAAAAAAATGAAAGGTGTATTTTGTCACCACCAGAAATGGTGACATATTGTTATAGTCTCTACCTTTTTGCATCCTCCTAAGCAGGTATCCAGAATCCATACCTTCTTCTTCCCCCTGCTATAACCAATTTGGAATCACCTGATTTTACCGTATCACGTGATCTTATTATGCGCAATGGCTTATACATGATTTCTGTCGCAGTGTTGCGACAGCCAATCAGATTGCGAGTTTTTAATCGGGGAAATGGTAACTGCTTATCGCAGGGGGTAAAAAGAAAGAATATATTCTGGATTTTGAAGCCCTGTGATCGGAGGATGCCTTTTTTGTGTTTGGAGGTTGGTATTTAGCAGTTGGTTTTCAATATCTGTAACAAATGTCAGTCTGTTTAAAGTTGATGCACTGAGCACATCACTGTTTCAGTCTAATCCAGATCTTGGTCAGGTATGGAGTGTAGGACAGAAGATGTGGTCTCGAGATTACTCTGCAGTCTATGAAGCTTTACAAAAGGATTGGCCAGACTATCTTAAAGCAGTAATGGCAGCCCTTTTAGGTAAGGAACATGTTACAAATGAAGTCGTTGATAACTCAAATACCAGTTGAGAAAGTTTGTTCAAACTTTAAGGAAGATGTCACAAATATAGTCTTTGATAACTCAAATACCAGTTGAGATAGTTTGTTCAAACTTTAAGGAAGATGTCACAAATGTAGTCTTCGATAACTCAATTACCAGTTGACAAAGTTTGTTCAAACATTATATGCTTGTTCCTAAGTAAAGGGGAAAAGGACTTGTGCTTTAGGAAGAAATATTCAAGATGGCTGCAAAATTCAGTTACTGCTTTTTTCAGAAGAAATATAATTTATGTTCACTCAAGAACCAGTTATAGTATTTCTGGTCCAAATGATTTGTTAGCATAATATGATCTCTATTCCAAAAAGGAATTTTTAATATGGTGTCATGACACATCATCAGTGTAGATTTTACCAAAAGGACAAAATTGTTTTATATAATGGTTACAATAAAAGAAAACAATGTTATATTGTAGCTATCCCTCAGGAAGGAAATTCACTTTTTTGGGACCTGAAACAGTCAACAGATTTCAAGTTCTTGGATTTGGAACAAATAATGTCAAAACTACTAATTTTCTGTCAGAAATACTAAGTGGAACCTGCAGGAAATTCCCCAATATTAACGGAACTGTACAGAAATGCACCCATACTTCCAAAATATGTATTCAAAGTGTACACTTTCCAATGTAATTTCAGAATCCACAAGACAGCGAGCATTCACCCTTGTCTCCCAAGCTTATTCCTCCATTAATGCTGATGATTTTTCAGCATTCATGGGAATGCCAGTGGCAGAGGCAGTAACAGGTAAAACTTGATTCCATTCCCATTTTTATGTCACTATAAGTGGTGATATATTGTTATGGTCTCCAACCTTTTTGTGGATTTCTTTTTTTATTCTTCTTTATTCAATTTTAGTACATACAAAATGCACATGTAGTGACTGCCAAAGTTGAAAAACATTGGTGGCAGTTTTTGGGGATGGAGTCAGCATTTGGCATTCAGTGTCTGTAAGAAATTACAAGGTGGTGACATTATGTCATGTTAATGCCTTGTTTAATATGCCATCCATTGGCATGTTAAAGTCTCAAAGTGCCAATTTAGTTCTATTGCAACAATATATTATATATGGTCATACTAATTATAAATAAGCCTGTAAGCCTCTGAAATTGATAAAGCAAATATTTCACATATTAAAATCCATTTGTAGATCGAAAGATTATACCACCAATTTACTCAATGTGCATGCTTATTTCAATCCATCTATCTTTAAAAGGGGACATGCCATTAAGAGGCCATTCTCTGACTTAGTCATTTTTTCAAAAGTGTGAAAATAAAGAAATTCATGAAAAGTTCTTAAAATATTCTGAATAACAAGTTGAATATATATATTTAATGATGGCACAAGCAAAAGTCTGAAAATTAACATGAAATGAAGGGTTTTGACACATGCAAAAGATGGTAGATTTGTGATGAAGAAATAGAGGTTTTTGCAGTAACAACACAATTACCTCTAAGTTATCCGTTATGAGAGGCTGAGGACTAAACTTGACATAATTTCCAATCTCAGATTATCAGTAGTATCTAACTTAAGCCGGACAGCCACTAAAAATGTATATGGAGCCCATAAGATTCATTTTTCTCAATTGAAGTCACTATTTCTGTTTTTAGCTTCAGAGGATAGGAGGTACATGAACATGCTAAGTTTACCTAGATCATAAGCCTTACCACAAATATAAAGTATATAGGAATAGAGTTGATATGTGTGAAAACCTTAAACTTCCCATTTTATTGGGGATGGAACTTGTGGACCATGTGCATTTCTAAATTCTTCACATGTGCATGGATCTAAAATTCTGGCAGCCATCTTGGATTTGTCATATTATGTGGACATGGTTTTGGTTGTGCTGAATTTGTTTCAAAATAACATGTCTTGTATACCTTCGATAAGTGAGATGGGCATTTGAAATTAAATACAGATAGCATACTTGACATTTAATGCAGTAAACAGTAATACAATTCATTCTTACATAATAAGTGAGTCCAGACGAAAAGTTGTTATTGTGTTAGTTTAACTGGGCATAAATTACACTCATTGGCCTTGGTTTTCTTAATTGGCTTGGATAAAATGTTGTTTTGTTTATTCAGAAAAGGAGTATAGTTCAATATACAAGTTCACATTCGTTCCATCCTCTTGTAGAAATGAATCTCAAATATAGAACACAAAAATATAATAAAAAACAAGTTTCTATTAATTGCAAAAGTTAGCTTCTATGTCATGACTAAGTTTGGGTTCCGCTTCTAGGGAAAAATATCCATCTGGAAATATCGTATTGACCATTGCTATACACTCCATATTTAATCCTCCCAGTAAATAACATTGATGTACAGTATACAAGTATATATGACATCAAGGATCTGGGGTTTGGGTAATGTGAGACATGAGGCCACTTGTCTTTTTGAATCTTAAATTCAATATTCTTTCTTTAAACCCTCATATTTAATATTTTTGGAGTGGTAATTCAATTATGTACCTATTTTTTATTCTTTATCCCATAGTTGAACTCTGTTCTGCTCTGTTAGGTAACATTAAAAACATATTTATGATATTTTGCAAATGCGTGGAAAAAGTGATATCTGTGGAATACGGAAAATATTTCACAGATATCACCTTTTGGCAGGGATTTGAAAACTACCACCAATATGATGTGTTTTGTTACATAGTGATTTCATGACACCACGGGGATGAATGAATGAATGGATCTTGTTTTGATATGCTTTGTTTAGTTTTAGAGGTGAACTATGGGAAAAATAGAACATCCTATACATTTTCGTGATATTGTGTTAATCCAACTCATTGATATTAATATCTGCGCTAATTCGCTATGCTAACTTGGCAAGATATTGATATCAACTCGGAGATAAAGATAAAATCATTTAAAATCATATGATATCCTATACATATCCTTTACTGTGCCACAACTTTCTCATATGTTATATAATTTGGCACAGGCCATCATTTATTTTCCTTGAATTCATGCTTTTGTTCCTCGTTTTAGAAATGAGAGGAAATCTTTGATTTTCCTTGTATTTAAGTTGCTTAAATATTGCCCTGTGATGTTGATAAAAGTCAATAGTAATCCATTACAGTCACAGTTGAAATGTACCCATTGCTAGCCCAGAACCTACCAAAATAGCATTTGCATTTTGTCAATATTGCCCTACGTGCTTTCTATGAAAATAATTTTAATTGTATATTTCCTTCAGTATTTCATATATTACATTTTAATATATTTAAATTGGTTAATATTTACATACTATTGACTTGGACAACAATAAATAAAGAATTTTTTGTAAAAACACCAAAAATGGTATATGATCTTTAAAAATGACTGTTGTGTGAACATCAAAGGTCAAAATTCGCTGAAATTTTATTTTTATAAAGCACAAATGATTTTTTTTCAATATGATATGCATTATTATCGGATATCTTTGGGGGCTAAAAAGGGCCCTTAATGACACCCGTCCTTTGAATGAACTGCATTGTTTTCATGTATTTCTATACTATTCAAAGTATTGACAACATAACTGTTGACTATTGCTCATTAGATATTTTATTTGACATGCAATGTTGCATTTTATTCATGACCATGCCATTATGTTTTTTAGCTGCCACTAATCGGGGTTGGCAGGCTGACCCCCAGACCAGGTTGATCTCACCTAAAAAAGAAGGTAAGTACGGGTACTTACACAGCCAATATAATTCGGCGCCGTTACAGCATTGAAAAAATTCGGCGCTGTTCTGGCACCAGAACCTTTCAACACCAACATTTGCCACCGGACTAGTCAGTCCATTTGGTGCTGAAACATCACCGAAATTTGGCACCGAAGCAGCGTCGAAAACCAGATTGCATTTTGGGGGTGTATGGGATGGGATAGGTGAATAATAAGGCCCGTCAGTCACTTTTTCAAAGGGGATGCATTTTTCACCAAAATGAATAAACAGGTCATCTAGCTTAATCTGGTAGGTCATCTAGCTTAATCTGGTAGGTCATCTAGCTTAATCTGGTACCAGATATTCCTCACAATGAAAATAGGGGTTTACGAGTGAAATTAGAGTACATATGTAACAGTTTCTTTCCGCTCATGTCATTACACTGAAAGTTGAAACTCTGGTTGAATTTAATAAGTATAGTGTCAGATTTCAATATAATTTAGAGTGTTGCTGGCATGTCCTTTTGCTTCCTTGTTAATTAGATATCCTTAAAATATTTGAGATGTTATGTTCTCATGTTTTGTAAAATTATAAGAAGTTTACATTCAATCTAAGTGGATTAAGCCAAAGTGGTCTGCATATTAATTCTTCGATTCATTCATTTTTATACACATTTATTAAACATTATGTTCACATGTTTTAACTTTTCTATTCCAGAAAAACCAGCTGCAGTTGCTATCCCCAATGATCAACAAATGGCTAGATTTACAGACTATGTGTCCTTCCTAGAAAACTGATGATAGGCTAATACTACTAGAGAAAAATACAATTTTATATGATAGTTGCCAAAGCAGCATAAAAACCCATATGCAAAACACAAGTGCATAAAGTTGAAATATCCCTAAAATTAGGAAACTTGTTATTAAACATTTGCCGGGGTCCATTGACGTCAGAATCTTGTACATTGAACATGTATGCAAAATGCCTATACTATGTGTTACATTGGAAAAATAATATTTGTGAAACCAGCACCTATGAATACATTCATTATGCACTGTTCCTCAATGTAGCAATCCTTATGCAGTGTTGAATATAGATTTACAGTAAAACCTGTCTAATCCGAATGCCTCTGGGACGAGACAAAACTGTTCAGATTGGCAGGTGTTCATATTTCGGGGTTTCATAAACATGAAGCCAATGAGAGGTAACAAATTTGGGATCTAGAAATAGTGTTCACATTGAGAGGTGTTTGGATTGGAGAGGTGTTCGGATATACAGGTTTCGCTCTGTATAATATAAAACACATATGTTTGTTGAATATGTGTTCTTCTCAATGGACATAAATCAGCATAGGGGAGCAGTTTCACAAATGGCGTACTGGATATAATGTCTTCAACAGCTTATTTAAAATAGTTAATGCTTTTTGTATGGACAATTGCATTTAGGGGCGGGGTCAAAATATCGATGTTCATATGGAGACGAAAGTACTTTCGCGAGGGGGGAGGGGGTTTTTGGGCACTTTCGTTGACCAAAAAAACATCGATAATTCGGATCTGATATACAAAAAATAATTGGACTTACCCACTTTTTCTGGCGCTATGTTCTGATAAAAAGGCTTGTTTTCAATAGTTCGTGAGCTTTTTTGTGTGATAGGTCCAAAATTTCGGTAGATAAAGACGATAATTCGATCATTTTTCAAATAAATTCCGTACTTTTCCCTCCTCCTTTTGAAGAGTTCAATGCAGTTAAATTGCGAACGTGTGTTAATTCACCGTAATAATAACCCGGCAAATAGGATACGATGATTAATCAATGTTTTTTTTAAGTGACCTAAGCTTTCGTCTAGAGGGGGGGGGGGGGGGGGGGGTGGGGGGGTTGTTGTCCAAACGAAATTACTTTCGTCTCCATATGAACATTGATATTTTGACCCCGCCCCTTATGGACAGTGAATCAATCAATATTGTATACTTGATTTCATTCAGATTGTAAATTTTCAAGTTGTAAATTGCCAACTGTATATTGTATATATTGACCTATGTGAACCTTGTTTATGACCATTTTCTACTCTAGCTTTTTCAAGTATCTCCTAAGAGTAAATAATAAAATGTTGGAATATCGTATGAGTAAATATAGAATCTTCTTTTACTACACAAATTAACGTAAAAAATAAGGGATGTGTTTGTCAATTAAAGCATCACATCAATGTGTAGCATTCACATACTGTACATGTAAATTCCTTTAATTAAACGGCTATTTTAAGTTAAATCTCCGCCAAAGTCACTGCTGGCTCAGACAAAACAGTCTGATACCAGGAGAGATAAAACTGTGGCAAGCTGTGAAGTGAGTAATACAGTAAGGATTGATGATGATCAAATCGCAAGTGAGGTTGAGGTAGCCAAATTAAAGAAATTTACAGTATATAGATGATGGAAAGATTGCATAAAATGGATGGATGGAAGAGGTAATTAAAGGGGCAACAAGGTCTGTAGAGAAAATTCAAAATTTTTTACTTTTTCTGAGCTATCAGGGCAACATTTGGCTTAACATCTTCTTTGACATACCTATTTTCTTAAAATGTATGGATAAACTATCAATTTCAGCATTAAGAAGTGTAAATTCAGTTCAAAGCTTCTATAAAGGGAGTCCCACTTATAGATTTTTAAGATCCATCAAGTTTCAAGAGGAATATCAGCTGAAATAATGTTCATCTGGAGGGTTTCTTTGGAGAAAATAAAAATTTATGTTAGTCTTGATGAAATATCCAAACTTGAATATATTTTGACACTGGTCCATGATCGTTGAATGGCCTCTATGCGCTAATAGTTGCACCTTTAAATATGAACTTTGGCTAAAGTTTTCATCTTGTATTATTCCCCCTCTTCTTTCTACCATATTGCAAAATGTGAATTCAATTTCCCTGGCCTAACTCGATAAGCCTTTAAATCGGGAAGGTCAGCACATTTGGTGTAAATTAATTTCAATTTTTTTACAATAAATAGAAAACAGAAATTAATTTAAGCTTATTAATATTTTAATGTATTTATTAATTTATTAAACTATATTGTTGCATTTTATACTATTTGATCAGAATATACTTTATATTCTATTTTCCAAAGGTAACTCCACAAAGAGAACCAGATTTTAAGCTGTCCAACCTCAAAAATAATTTGAACCTGTTTTCTAGACAGATATTGAATAATTTCATGGTTTCGACTTTTTTCAATATTGAATTTGATTTCGAAATTTAACATTTGAAGAATAAATAATGTTTGGTAAAGAAATGTTAACTTAAACCCAACACCATCATACAGCAGATCTTATTTCCACTATTCAAGTATTACATAACAGAGGAGGTGGGTCAATCCCATTTGCCATTGTTTACAAAGGAGGTTGCTTGACAGTCCCTCAGCGATATATACGAGTGTGTATGCAACTCAAAACAATCCACAGGAGTACATTAAAGTTACAGGGCATTCTGGGAAATAAGTTCCTCCTTTTGCAATGGAAACTGGGATTGAAACTCTCTCCCCATCAATAAGAAAATATAAGTAAATCACGTCATAATTTGAGACAGCCAGTTTATCTAATCTCAATTTCAATCAGTCAATCTAGACTCAAAAATAAGTAACAACTAAAAAAATATTTAAGAATCCTTTAAAAGATCAGCTGATTCTAGCATAAAATATTCATACATTCAATAATGTAACAGCTAATGTGCGATAAAATTTCAGTTGTAATTCAATTACAAGGTTTATAAACAATCTAATGCATCCAGCACATATTACACAACAAATAAACAGAAAAAATTGTTCTTGCAAAATACAATAAAACCAGTCTGAATAATTGAAAGCTACTTGAACAGACCAAAGTGTTCATATTCAGTGGTATTCAACAAACAAGTATTCACATTCACAAGTTTTGCTCTATCTTGATTTTTTCTTTGTAGTGATCAGAAGAAATATTAAATCTACATTTTCCTAAACATATATCTAAGATCTTGAATTCTTGATTATAGAAACCTGTGCAATATGAATACTGTACTCTCAAAGAATCAATTATATTTCAAACTATTTATATGAAATGTATATATATAATAGTTATCTATCAATACAAAATGAAATGGAATGTTTATGTAGAGTTAGAGATGGGCTTAAAGAAAGGAACAGCACAAAAAATGAAGAGGCTAATTATTGATCCAGAAGGGCTATATATCATTTTTTATGATTTCTTTCAGTCTAATGATACAATAGAGGTATGTGCTTGCATGATTGAATAAAATCAAACCTACAATATTTGTGAACTTATATTGTAGACTGTTATTGTAGACTATTATTGAAGATTGTTAATATTGTTAACTCTTATTAAAAGCTTTTTAGTCAGAAATGTGGAGATACTGTACATAACTTTAAAATATGTATACATTAAATAATTTATCTGTGAATGCTAATATATACAGTACATATTAAAATAAATCTTTTAAATAAGCATATGACATCAATACCCGGGCATATAACATCAGCAAATAGGCATATGACATCAGCATATTCCATTAACAAAGAGCCATATGACATCAGTACATAAAATCTATATTCAATATTTTTTCTCTAAATAAATATTTATCATAAATATAAGAACAGTGACGCATGTTTAACATTTTTAAATGAACTGTTGACAACTTCCTCGGGAACATTTTTCCACTGACCTCCACATCACTAGACTGTTTTAATACTGTACTCCGCGTGCGATGTAGTTTCATTATTTTCCTGATTGTGGTAAAATCAAAAAAAATAATCGTCATAAAATAATTGTCACAAAATTTCTGAAAAATCCACAAAATTTAATAGCCGCTAAATTGTGATTTCTCAAAATTCGCAAAATTAAAACTCACGAAATTAGCTGGGAGTACAGTCGTCTGGTTTCACTTCTTTAAAAGTGAGCTTCATCTCCAGCTACTACTTGCCCCTGTCTCTCTACTCTCTAGGTATACATGTTTTACTGTTCTTATAGCAGCTATACTATTACACTATTACAACATCAATTATAAAATTGTAACAATGCTAATTTAAATTGCATATTTGTGCTTTAATATCCATATAATACTATTGCGGATTGAATGATGAAATCACCTTTATTCGCTAGAGAGGAGATTTAATCACTCATCCCACAGTGTCTAATTCAGGAATATTATAAGGTTTGATAGCATGGAACACTCGTCCATGTATATGTAAGAAAAAATATACATGCTACATATACAGGGTGACTCAATAAGAATGAAACCCATGAATAAAACTGGTAGCATTACTTTAAATTTATAATTCACATGGTGAAAACTTCATGAAATTTCGCTCAAGTGAACTCCATTCTGTACCAGCTAAAACTCCATCATTGCTGACAATGTTATTCAAAAATGGAGTGTCACATTTCTTTTGGGTCACCCTGTATTCAAATTGAACTTTCAGAAAAAGCAAAAATATTTGAATGCATGATGCAAAATACGGTGAGCCAAACTCCCAACTAAAGGAATTTTGACGTTTGAATTGAACAATTTGAAAGATATAAACATGTCAATTAAATTCAATTGCATATACCGCATATGATGGATTGTTCCCTTAAAATACATGTACACGATGTAGATGAATGGAAGCTGAGTAGTAGATTCAAACAACTACTGAACCATTGAAACATTATTGTTAAGGCACTTTGTGGAAACATGTATAAACCATCTAGTCAAAAACATTTTTGAGTCTCATTTTAACATTGCAGCTCACCCACAAGAAATCATCATTATGGACAACCTAATTTATATATTACAATTTGCCATTTTTTCTGCGCTGAGTGCCATAGTGTTTGTTTATGGGAAATATGTGTGAATAAGCATTTGTGCAATTTCAGTATATGGTGACATCGGGTTGTAGGTTATTTCTGGTGCTGTTGTAATTCATTCTGTTATACAGTTGTTGTTGTTGTTGTATTGTATTGCTATTTTAGACTCCTCAAAGAGTTTGGAGGATTGAATCTTTTGTACTGAATTTTCTCATAGTACTTGTCTTTATAATTCCAATTCTTTCTCATCCCAATGAAGTCCTCTTGTGTTCTGTTCCATGTTGGAATGTTGCTTAATAAAGTTCAGCATCTCTGGAAAATAAATAACAAGTTGAATTTGATTGAGCATATTATATTATAATATCAACTTTTATAACATTGTAACTTTTTTCATTTTTATAATTACATTTATAGAGAAATAACTTTTTTTGATTTCAAGATAAAGAACTTTTTTTATTGTGATCATTAAGTCATTATAAAGATTTAAAGTTATATTTAAAGGGTCACAGGGTCTGTCAATAGATAAATCAAAATGTTACTGATTATTATGATCAGCCTTATATTAAAATGCTTTAACAAACAATAACATAACACTAAATAGCATTTGATAATACTTAAATGACCCTATTAGATAGTCCAGAGTTTTTAATTTCTTGGTCCATCTCTCAAGGTGTGTACTCTTATAAACCTATAGAAGCTGATTTGAAAGTATAAATGCACTATTAAAGACATCTTTAATTTAAGCTGCCAGCAAAGTGTAAGAGAGTATAAAATGTTCGAAACAGTTTACAAAGCAAGCCAATGTTGGTTTCTGCTGTGGAAGACTATATAATAACTAATAATTTACAAAAATAGCGGATGCAAAATAAAAATTTAAGTCAATCTTTTCTATATGCAAACAATTCAATTTCAATGCAATCTCAATTTTGTTTTTGAAATCAATGTCAAACTGGTGAAGACGAAATACACCATAAATGCAATGAATGTAGTTTTACAGGTTAACTGAAGCGAGGGCGGTGTATTAAGCAATGAAATAATCTAACAGTGCTTTAGTGATGTTATAAGCCTGTTTGGGGCATTTGAGTTTAGCTTTCCATTAGCCTGCCTAATGTGGTTGTCATTTGTAATATTTTGGAGAGTTGGATTGATATGGGATACAAGTTTTTCTGGTGTGTATTTCAATTAGTTCAGCTATTTTCTATTAAACACTGGTCATCTTTGCACGCTCAGTGTTCCATGCGATGGGAGAAGCTGAGTGAACGAAGATGGATGAATTGCAACACAAAAGGTGTTGTAACTAGTTGAGGGAAGTGGTATTGTTAAAACATGGGATGTTACAAAATACCAAGCTATAGCTATAAAGCCATGTAAATAATACCTAAACATATAGAGGCTTTCTTAGCTACTGGAATCTTCTCTGAAATAATTGAAAAAACAAAGAATGCATTTCCAATGAAGTAAAAAATGTGTTCTGTGGATTTTTGAGTTTTCTTGTGCATAGTACAGGGTGGTCAAAAAAAACGGAAACCCTGCATTTTCCTCATATCTTTGTCATTTTAGGAAATTACTCCTTGATATTTCACACATTTGTAAATCATTCAATTTCCTACCACCCTACCATATTTCATGACCATCAGACTGATAGTCACAATCTTACAGCACTTTGAACAACATGCTTCAGGTTTGGCCATCATTGCGCTTGAGGCAAACCTGCACAGCTGTCAATGATCCAAATGCATTCCTCAGGAGGTATGGCCTGAATGATACAGATGATCTCACTTTTGAGGTCTGCAATTGTCCTGGGGTCATTATTATACACTCTATCTCTGCTATATCCCCATAGGTAGGGACATTTTGGACGACATGTGCAGGTTAGTCTTCAGCACAATAGTGGCCACATGAAATGTTCTTTAAAGTGCTGTAACACGGTGAATATCAATCAAATGGTCATGAAATATGGTAGGCTGGTAGGAAATTGAGTGATGTACAAATGTGCAAAGTTATTTCTTAAAATAATAAAGATATTAGGTAAAATGATGTAAGGGTTTCCAGTTTTTTTGACCACCCTGTACATGTAATACATTTAGCAAACAAGGCATTAACATGCAAAATGTCACTACCTGCCATTTGTAACAGATGCCAAACACCAGATACCACACACCAACTGCAAAACACCAACCACTGAACACCATCCACAAAAAGTTTGAGACTATGACAATATGTCACCACTTTCTGGTGTTGACATAAAAAGTGTATGCATCAATTTTGAACTCACAATCATATGTCAATTAACAAAGCCATATTCCATGAGAAAATCAACCTATTGTCAAGAAAATGAGTTCATTTTCAAAAGCAAATTATGAATAAAAATACAGAAGCAGACATAAAGAAAATACAGCAAAACAAAACAGAAATAAACTACTGTAATATCAATTGGAAATATCTGAAATAAACAACACAATTTGAAGGATGATAATCAGACTACAGGTGTAAAATAGATGCATCAGGATAATTACCTGCATAAAACCCAATGGCTAGTCAAAGCTAATATTTTTCTAATTTAATTACTATTGTACATGCAAAATAAGAACTATAATAGTGCAAATTTACACATACAGTAGTTAAAACTAAGCTAAGTCAGCGCTCAAAAAACTTTCTTGCTCATTTGTCTTATCAATTAATATTAACAGTCAATTTTATATATATAGGTTATCTCATGGTTAATTTTCAATATGAATTTTATTCAAGGGTAATATGATATTGACTGAGGGAAATATGATATTGACCAAACGAGAGATGCGAAGTGAGTGTCAATATGATATTTCCCTCGTAAAATTCATATTCCATCCCTCCCATTAAATAACCTCTTGTATTTTCAAAATTGCCCTTTTTGCTTTATGTTCATATTTTTTATTTTTCCTACTTTGAATGAGGAAATATATTTGAGCACTGATTCTGTGATGATAAATGTGAAAAGACTAAATTCTACATCTATTGTGATTCAAATAATCAGCAATCAAAAATAAAAGCTGTAAGAATTTGAATTGAATCTAAAACCTGTAGGATGCCACTAAGCTAGCTATTGCAAATTACAAGAATTATGAATTTAAGTGAAAAAGATCTTGATGGTTCGATAAAAGATATTTGAAATATACCTGGTGTTATAAAACACTCTTACAAATCGTCCAGGCTATTTACAAAAACAAAATGTGTAAAAGTGAATTATAATAGGTTAAACCTAAATATAAGCTTTAAAATGGCAATGCATTCATGCCCATGCATTAATCATCTAAAATGCATGGCTAGTAAACATCGCTATTTCAAATTCCACACAGATTCACATCTATAATTTAAATATCTATGCATAATTAAAGAAAATGTGTAATTAAGATTTATAACTTTAATTGAAATGTGTCGAAGCTTACTCTAGGCAAATAATCAAAACAATACAGTATGTGCAACACTAGTTACAATCAACTTAAAATATTTAGGATAAAGTAATAATGTGTTTTCACTTATAAATAAAATAGAAAGCGAACACTCAAAATAAATGTCTATGTAAATCTTCACTTCGAACATGCCTATTTCACACCCTTTCTCTGAAAAACTTGAATAAACTGTTTCATTGTCCAGCATTTTTGTACAATTTGGAATGTTTGTTTTCCTTGTAGATTCCACATTTCAATCAGACAAGGGTTGTCCAAAAAGTCTTGAAATTTTTTTTGTATTTTGTATTTCAATACAGAGCCAATATTTCATTTTCCTTATGGGCAATGTGTCAAGATATTACAAAAAATAATAAAAACAAAAACTTACGTCTTGAACGTGTCTTGAGAGAGTTCTGGGTATTCTTCAATAAGACCATCATCCTTAGCTGCCCCTGTCTCAATACGCTGGTTCCAAAAAGCTGCTCTCGCCATGATTGAGCTCTGTTTGTTTTTCTTTGGGGCAGATAACTTAGCAGGGGGCCCTGCTGGGGTTTTCTTAGTGACTACTATACGTTTAGGTGGCTGAGTTTGTTGAGGCTCCCTTGGGGATTTCGCAACTTGGGGTTGTTTTGATTGAAGCTGAGGTGACTGCTGTTGCTTAGCAACTGTTGCTGTGGGTTGTCTGGGGGAGGCACTTGGTGATTGCTGGGGACTAGGGGTTGACCTTGGGGACCACTTGGGAGGGGCACTATCATATTCTGGTGACTGGGGAGCCCCATAATTTGCAGGTTTTGGGCCACCACCAAATCCAAATTGTGCCCTCATTTGTTCCTGGAAGGACTTCCTTGGGTTTCTAGCGGTGAGGCTGTGCACCTATATCGAATACATGAGCAGGTATGGATAAACTGGGCAAATATCACATGATGTCAATTTTGCGATGACATATGTGCGATACACTTTAAGGGACTCCATTTGATTTAATTGTGTAGTGCAGCGTTGTTAAACAGAAAAACTGGTTGAAACAGTACAATAAATAGTAAAACCTGTGCAAACTGAATGAAAACCCTCAAAATCGGCTGAAATAGTTCCTGATGGAAAGGCATTTATTAGCATAAGTCAAAGTTATGTGGTGCTTTTGAAAATTGTTCCATATAGAGAGGTTTTCCATCTGACAGGTTTCACTGCACAAAACCTGAATATACGAATGCTCTGGAGACCAGTTGAAGGATTTTTCATTTAGTTGTTGCCACTGACATTGCCTCTCTTGCCTATGACACTGATAAGCTGGATAAAATATATCATTAAAAAGTGTTCACGCATTGACATGCTCACATACAAAGGTTTTACCATATTGTAGTCTGTTTCACCAAATCACCATGATTAACCTTTGTAAATAAGAGAAACTATTTTAGTGTCCCATGCCTCATTCAACCAGGGGAGTTCACAAACAAACCTTGTTCACAATATGCAATCAATTAATGTTTTTCATTGCCTTATGCCTCTGTCGCGTTGGATCTATGGCAATCGTATAGCGGCCATAGTTTCCCAAGAGAATGCAGCATAAAATATAGAGATATGAAAAACAATGTAGATTTTATTTATTGATTTTGTGAATCTACGACTGCCATACAGTCGCTGTAGAGCAAATGTGACTGAGGCTTCCATGTATTTACAAATTGTGAAACAAGTGTTGCTTTCGAAAGAGGACATTAGTAAAAATTCAGCAAACTCAACCAACCAATCGCCCAACGACTGATCACTTAAGATCTGAGAACTTTCCGAAAATGGTCATGTCTAATTCAAAATCTCTTTTAATTTAAGGTTGAATGAACTTCTTGATATTTCTATACAATTTAGAATGTTGACCTCAGGTCTGCTTTTTTCTTCATTACTGATTCCACTCTTGTATACTCTATAGTAAATTTCAAAACATGACTACGTTGTATCTCACTATTGATCTCCAGTTTTCCTACAGTTGGATTATTCATAAGTTCTCAGGTCTTAAAGTGCTCAGGAGTCACCAAATATTAATGTACAAAATAGCATAGAAAAGAAAACACAGATATTTGTTATTTTGGATGTTAGTTTTTATTCATGTAATGTTAGTTTATATAGCACCCAGCCCATGCTATTATACAATTATAAAGCATTAACAGCAAGAAGAAGAAAGACTGTAAAAAGTACCATAACCACACTGAATTTGTGCATGAGCTCTCCATGTTAGACCTCCTTATCATCTTCTCCTTTAACACTGCCTGGCAATGACATTAACTCCCACTCACCCCTCCATTTGTCTTAATCTTTCGGAAACGACAAATAAGAGAGTAAGCCAGAATGCTGCCTGGCTCGGTAAATGTTCAGTAAGGATAAGGAGGGCAGTTTATCAGAGAGTTCATACAAGACTGCATTGTCATAAAAGTAACACTTCAACATAATTAATACTGGCCAAAGAAGAAGGCAAGTTAAGTATAAGTATACAGTAGTAGAATACCATAATGTTTAGAAATTATGTATAAATTAACTTGATTGCTAAGGATATAAATTAATTTGATTGCAGGTTACTTTTGAAGAAATGAATCCAATAAAATATAAATCAATTTGATTGCAGGTTTTGAAGAAATGGATCCTAATAAAATATAAAATACTGGTGAAGCAATGTAGTTAGTTAATCTGCCAATCGGCATTCTATTAGTATTCACTTCCTCTTGATTTTTTCAAAATGTTGATCCTTAAGTTCTCCGGGAAACTGCTTCCTCATCCCTTAGTATATTTCCAGTTTCGTTCCAATACCTTTTAGTTTTGAAGTTATTGATTACAAATCACCCAATCTTCCACCATTACAGGGTGTCAAAAAATATTGCTCACTCAGTTATTTTTTGTGATTGAGGTATTAGCTTATAAATATACACAAATTCTTATGAATATGCACAAATCAAAGTGCATTTGCATATCCTTTACAAAATCACAATTTTCACACCAAATCTTTTTACAGTTAAAAACCAAATATCACCAGTAAAAATAATGATTAAAGAAATGTTGAAAAATGTATTTAATATTCACATCAATCAATAAATCATCACTACCTCGCCTTGTGATTGGTTGAAACTTTCATCATCCGACCAATCAGACGCAACTTCCTAAAACATCAAACTCAAATAGTTAAAGTAGTTATGCCTTAATTATAGGTGCATTTTGATTAATTTCAAACTGATATACCAAGAAATGTATTGTCATAAGGGTTTAGAATGTGCCATAGTAACATATCAAACGTGCCTTGGAGTTCATAGGAATAAATGAAAGAATTGGGGTCAAGAATATTTAAGTTTCAGAAATAATTCAAAGTGCAACCAAGTTACTGAACTTGCAGCGATTTGTTGGTTCACCATATAAACTGTGCAACCATATAAAATTAGCTAACTTGCAATCATCACATTTGAAATTTTCACATTTTACATCAAATTTTCACTTTTCATACTTCAATCATGCTCCAAATAATGAGAACAAATAGAATTGTCCAAAATGAAAAAATATCATTTTTAAACTGAATGGACAGATTAGCTGTCTTTAAAATTTTGTGACACTCTGTACAAATGTTGATTTCAAGCAACATAAAAATGAGAATAACATATTGTTAAAAAATATAAAGAATGTTTAGCATCTGATTTCTTGTACCCTGCCATTTCCCTCCTATCTATTCCCTCGGAAAATGTGTTAGAGGGTTTCTCTGAGGGGAGAATGTGGTGAGGCATTAACAGGATTCTCTATGAAGACTATGAACCTCTTGAATACCCAGTGGGACAAAAAAATCTAGTCACACAATTTTTCACCAAAATGGCCCTAACTTTGGCAATTGTTTTAACAAAAATGGCTCAAACTTTGGTAAAATGGCTCTAACTTTGGCAATATCTTTCCAATTTGCTCAAATTAGCTTTTAAAATATTGGTAACAGATCTAGTTTTACTAAATTAACCAAAATGAGTCTCACATAATTGCATGCTAATATTGTAAAATGGCATAAACTGGCAAAATGTGCTGGTATCCAAGGAGTTAATAGATCAAGACAGAGTAGCCCAGAACCTATGGGCTATTTCTCGAAGCATTCCAATTATAAAGTTCTAGGTACCCGTAAACCTTGATTTTAAACGAACAATTGAAAAGAATTCCTCAACCAAATAATGTTTCGAGAAATGTACCTTAAGGTAGCAACCTTATATTCCAGCTACCAAGAGTGTTAGAAAATAGCTTTAACTAGATGTTAGTTTCAACAACACCCTTTACCTACATGTACATATAGGCATGCAAGAGTTAATCAAGCAGCCCACCACCAGGCATAAATGAGTTAACAATTATAGAATATAAATACAGTATGTATGGTAACATACATGTATGATTTCATTATAAAATAACAGTTTCATGAAAAAATACTTTTTTAAATGTTTAACACATAAAATAGAGATACTGTTTGTATCTGTAGTATATAAGTATGCACTAGGTGTGCACTGACTAATAGCTATGCTGCAGAACAACCTGCCATTGTTAACCACAGCCTTTGCATTGCTATTGCTAAAGCCTCAGTCAAAGTTGATTTACGGCAACTGTAGAGAGGAGATGAGCTTCCAAAAGTTGAGAAAAATATGCAGAGTAAAATAGGGATAAGCAGCATGATGTCGATTTTCTATATTGATTTTGTGAGGCTATGGCCACCATATAGCAAATGTGACTGAGGCTTAATGTACCCCTCTTTTCTGAATATATCATTGAATGCTGTGGTAAACATTGGAAAGGTTCCAGAACAATGCTGATTTTAAATAAATAAATAACTGAAGCAACAAAAAACATTTCTTTTGTACATGAATAAATAAATATATGCAATAATACTGCAAATTTTGTGTAGTAAATAGCATCATGTAAATATATCTAATACTTCACTTTGGCAAAAGCTTTTCAAGCTAGCACTACATGAATATCAACTTTATATATCTGACTAGATTCTCAAAAATATTGTCATGGATTTGAATAATAAAGCTTGTTAAATAACTTTTGAAAAATTTCCCAGTTTAAAATGGTGTCAAAGAGACATTTTAATAATTTTTCTGAATTACATGTATTCATAATTTTAAAATAGTTTAAAATAATGTTAAGTTTTCTGTGGATTGGCCACCCCAAAAGATGTCAACTTTTTCCGCGTTTTCTACTCTCAAGATCCTGATTGTCATCTATGTGCATTTGGCGTCTCGTATAATTTTTTAACAATTTTTGTTGTTGTTGTATTTGTTGTTACTTATATGAGAAAAATTTAAGTCCAAATCATAAATCTTTAATTTATCGACTGATTGCAATGCCGATCCTTCTCTAAAACATGGCGACACTATCAATTTTTGATGTAATCTAAAAAGCTATCAAATAATTGAAGCTCCATTTAAATAGATGTCAGTCTTATTTTCTCACACAGAATAAAACCTTTATCTACTTTGAGAATTTCACGAAATTCTTCACTTGTCGAAAAAATGAGATTTTCTCGAAAATGAAAACATGATCGCCATTTTATTTTAAAGAAGGATCACTCTTCCGACTGCAAGGGAAATAACACTAGTAAACTGCTGACCCGCTTAAAATTCCCATCTCCCATGTCTTTGTCATCGCCGTCTTTAAACACTCCTAGAAGGTGTTTCACAGATGGAATTGATTCTTCATCAAACTCGCCGGAAGTGACAGGTATTTGGTCCCGTTCAGTGGAGCCGCGGATCTTCTGGCTTCCTTGTTTGCTAAGCTCAGCAACATTCCTCTCAATGTCACCGACCTTCAAAAATTTCCAAAACATTGAATTTTATTTTTGAAAATATGTTGCCTAAATGAATCGACTTGTTAAATTATTCTTAGTGATTACAATATATGTCTGTATGTGCAGTTAAGTGAAATGATATTTTCACCTTGAAAATGTATCATACATGTATAAAGAGGCACAGTTACACTAATGTATGGCTAATGAATCATTGAGTTTAAGACAAAATATACCGATTGCTCTGTTTGGGAAACCTGGGCTACAGCTCTCGCTACTTGATCCTCTAGTGCTGCCACCTTTTTGTCAGAGGTTGAACCATCAATATCGCCTACTTTTTTCTCTAAGGCTCCTACGCGATCTTCATAATTGAACACTTGACCAGCCGTCATATAAATCTGCAATATTTTAAATTACTGTTAATTTTAAGAAAATTTCAATGAAATAATCATATTCAGGAATATTTTCTCGCAAATATCCAAGACCATATAATATTAATTAACTCTTAGCTGTCTGAACCATGATTTCATTGAATTTGAACCTGTGGCCTGTTTGCCATTTTCCATAACAGTGTTCTGGATGAATAAACTCATCAACAGACACCAGGGATTGGCAAAATGTGAATATGCTCAACAACAGACTGGTAAGGGTTAACTTTCTCTTACAATTCAGCTGACATTGTAAGATCGAACAAATGTCACAAATTGGAATTGAAGCTATTTTCAAGAAATGCCCTCCAAAATTACATCTTGAATCACTTCAGTTCATACCCAAATCTTGCATCAAATCCTTTGTTAAATAGCTCCCCTTGACATTCTTCTCCCCTAAAACCAAAATGTTAGGGTTAAGGAGTGAGTAAATGGCCAGAGAATGGGAGGTGAGTTGGATAAAAGAGTGGGAGACCAGGGGAGAGACTTGATGCAAGACCACCTCATATTTTCCAACAGAATGATAATTGGTTAATCATGTAATTTTAGTTTGTAGTGTAAATGAGTATATAATAAGCATTGATGCAATATATATAATACATTATATGTTACATTATATGCCAGTGCTGCATTCAATAGCTTTAGCTTAGTTTTGTGACGGAGTGATTTTCATGTTGTATTTTATAATTAATATCTTATACTTTTACTTTGTTTTTACTTTGTAAATTAATTAATGGAAACATGATACAAAAAGCATTTAGATAAACCCGGGTCATGTAGTACACCTGGGATATCTCTGGTCAGTTTCTCACATTAAATATGCAATCATTACAATTGTTCAGAGCATCTTCAGACTTACAAATGTTTCTTTAATTTACATTTAATTTACATTTCTATATCTTGGATTATAATTAGGATTTGAAGCAGTCTTCCCATTGTTAAACTTTTTACATAACAGATTTGAAGTGATCATGTGATGTCTGGTTTTGAAGAATATACTATATGCCATGTGAGATTTGGGTCACTTTTCGGCCTAGACTTCAAAAAGACATAACTAGATTTAGCAGTAGCTTAGAAGTGAAAACAAGTGAAATAAATAAAAGATAGAAATTAAAACATCACACTATTGTGTAGAATTAATATAAAGAAAGCCCGGTCATATTTTGGTGGAGCTGCCTGAGGTTTAACAACAATGGATTTATCAATATTGGACAAATTCCATGGAAAATCAGAAGAAAACGTTATTATTTGGTTAAACACTATTGACACATTCGCAAATTTAAAGAACTGGAACCAACAAAGAAAATGTAGTTTAATCCCACTTTTAGTCAAAGGAGAAGCAGCAAAATACTTTGAACAATTAGAGGAAAATACAAAGAACGACTGGGAGGAATTGACGGAAGCACTTAAAGAAAGGTTCCCACCCAAACAATCGGAAAGATGGGAGTTGTTGGATAAATTGGATACTCTCAAACAAAATGATATGTCTGTGGATGAATTCCACAGCAAGCTCATGTATTATACCAGCAGACTAAAAAAGGATGCTGAGGATGTTAAGGAACTCTTTGTCCAAGGATTGAATACATCTACAAAGAACTTTGTAAGGCTCAAAGAACCTGAAAATTTAGAACAAGCTGTTAAGTTCGCAAGGATTCATAGCAACATGCCCCAAGATTCAGCGCCAGAGATGTTAGCAGCCTCGATTAAAATTCTCACGGATAAAGTCGATAAGCTATCCGTTGCTGCAGTCACAGTCGATGCCATGGGTCAACGCTATGCCAACAATAACCAGTTTCCAGTGCAACAAAGTGCCCAAAGACAGCAGAACCAGTATCAACCGCAGAATCAGTACCAACCGCAAAAGCAGTATCAACCGCAGAATCCGTTTCAACAACAGAACCAATTTCCTGGGAATCAACAGTTTACGCAACAACAGAAACGGTATCCCCAACATGACCAACAATTTATGCAGCAAAATCCATCAAGCAGAAACCAGTGTGAGAGGTGCGGTAAGTCAAACCACCTTTCATTAAATTGTTATGCTAGGTTTAAGCAGTGCTTTCAGTGTGGTCGCGGGGGGCATTATTCGTATATGTGTCGAAACGTTGCTAAATGAGGACTCGCGCCTGTTCCTCATAGGGATGGGCACCTTGAAACTAGAGTTGACAATCAAAAGTTTAAACAAGTGAAAAGTGATAGTGGCAAGGTGGCCATCCCTGCAGTTCAATCAGTCAAGGTTAATTTGCAAAGATCAGTTTCAAACATAATTATTCATACAAACATAGTTGACAATAATATCAAAGCCTTGGTAGATACTGGTGCAGAACAATCCTGTATGAGATTAGCACTCTATGAAAAATTGAACTTGCACAAGAAATGTCCTATCAGTCCAACTAATATTGAGTTATATGGGGCTGGGGGAGAAGCGCACAAGCTAGAAGTACTGGGTGTGGCAAATGTTCCTCTAAAATTTGAAGATATTGAATATGTTCAACCAATGCATATCCTCAAAAGTGCAAATCATGATGTAATTTTAGGTGAGGACTTTTTCTCACAAAGTAAAGCACTCATAGACTTCACACAAAAAGTTGTCATTTTACAAAGGGGAGATCCTACTAAACATAGTACATATACTACTAATGAACCAAGACTAACAGCATGTGTAAATAATGTAGCTATTGGTAGTGAAGTACAAACATCAGGTATCAATCTAGAGAAATGTAAATTACCAGAGGGGGAAAAGACAAAATTGGTAACTTTCATCGATAAAAATAAAGATGTCTTTTCTCAAAACATGAACGAGTTAGGCTGTGCAAATAGTACATATGAGCATGTTATAAGAACAAAATCAGATAAGCCAGTCCAGCAAAGATTCTATAGGTATTCTCAAGAACAGAAAAATGAAATTGACAAACAATGTGACCAAATGTTAGAATATGGCATAATTGAACATTCTGTGTCAGAATATGCTAGCCCTGTTGTGTTAGTGAAAAAGAAGTCAAATGAGTACAGGTTAGCAATAGACTACAGAAGGCTCAATAAAAACACAGAAGCAATTCATTACCCTCTTCCACAATTAAATGACATTATAGATTGCATAGCGCATTCAAAAGCAACAATATTTTCAGTTTTGGACATGCATAGTGGGTTTTGGCAATTACCTCTTAGTGAAAGCTCAAAGCATAAAACAGCATTTGTAACCCACAAGGGCAAATTTCAGTTCAACAGAATGCCTTTTGGCCTCAAAAATGCACCAATGTCATTTCAGAGGGTCATGAATGATGTTTTGAAAGGTCTTACATGGGACTTTGTGTTGGTTTACTGTGATGACATAATTGTTTTTAGTAAAGACATGAAAGAGCATTTAAACCATTTAGACCAGGTATTCACAAGACTTAGAAAAGCAAATTTGAAGCTTAAACCCTCAAAATGTAAACTAGCACTGGAAAAGGTTGTTTATTTGGGTTTTGTCTTCACCAAAGAAGGTATAACAGTAGACAATGAAAAGATCAAGGCAATTCTATCATACCCACAACCTACAAATGTCACAGAGGTAAGGGCATATTTGGGACTTTGTAACTTTTACCGCAGATTTGTTAAGGGTTTTAGTAACATAGTAGCCCCACTAAACAATCTTATGCGAAAAAATGTCGAGTTTGTTTGGGATGAACAATGTGAAAATGCATTTCAAGAATCAAAAATTATGTTGACTACAGAACCAGTGTTAGTATATCCTGACTTACAAAAGCCGTTCATTATATCATGTGACGCTTCAGGTACAGCTATTGGTTACATATTAGGTCAAATAGACGAACAAGGGAGAGAGAGAGCAGTTAGCTATGGAGGTAGGTCACTCTCAACAGGAGAGAGAAAGTGGTCCATTACTGAGAGAGAATGCCTTGCTTTAATTGAAGCAATCAATGAATACCACATATACATAGCAAATGCACATTTTATAGTTTACACTGATCACATCTCATTAAAGTACCTGCAATCAATTAAAGATCATACAGGTAGGCTAGGTAGGTGGTCAATCAAACTTCAAGCATATGATTTCACCATTGAGTTCAGGTGTGGCAAATCAAACTCAAATGCAGATGCATTAAGCCGGAGACCATATGAAGTAAATGAATGTAAACAAATGTGTCAACAAACCACAACAATACAAACAGAGGACTCAGGTATTACACAAGACAACTGCACTGATGAATGGGTAGCTTATAGTATTCCAAGCCCTACTACAATGCAAACAGGTAATATAGGGTCAGAAGGTCAAAATGTTAAGTGTCCAATAAGTGAATCAAAACAACAAACAGGTATGTGTAGTGACCTAAGTGCCCTAAGTTCAATATGTGAAATTACTCAATCATCAAATGAGGTGTTTCAAAATAAACAAAGACAAGATCCCCAACTGCAAATGTACATAAAGTATTTAGAGCAAGATGAGTTACCAGACAAAGAGAACTTAGCAAGAAAGGTAATACTTGAAAGTCAGGATTTTCTTATCAAAGATGGTATTCTATATCATATGTATTATCCAAGGGGAAAAGGTCATAAATCAGACAGAGTTGTAATACAATTAGCAATACCACAACAATTGAGAGAGGATGTTCTACAGTGTTATCATGACTCCTTAATGGGAGGGCATCAAGGTCAAGATAGGACATACAACACAATCAGGTACAAATATTACTGGCCAAAAATGTATTCTGACATAGAGAAATATGTAAAATCGTGTGAAATTTGTCAACAATCAAAAAGGTATCATGGCCAGAGAGCACCCTTACAACCATTACCAACAGGAAGTCTATTCAGTCGTGTCCACATGGATATACTAGGACCTATACACAAGGTAAATGGATTTCAGTACATTCTTTTGATTGTAGACTCATTTTCGAAGTGGCCAGAAGCGGTAGCCTTGAAATCTATAGAGGCAACAGAGGTAGCCAGGGTATTGTTTACAGAATTCATATGTAGATATGGTTCCATGAAGACTTTAATTACAGATAGAGGCCAGAATTTCATGTCAAAAGTTATTCAAGAATTGTGTAGAATGTTTGGTATTGAACACAGGGCAACCTCAAGTTATCACCCTGAGACCAATTCAAGCTGCGAAAGGATGAACAGTACAATCAATCAAGCATTTAGGTGTTTTGTTGATAAACAACAATCTAATTGGCCACAACTTTTACCAGGTATTTTAGCCTCTTATAGGTTTTCACCAGCAACTGAGTCTACTGGGTATTCCCCTTACTATTTGTTGTATGGTAAGGAACCCCTTATGCCACTAGATACTATGGTACCAGTAAGTATGGGACAAAGTACAGTCACAGACAGACTACAAGATATACAAACTAACTTAGAGGTAGCAAGGGATATAGCTAAAGAGAATCAAGAAGCTGCAAAGATAAAGACTAAAACCCAACATGATAAAAAGGCAAAAATGCCACAGTTCAAGGTAGGTGATCGAGTATGGTTACATGTGCCTAAAACTCCAACAGGTTTAACACCTAAACATTGTAGAAAATATCATGGTCCATATTATATTGTAAGGGCTAATGCTAACATGACATACAAACTAATAAGGTGTAGTGATGATCGTTTATTGAGGTCTTTGGTACATGCAAATAGATTGAAGCCTTATGTAGATCCAGAGACAAGACCAACAAATACACCAAGAGTTCAACAGGGACAGGTATTACAGGATGACAATCATATTGATCAAGGTAGTAGTAGTATTAGTGATAGTAGTAGTGAAAGTGATCAGCAGCCACCTCAGGTACAAGAAGTTGAGCGACTCTTGGCATGTAGTAAACACAATGGAAAAAAGTGTTATAAGGTGAAGTGGTGTAATGAGAAAAAGAGTACATGGGAGTATGAAGAAAACATTCCAAGAAATTTAATAAGGGAATACCATATCACCAAAACAAACACTGGTAAAGTAAGGAAAAGGAAAACTAGATAAGAAAACAAATTGATACATCATGCATGCATTTGAGTCCCATATTAGTTAGTTGTTTGAGTAAGTACATGTAGGCATTATATGATGTATGATATGGTATTGTAAAGAAACTATAGCAGTTTATTGTTTGATATGTTATATGGTACAAGTATACAGCACAGGTGAGGTATAAGAGATGATGCTATTAAATTAAGGTAAGGGTATCAGGTGTAAATGTAAAGATAAAAGAGTATTAAGTGAGAAATAATAAAGTAAATGAAATGTAATGAAGCAAGTGAAATGATAATAAAGCAAGTGAAAAATAAAGAGAATATCTGGTTCCAATCAAGAGGATTAAAACACAGGTCTACTTAATGTACAGGTAGATCTGCGGATCCCAGGAAGATCAAACCTTAAAGAAAAGGTTAACCTAGGACAACGTGCGACCTAGTCTGAGTTATTTTATGGCTAAAACCCCGCATTACAAATGCAGTAATAAGACGTTGTTATCTGTGTATGTAATTGTGTAGCCAGTGTCTTAACGTCTAATTAAAGGGGCAGGTAGTGGCTCACGAATACGGCAACCCCACCTTGCTGTCATTTATACAGTAAGGTAAGTCCAAGTTCTGACACAAGCACGTAGTACATATAGTGTGTAGAAGCGTTAGTTAGAATAACATATGTAGTTCAAGTGAAAGTAAAACAAATGTAGTCCAAGTGAAAGTGAAAGAAATGTAGTTCAAGTGAAATCCTAAGGAAAAAGGATAAGATATAGTGAGCCAAAATAAAAGTGTCAATATTGCATGGCCAACCCTGCTAATATTTTTAGATGTCTTAACCTGTAAACTAATAAAGTGTTAGGATTATTTACTAATATTTAGTATAGTGCCTTCTGGTAAATATAGTTACTGGGTGCAAACTACTTCCTGGGAGCTAGACACTAATTGGGACCAGTTAATTTGAGAATGACAACTTATAATAATCTTAATTGTTCAAAATATATAATTAATTAATCCTAAATTAAATATCTATGTACAACTTAAATTGAATTCATGGACTGCTACAGTCAGTTTACATTGTTTAAGAAGTTCAATTGCAAGGGATTATTTGCCTTACTTCTCTTATACTTCATCAATGTGAGTTTCTCATTATTATTTAAATGTGCCAGACAAAGGTCATATACCAAAGCATTATGGTAGAGATAAAGTTTGCACAAACAATTATGATGTGCATCATTAACAGTGTTTATAAACAAAACTTAGTAGAAAGGTAGGATTTAGTGCAAGTTAATCTTAACTAAATATGGTTATAATAGGCCATAAAAGATTTTTTTTCTCCTGTACATATGATTGTAATTTTTAACTCAAGAAAATACAGGATTGGATTGTGCCAAGTTGATAAGTTTTTACTGGCAACAGAATCATACGCGTAAAATTCTGTGCCGGTGCATAATGAGTGATCAATTACCTTTGTTGGTTGTTAATTACAGTTTGGGTATTTTCACAAAGAAATTGTCCTGTTTATAATTGTTTTATTGAGTTTAATAATTATTATGGTAGTTTATGATGATTTTAGTTAGATAACCAGTATGTAAATTGTAAAGTAGAGTATACAAATAGGTGTTTAAAAAAAAAAATATATATATATATGCGACCACTCTGAACACTAAATTGCTTAAAATAAGAATTGCTAGCAGACAATTTGAAAGTTGGTAGACTTATGGCCTCAAAAATTTATGGAGGAGTTATTAATCTTCTAATATGATGAATTTCTTGATTAATGAAAATGATGCTGAATTATATTAACTCTGATAGTGCAACAATTAATATTATAAACAATGTGACTTTACTTCAGGAAAGAAGGACAATATGACACTCCTCATCTCCAGGCAATGACATCAACATTGGGCGATGACATCAACGTTGGACGTTGATATAACATTTTACGTATTTTATACTTTGATAGAATTTAACATTACAGGTTATATATTTTTAACTTGGACTGATTAAACGGAGTGATTTTCATTTAGAATGCGGGACGCATTCTTTGGAGGAGAAGCAAATGTGACGGAGTGATTTTCATGTTGTATTTTATAATTAATATCTTATACTTTTACTTTGTTTTTACTTTGTAAATTAATTAATGGAAACATGATACAAAAAGCATTTAGATAAACCCGGGTCATGTAGTACACCTGGGATATCTCTGGTCAGTTTCTCACATTAAATATGCAATCATTACAATTGTTCAGAGCATCTTCAGACTTACAAATGTTTCTTTAATTTACATTTAATTTACATTTCTATATCTTGGATTATAATTAGGATTTGAAGCAGTCTTCCCATTGTTAAACTTTTTACATAACAGATTTGAAGTGATCATGTGATGTCTGGTTTTGAAGAATATACTATATGCCATGTGAGATTTGGGTCACTTTTCGGCCTAGACTTCAAAAAGACATAACTAGATTTAGCAGTAGATTAGAAGTGAAAACAAGTGAAATAAATAAAAGATAGAAATTAAAACATCACACTATTGTGCACAATTAATATAAAGAAAGCCCGGTCATAGTTTAATAAAAACACATTTATCTCTTTTTATTAGAAGATTAAAATCTTGAAATCCATCATTAATCAATATAAAACGATTAAAAATGTTTAACATTATCTAGTTAAAAAAAAGAAGTACATGTAGGAAAGAACATGCAATTTAAAGGTTTTAACATGCAAAATGTCACCACCTGCCAGTTGTTACATATGGTGGTGACATACTAAAATAAAACTATTCTATGAAAAGCAATACAAAATACCAACAAAGACAGATATTTTGAGTTTTAGTAAAGTATTTTTATTTAATCTCCGTTTAGTAAAATACAAAGCTACAGTTGCTACACTTAGTGTATATCAATTTAAAGCTATGTCAATGTGTTAATAGAAAGTAGCGACATGCAAATTGGAAAAAATAGAAAATACATTAGTATTTACAATAACCACTCCAAAAATAGCCTATCAAAGTTGCTTATATTCAGTTAAACAATGCATTATGAATTGTAAAATGTAAGGTAGCTAGAAAAGTTTTGAATGATAACATGCATAAAAGATATAATCCATTTAAAAATATCACAATAAAAGTACAATATTTATACATGTATTATTCTAATTGAAGCATTACAACATCATATTAAAAATGTAAGATGATTATTAGGATATTAAAAGCTTGTAGATATCTCTATGGTAACAAGGTGATTCTATGACAACGGTGAATATGGTAACATATGGTAACTATGCATTACTTCATCTTCTGTTGAATTGGCAAGAGTTGTCCAGTCACGGTTGTCTAATGGAGGTGACCAAGCGTCCTAGAATCATCGTAAAATTAAGTTCATAGTTACATAACATAGTCTAGTTACTTGTTTAGTTACATTTTAGAAAGTACAAAAGAGAGTGTAATTCATGGGGAAAAAGCTCATTTCAAGAATTAGTCATTTTGGCATTAGAATTTTATATCCACCAGTTAATCAGTAAATGTAAAAGCATGAGTGTCAGTAATGTTTATGCATGTCCAGGTCAAACCATCAAAGCTTCTCTTCAAAATGTTTCATGTGTTAAAGTTACACTCTGTCATGCAATCAAAAATAATACTGGCTTGAGGATTGGTTTTTATCATATTTATGTGCTAGGCTCTCATTCAGTATTGGTTTAAAATCCATTGCCAAATCTTTTTTACTTCAATAATTTCATCGTAATTTTGAGGAATGACACTTTGCAAGATGCTTTGAGGTTTCTCCATAGTTAGTACCAACACAATTCCTCTTATGAAAATTCACTAAGAAACAAAACCCATACTTCTACTTGCACAAAGAATTCATCTACAGTATTGAACAAATATTTGTAAAACTTATTCTATGAGATTCTAATTCAAAATTACTTAATTTGAATTCATGAGTTTTTCAAAAGATATCTCTAAATGAGGAATATGAAATACCTCTTCTTGTCTCTGGATCTCTTCATGAGGATCTTCGCGGTGAGCTGCAGGTGTTGCTCTTACAAGGGGCCCTCGAGGAGATGTAGTTGGTGAAGGGGTCTTAACTGCCCATTTTGTTTGCTTTGGTTTCGACGAACTAACGTGGAAATCTCGTTTGTATCGTTGCGAGTCGACTCTCTTCAAACCGCAATCAATTTTATCAGGCAGATCATCCATGCTCAATTCATGAGCCTTCATGTCACTTAAAGTGTCCATTTCTTCTGAGGTATTAACCTTTAATGGTTCAACTTTTCCACCACCAAATTGCTTTTCAAATTCCTCAAATGACAATTGAGGCCTGTTCAAGATCTCATCGTAAGATTTATTTGGAGAAATGGGTAGAGGTTCGCTTGGAGATTCTAATTCATATTTACGTTTCTCCTGTTTTGGAGATGGACTTACTTTTGAGGTGGTCCCCTGCATTTGGCGATCTTTCTCGGCTTCAATTTTCTGTTCTGTGGAAGATATAACCCCCAAAGCTGTTGAGGTTACTTCACGTACATTCTTGGCAGCTTTCGTCTAGATAGATAATACAAAATATGTTCAAGGTAAGGTTTCATCTTGATATGCAAATATTTTAAGAATGGACATATTAATTGTATTTATCCAATGTGGTTTTAAGTTGATAACAATCTTATTTAAAATGTTAAAATATTTTGAAATGTTCATTACTGTTAATAACTGCACCTATTCTATAATTTTTGACTCTAAATATGAACTACATAGCAATGTTGACCACACAAATCTTGTTTACTTTATTCCTTGCTTATTCCACAAAATTTCATTCTATTTCCTTTTAAAATTATGTGTTATGTGTGGAATAAGCATTCTCACCATCACCGTTTTGTCACAGGATACTTTTTTCTATCCAACCCACAAATAATCACAATTTACCCAACAACTTTTAGAGTTTTCAATTCATAAGTTTTTAAAACATTAAAAGCTGTTTTTCTATATAGCTAAAACCCAAGTCCAGATCAGAAGATAGATACTGTTTAAAGATTGATAAACATTATAACTATATACATAATCATTTAAATAAGTATTTGAGATAAAATAGCACTTGATGCAGAAAGAGCATGAAATACAGATTTTGATAAAGCCCTGATACAACCAATTGTCTGATACTTTTATTTTGACAAAAAGACAATGAAAAAATATTTACCATTTAAAGGTATATCTAGCTTCAAAGATAACAAGGCATTAACATGCAAAATGTCACCTCCTACTATTTGCTACATTCATTACAAATGTCGAACACCAACCACCGACCACCACCACAAAAAAGTTGGAGACCTATTACAATATGTCACCACTTCTGTTGATGACATAAAAACACAAGCAATGATCCCTCTTCCATAGACATAAATTCTTAAATCAAGAAAAAAGCAGGAGAAACCCTTAAAGAACAAAGAAAGTAAATTCTTAAGATAAATGAGCTGACAGAAGAGCACAAGAGCACTCCCAACCCATGCTAGTGAATATTAGTAACTCACAGTCCATTTATTAGTAGTAGGTGTAGGTTTTTTGTAAGTGTATCTTCGCTAGAAAATAAATACACTTCATATTAATACTTATGTCAATGTGTGTCAAATATTGTGATTTGTGAATTCAATCATTCCAAATGGGTGACATACGAATAAAGTCTACCTAGAATCCAGTATTCAGAAATAGTCTAGGACACTGTAGCCTCCAAATACAGTAGAAATTGCTCAATGGAACACCTCAGTAGTTGTATGCCGGATAAGTGAATGGTAAGTCCTGTGGCAGATTGACTCCATGTTAATAAACATCTGTAAGTGGAACACCTTGCAAGTGGAACACTTTTTGTGGTCCCAAGGGCGTTTCACTTGCACAAGTTCTACTGTATTGCAATTTTAAATGTATAAATTAGATATTTGACAATTACAACTGTCACCCATTTAAATGAAACAATTCACAAATCACCTTTATGTGGACCCCTGACCTACCATTTCTTGATATTTCTTAACCTCCATATCATATGCAAAGTTATTATTATCATCATCGAGAACGACATCTTCAATTTGAGGTGAAGGTGACAGCGCTGTGTGAACGTCCACTTCCATGTTGTTCAGTTTGCGGTCCATCTCATCTAACTGCTTGTTAATTTCACTCAGCTAAAATACAATTTATGTTATTGCGTGAGCACATGGATATGACTGAGTTAACACACCGATATGATTAGGTAAACATTTCGATACAACTGTGTAAACACATGGATATGATTGAAATTGAGTGAACACATGGATATGACTGAATAAACACATGGATATTACTGAACATATGGATATGATTGAATGAACATATGGATATGATTGAATAAACATATGGGATTGATTGAGTTAAGACACAAGGATCAGATTTACTCAACAAATAGATATGATTGAATGAACACATATATGATTGAATGAACACATATATGATTGAATGAACACATATATGATTGAATGAACACATGAAGAGAATTAAGTATGCTATCATCAAACATGTGGATCTATCAAATAAATGGAAATCTACAAAAATATTTGGATACATTTGTTACAAAATGTAGCTTTGATGGAACCTAGACTAAGCAAAGAAATTACATCATCTATTTTAAAACTACAAGTTCTTGACAAATCATGAAGCACTTTAGAAGTTTACTAAAATAAATACAAGTTACGAAGCAAAGTATGCAAACATAATATTTAGTCATTTTAGATTCTTTGTCATTTTTATGTTTTAAAGCACTTGGTAAATATCACGATGCTTTGAGCAAATGGTTAGTGATTGGTATCAACTGAACTCATTTTAGTTGCAAAAACCTCATATTCAAATGGTAAATATGAAGTACCTCACATTCAAGTGACAAACACCTCACATTCGAATGGATAATATGAAATACCTCACATTCAAGTGACAAACACCTCACATTCGAATGGATAATATGAAATACCTCACATTCAAGTGACAAACACCTCACATTCGAATGGATAGTATGAAATACCTCACATTCAAGTGGCAATCACATCTCATTTAAATGTGTAAATTACCTACTATGTGAGAGTTCATTTCATCATTCAAAAAACGAGACCTGCAGTGACATGTTAATACTTTGAAAAGACATCCATACATAGTGAATAAATGTTAGGGGAACTTAGAGAGAGCCAACAAAATACATTATGTGAAACCATGCAAATATCAATGCTTTACACAAGTGAATGAACAATAATTCTCAAAAATTGTGATTCTGAATGGTCCTAATTCAAACGCCTTCCTTCAATATGACTGTGAAGTGTGCTTAAAAACAAAATCCTTTCATTAAAGTCCTGCAAACAATATTAAAAAAGTTAGTTAGGACAACAATCAACATAAATGCAATCAAGATGCGCATCATTCAAAGCAACACTATATTGCCTGTTGCAATGCTGTCAATTGGCCAGGCGTGGCGGCGCCACCTATATGCAGCCCAGGATAACGGGGGTAGTATGTTGTAAGTTGATTAAAGGTCCTAGGCAGCCCATTCTGGGTTGGGGGAAATATGTAGAAGTTGGCTTGCTGCAAGGCTATATTATTATACCTCACTTTAGGCCTGGTATCCTGAAATGTCACATTACATGGTGAGAATGCACAACAGGGCAACATTACAAAAAACAAAATAACCCAAACCCCCATTAACCATGAACAATATGCAAAACACGAGGATAAACACAAAAATCATTTATCATTATAGAAATATACAAGTATAAATGTCAGCAAATATAGACAATGATACAGAGGTCAACAATGTAGAAAACAACAACATATGGTTCTTCACTTACATCATCGGCAGATGTTAGAACATTTTCTGCGGTGTCTGTGACATTGCTCTGTGTCTTTACCATGCGGTCAGCCAAAGTGTTCAAATTAGCCTTGTTTTCCTCTGTCACTGCTGGTGACTTCATCTCAATTTCAACCACTAGAATAAAAATATTTTAATTAACATTTAATTAATAAAAAGATCTCTGAATTTTTATTACAAATTCTTAGTTTTGTTTCTACCTCATTGTGAAAACAAAATTATATCACAAATCTATATTCTCATATATGCAACTTTCTTATTACTTTCATGATTTCATCATGTACATTGACACCTATTTGAAGTAGTCGCTGGAAAAGGCTAAAAGTGTTCTAAGGTATTCATATTAAAAGGTGTTCAAAGTTAGAAGTTCGCTTAACATTAGAGATATTTATAAATCCAGAACTCAAATGTGAGAAAGTGTTCACATTTCTAGGTGTTCAGTTATAGAATTGTGTTCACATCATTTATGGTGTTACACATGCTTTACTCTGTGGATTAACATATAATGTGCTTACTCTTAGGGGCTGGTTCAACTAGGAGTTGGGCAGACATCTTGACTTGTCCAACAGTGTTAGTTGCAACCACAGTGTATTCAGCGTCATCATCAATTGTTGCATAACCCATTGTCAAACTGTGACCTCGGTTGCCAAGCTTTTCTGTAAAAGAATTGAACGTCAAGTGTATGGCTGTGCTGGGCATTGTCTACAGTAAATGAGTCCATAATAACGATTTCATGACAGACTTGATTCATTTGTCATATCATTCACATATTGATCCTCCTGTTGTAGTTTGTAACAAGGCATTTAAAACATGCAAAACACCACCTGCCAAAATGCCAAACGCCAAAAACACTGTCCATAAAAAAGTTGGAGACTTAAACTACTTCTAGTGGTGACATAATAATATGCTCAAACATCAGGTTCAACATCACAGGTGTAGCTCGCTGAGGCAGGTGCTAACATTTTACAGAAAAATGGCTACCATTGACACAGAAAATTTCTGTGGCTTTGGCTCAAGTTTTGCCATTCATGTTTTTTATCAATTCCGGTAAATATCATTACAATTAAGATTATATTTAATTAATCTGGAACATAGGTTCAAATTCTATATTAAGGGTTGATGTGAAAAAGTCACTCCATTTTAGTGGGAATCACACCCACAACATTCTGATTACATGCTCGATACAGTATGCCAGAACAATGATAAGTCTGATGAGCAATACCTATTCTCTGCTCCAAACTATCTTGTATCCGCTTGCCGTCCTTGTACCAAAGAACCCTGGGTATTGGATAGCCTTTGAGCTTGCATCGGAACTTAGCGGTTTGACCCTCAATGATCTCGATGTCCTCAATTGGTTTTATAAACTCTGGGACTTTCAGCTCAAGGGGATTGGCTAAAATTACAAACAGAATTATATCATCATAACATCCAATTGAATATCATTGAAACTCATAAGATGTGTTAGCGTGTTACGAAACTACAGAAGTCTGAGTAAACTAAGCTCATATGTGTACATGCTATATGTATTTTAATGTCTTTAAATGTAATTAATTGATTATCTAATTAAATCGGTTTAGTAATTAATGACTCCATATATATTTGATTATCAATGAATATTATTCAGGGGTGCATTACCGGATGAATATAATAATTAAGACATCTTAAGTCTATTGTTACTATGATGTCATGGCATCCATGATAGCAACAATGGATTTGTGCATTTTAGTAGCTATGAGAATAATCTGGTAAAGTACCCCATAATTAAGTACTGTACCTCATATATTGTAAATGTGTTATACAATTGTATATAGTACTAAACACTAATTCTAATATTCAGTGAGATGACAAATTACATGTTATTGACTTAAATATAAAGTACTATATACTACAAGAGGAATTGGACAAGAGGTATTTACATATTCATGATAAAAAATAAAGTGTCTAGATTTAGCAAAAAACAATTAGGATTTATTGCATATAAGAATTACCTGATGATACATCAAATCTACCAGACCTATTGCTATAAAGAATACCTCACCAGAGATGTAGCTAGGCATGACTGAGGCAAGCAAGAGAACTACCTCACCAGAATTTAACATAATGAGCGAGAGGCATACTAAGATTTACAAATATGAAAGTTCAGTGACAGACACAAAGTGTTTGCAGAAAGTGATCCCCATCATATATCCCTCATAGATGTGAGGTATGTATGGGTGAGATCACACTAGCTTGAATATCATGAAGAGTGCTTAAAGGTCAAGATCCTTATTTGGCATTAATTTGGTCCTCAATTTAAAGGCTCTAGATTTGAGGTAGTGTGTTTATGAAGTACAGCACTAGAGAGAAAGTGTATATAATGCCAATGGCAATCAACAATTGGATAATTGTATTTTGACTTGTGGAGTAATTAGGACACATAAAATGATTCAAATACAAGCGAAATGACTAAATTCCTCAAAGTGGTGAGATGGTTGGTAATAAAGACCTCTGATCTTGTTATCTCAGATGAAACTTGCAAAAAAACATTGAGATAAAAAATACATAATGAGCCAAAAAGTGCTTGAACCAAAAATGTTTCTGCTCAGTTTCCTTTTAAGCATTTTGCCAGTTATGCAAATTGTTCAAAAGCAAACGAAATGATGTAGTCAAAAATGATTAAACAGTTAAAAAGCATCGCATATTGCATATATAAAGCCTTAGGATTTACTCCATAAGTCAGAATTTTACTCCATCAGTCTATAATTCCTGCGTGGAATTAAGGACTACTAGCAAGAGATCTATATCTATAAGCATCACGCAAGGCTGACCTGTCTCCTTAATATTAACATATTCATTACCTTGACCTGGAAATTGCAACATGGAAATACATTTTCTGATTAATTTCGACCCAATCCGGGTATTTAATAAGCACACCAGCTTTTACACACATGCAAATTAATTAAATAAAATATTGTTAAAACTTCACTAATGTAAACAACACATTTGGCAGGGATAAGAGAAATGACATTTAAATCTGTTAGTAAACGGTATCCATGTTAATGAGCCATATTCTTTTTGTAACTTGCCTTAAGTACTTAAACTGTGCAAAAGTTATAATTAATAGAAGTAACTTTCAAAAGCATTTAGTAGGGACAAAATCGTGCAAAAATTATTTCAAACAAAACCAATACACAATCAACATAAGATTTGTCAACAACATTTTGACAGAGTCCAAATGAAATAAAAAAAAGTTAATGTACCTTCTAGTGTGATTTTAAAAGAATGAACACAACGGCCTTCATCGTTAACGCCAATACATAGATACTGTCCAGAGGCCTTCTTGGTTGTATTGAACACATCTAAGTGGTAGATATCCCCCTCTCTGTAGATCTCACATTGGGCACCATCTTCCAGTTCTGTCATTTCACTACCAGATTTGTACCAGAAAACATCTGAAAAAAGATATAAACAAGACTGTCATTTGTCAGTTGTTATAAAAGGTCAGATTTTTTGGATGAGCAATGCACGATTTAACCAAAGTAGTATTCATTTGATATTTTAAAAATTTCTTTTGGTATAATGTTTATTAAATGTATTATTGAGGGTCTATTGAGGCACCAAAGTTTTGATATACTGTATTTGGCTTGTTTAGCATTGATATGAACATCACTACACATCACCCAATAAACAAAACTGTGAGCCCATTTTTCAATTGATAATCCATTTGTGCTTTAAAATCTCAAAGGTTTTTGCGATCATTTTCACCTACTTACAATTATATTATATAATAATTATATTAGTACATGTATTATTAAAGAATGTTATGCTTCAGAAATTCAGCCTTGTGCTTGCACTCTTACCCAAGGGCTCACTCCCAGCAACTTGACATGTAAACTTAGCAGGCTCTCCTTCAGGCACAGTAACATTCATAGGCCTCACTACAAACCTGGGGTCGGTTTCATCATCCTCGCTGGTGCCTGCAGATAAAGAGACATACAATGATTGGTTATATCGCTGCTCAATCACTTCACATGTTTAAGAATAAAGAGTAAAACCTATCTAAGTAGAACACCTTTGGTACAGCTCAAGTGTTCCACTTGGGAGGTGTTCCATTTATAGAGGTTCATTTAACATTAAGTTAGTTGGTCTTGAGTGTTCCACTAACTAAGTATTCCACTTCTAGAGGTGATCCACTAACAGGTTTCACTGTACTGATATCCAATAATCGATGTAAAAAATCTCTCCCTCTATAAAACCATAGCATATGATTTATATCCTACCTAGAGGTATTAGTGTTGTCTGGAGCATCTCTCTCATGATCTGGTCCTTCTCATCTTTCACGTACAGTTGTGCACTCTTTCTCAAGCCATCCTCGTCAGTCATTGTAGCGATCTCGCAACTTGCCACTGCACGCTTTGCAATTGGCATCTAAGTAAAGATAAGGTAAAAAGTAGAATATATAAAGAATATTAAGTAAACAGGCATATGGTAGAGACCTTATGATAAAAAAATTCTACAAAGTTCAATTATCATTTTTTTGAAGAAGTAGCCATAACAATATGCACCACTTTTGGTGATGTCAAAATAAATGAAGCGGTTTTCCTGGAATATTTTCCTGAAAATATCTAGGTAGTGCCTGCCAAGATGCATGCATGCCCATTCGCATAAAATGACGACAATAGAGCACTTTTTCAAAGTGTGATAAAAATTATGTTGATGTTACAATAACATAACAAGGCATTAACATGCAAATTATCACCACCTGCCATTTGTTACAGATGCCGAATGAAAAAATACCAACCACCGAACACCAAACACCAACTTCCGTCACAAAAAATTTGGAGACCACTTGTGGTGGTGACATAATAATGAATCTCTTACTGTTGTAGTTTCAATCTCCTCTGTATCAGTTTGGATTACAAAGTCCTCAGTCTGAATCTCCTCGTCCGTGTGAAGGAACTCACGCACTATCTCATTGGTTACTTGACGTAGCTCTCCTGTAGCTGCGAGTTCTTCTAGATAGATCTGCTCCTCCTCTGAGCTTGATAACGAGCTTATGCTGGCAATGGAAGATCTTCTACTCCTTTCTGAGAGTTCTGATACTTCATCCAGATCTCTGCAAAAGATAATGAGATTTTTATTGAATTCTAAACTTTAACTACTGTGTTTCATTATTTTTCATGGGTTAAATATCAATGGACAATTACTTAATCCAGAATGATTTTAGGCTGGTTCATCTTACAATGACATCATTTAGACACTGACATCACTTGATAAAAATGACACCAACAGTATTGCGCAACAGAACGAAAATAGACACAAAAAACACATAAAGTCTTCTTAGAATCCTGTCTATTGATGTATAATATCAGTAGAGTTCTACTAGTCAGCGTATCTAAGGTCAGTCAAGCATAAGCTACAAGGATTGCCTTTCATTACATGTAACTGGGTAATATTTTCTTGCATCTGAGCACTAGACTGAGGTGAGAACCAAGAATACGAGTACTGAAAGATGAATGACATTTTGTTATTCTCATAAAGCAGTTGCAATGAGCTCTCGCAGATTTGACTAAACTTTGTGTATCTTTTTGCTTTTTTGTACAAACAGTTAATCAGCTTAATTGTATGCTTAACAAAGGAACTGTATGGATGTGAGATTGAAGGAAGTATGTTGAATGGATTGTAGTGGGTGTCACAAGCCTTATGTCAAACAGTGTTTTAATGATCATGCCTGGGTTGTCGCGTTGGCCGAGCAGTCTATAGCGTTGAACACGCTGTCGCTGTAACCATGAGGTCGTGAGTTCAAGACATGTGAGTGTGAAATAAGGTACATGAATAGAGCTAAGGAACCTTTACACTTTGGGGTAAAAGAACAAACATTTTCTCCCTACATGTATTAAAATAACATAAATGGCTCAACAGAAATTGCCCAAACTCATAAAAAGTGGGTGAAATCATGGATCCCTTTGAGTCCCTTTGCACCATCTCCTCATAAGTACCATGAACCAGAAATAACAAAAACACACTTTTCATCATAACTGCGTAACTGGCGTAACCTGGACATACGATGTATCATGATCTTAACGTTACTGAGTAGTATGTCTGGGTTACGTTTAATGCCAGTGCTACATGCCACAAAATAAATTTACAGCAATGTGTGATATCTAAGATGCATGTGTATGTAGTTATCAATCAATATACTCATTCCACAAGATACTCAAAGCACAATACTCATACTGGATGATACTCATGTCACATTTACCTGTCGTCAATTGATCCTGAAGGACTGTTTAGCATAAACAAAAATAAGATGCATGAAAATATAGAAAATGAAATCAATTACAGGAAAATTGTGTCTAATATGAACCCAATAATGAACTCAAGATTTGGCCCATAAATTGAGAACTAACATTCTGATAATTCATATGAAGCTATTGAATTAAAATATAAAAAAATAAAAAATCTTGCTATATGTAAATTGAAAACTTATTACATAATACATGTACATGAAATATCATTGCTTATTTCAGTGTTTTTCTCAATAAAGCCTGTCACATTGGTTCTACAGTGTGCAAGGCGGCCGTAGCTTCACAAAATTGATATAGAAAATCTACATCGTAATGCCTATCCCTATTTTATGCTTTACATTTCTTACGATTTGGGGAAGCTACAGCCTCTGTATGGTTGTCGTAGATCAAATGTGACAGGCATAAGTAATCAGTTTACATAAAGCTCTGTCAATCTAGCAATCTTACTTGTCGCCAATCTTTGGTCCGGGAGATTCATCAAGCTTGGGTACCAACATAACGACATCTTCCGCCCCAACCTTTTTATCACCAAAATTATCATAAGGCGAGACAATATTTTTTTCTGTGAAAAACCAATTCTTTTTCCAGTTCTGCGGCATACTTCCCCCCTGTAGTAGTAGCTCTGCCCCTTCTGGGCTATCAACATCATCTTCCAAATTATTATCACCATTTTGTAATTGATCTATTGCTTTTTCAGTTGTTTTTGGTAGTTTTCTTTGTGAGTCGGTATCACTGATATCTAAATTTTTCTGCACTAAGTCAGTTATATCAACATCCTCAATGCCTTCAACAAATGAAGGCAGGGGTACTTCATGACATTTCACAAACTCTGACGTTTTGTTAAGTCTGTCTTCAGTGTCCTCAGATTCAGTCTTTGTCAAAGGTTTTTTATTGGGTGTGTCATGATTTCTTCTGGGTGAGTCATGCTTTCTTCTCTGTGAGGGTGATGTGCGTGGTGATTCTCTGTCGTTTCCCTCATCAGCCTCAACTTCAACCTCAGAGAGCCTCTCTTTCACTTTACGATGATCAAGAGAAATCTAAAAATGTATACATAAAACCTAATAATAACCAGCATCTGAGTGTCTAAATGCGATTTTTGAGAGAAATATTGGAGGTGCTTATTGGCTAAGAATACATGTTGTAAAAAGGGAAAGGATGAGGGTTGTTATTTATTATGTGTACAAAGATCTAAACCGACATAAAATACAAAAATAATAAAATCTGATAAATCAATGAAATCAAGTCCAACCAAAGAGGACGTTCGATATTTTAACAAGTCCCCCGTTCATATTTCCAATGATATTAAAGTTATTAACTACTGTCAACAGGGAGGTAATAAAAGTGTTTTAAATATGAAAACATTATTGCATGGTAGTTTCTTATCGATCTAAATCCTACGTGATATTTAATAAATATGACACTAATATATGGTTTTGTTTCAACATTTTTCTCAATATTAAAATCAATAGATTAGTGCTGTTGAGAACTCCATACCTTTTTTACAATTGCATCAGCTAAAATGTCCTCGTAACATTTATTATCAGAAGAGTCAGAAGCGAGAACATCATCAACGTCAATATCGATAGCACCCCCTACAAACTCCTCGACCATTTGGGTAACAATTCTTTTTGCCTCTGTGGTATTTTCCTCAGAGTTGTCGTCATCTGTGCTACTCTCCCTGAACCTGGAAAGCCCCTGGGTGAGGTTAACAAGGGCGTCACGAACATTCACCCGCTGCGTCGACAGAACATCTTGACCTAGAATTAGATTTCAAAGTATCGTTAAAACAAGGCGGCTTTAACATGAAAAATGTCACCACTTGCCATTTGTTACAGTCACTGACCACCATTTCATACATTTGTCACAGATGCCAACGGCTAAACACCGTCCACAAAAAAGTTCTGGTGGTGACACAATTATACTTGCTTGGGACAATTCTTTGAATATCTTTAGGGCCGTTGCTATTCAATTCAATTTCTTTGTACAATTTGAAAGAACTATTTCACTTTCTTTGTATTTAGTATTGACTACACAACTGTCAACGTCATATCTAACTGATTCCACTCTTTTCCACTCTACTTGACATTTGAAACGACTACTATGATATCTTACATCATTCAAGATTGCCAAGTTAAGACATTGTAAATGTGTACGCATTCAAGTGGTCATACCTATGATATTCTTGAATTGGACTTCACTTGACTCACATAGCTATACAATTTGGAGTATTGAAATCATGCCTGTTCACTTATTTCCTTGCTGATCCCACTACTTTCCCCTTTATTTTGCTTTACAAAACATGTCTACATTGACATTTTCCTACAGCCTTGTTTGTCAATGTAGGGGATTATTCAATCAATAATAATCTCATTTTCAAACCTATTACTCATGATTCAACATTGATCACTATAACTTTGAAGGAGTCGCCATGTACTCTCGGGGCCAATCAATAAATCTTGTAATTAATTGTAATTTGCGGCTGCTTTAACATGTTTCTTCTCTGAAGTAAAAAAAGTAAATAAAAAACATTTGGAAAAAAATCTTTGTGTTGTGTTGACTGTTGATTAATTATAGTGTCGTCACATTTCAAAAATATAGCTGGAATATTGATAGAAAAAAGTTTTGGAGTACAGTACCATCTTGCTTCATTAACCTTCGGACCTGTCCTCATGGAACATAGTGATTGGCCGTGGGACCAATGATGGTACAGTACAGTAAAACGGTAACCATTAATATTATAGAAAAATCTAAATGTGGTCAAACATCCAAAGGTGGGACCTATTACCCACACCAGCAGAATGTCAAATAAACTTATGTAGGTGAAACTTCTCCCAAGTGGAACACTATTTAAAAGTACCAAAAGTGTACCAATTCACAGGTTTTACTGTACATCCTGAGTCTGGGAAAGAAAAGAACTCCCTTTAGTTTGAGAACATATTCTGAATGACTTTGGTTTGCTTCCGAGGTGATCCTGTTCTATGGCAGTGTCTTACGATATTTAATGTCTAATGGTAAAACATAATTTTTGAGTTGTCATATCTTATTTGTCCCCTGGGAAGTTGAAAAGATCTATAGTTGCAGAATGATTTGTTTGAACAATCTTTTCTTCTCAGATTGAAATGTCTTCAATAGCTTATAACAGCCTTGGGATCTCTTAGGATCATTCATTTACAGGTTAAAAGTAGTCTAGCTTCAAGCCATTGTGTAGTGATGGTGAAGTAGATAAAGGGGAGGTCGACAGTCTTGAAGCAAGACTAGGATCAAATTTGAAACGTGAAATTATACAGTTATATGTTTGTTTGTTTGTTTGTTTGTTTGCTTGTTTGTTTGTTGGTTTAATCATATAAATTATATGACTGTTTATTTGCCAGATTGTTTGACTGTTTGTTACAATCCTATTGTTTATGCCTTGGTCACATTTGCTCTGATTTTCACTACAGCGCCCGGGCGATTGAGTATTTCGTTCAAAATTGAATACGATATTGAACAAAACACCCAATCGGCTGGGCACCGGCTGATGGATCAGAGCAAATGTGACCCAGGCATTACTTGACAACATACATGAAAACATGAACAATTGGCTAATGCCCTGCTCTAATGGGCTCTTGAATTAATAAGTTGATATGAATAATTTAATGCTAATATCTACATTTATTACTGATAATACCCCCATAAAACATCTCATTTGATGATGGTTTCACACTGTGCATTAATATAATAGATTTTATGATCACGGTAAAGTAAAACCTGTCAAAATGCCACTTTGACGAACCAAAAGTGCTCAGGATTGGTTGGTGTAGCGTTCCAGTTCAATGTTTTTTAACATGGATATTTATGTGGGATCAAAAAAGCATTTACATTGAGGGGTGTTCAGATAAGAGAAATGTTTGTATATACAGGTTTTACTGTATATGGATCGACTCCAAATGTCATGCAATTTCAGAGTTGTTCTTGACGCCTTAATTTCTCTGCTATACATGTACACATTGGAAATAATATTTATCAGACATGCAATTGTTTATTATTTTACATATTTCTCTCCTGATGATTTATTTGCATTTCTGGTATATTTATCATTATTTGTATTAACCAAATTGGCACAAAAATTCATTGCGAAAAAATAATCACAATTCCATGCGCAATTATCTGATGTAATGTTAAGTTATTTCATGCTAGAAAACAGGATGTACTCATGATGAACAGATATTTAACATGTAGAATAAAATATTTGTTTATTATGACATCAGTCATGCATGGTAACATTTATAATTGGGAGACAGGAAATGGAATACTGCCGATTACAAATCCTGTATTTATATCCCACAGAAACGCAATCTTTATTTCAATCTTATGTCACCATTATTCCAAACTTTGGAGTCCAAAAATCTGAATATTGTCATGACACAACACAAGCAAGATTACTTACTCTGTTCAGGATTGGCTAAATCATCTGGGTGTTGACCATCTAGGGTGCCGTATATCTCATGGGTGATATTGTCTAACTGGTCTTGGAACAACCTTTTCTCCGCCTCCTCTCCCGATAGATGAACTGAAATTTGAAGTTAATTATTTTAAGCAATTGTTAGCATTTATAGGATTTTGCATTTTGTTGCAGTTTATGGGGTATTCAAGTATTTTGGTAAGGTTTATAGAGCTTTAACAGTGTTTCTATGTTTTATTATGGTTTTCAGGACTTATGGGAAATATAATAAAAATGAAACATTAGTTGCGTTACTGAAATCCATCTGTTGTAAATCTCTGCCTAATCATTAGTTTATATTGTCAGGACACAAAGCATAAGTTCAACAACGGTATACTGTACTTCTATTGTTCAGCGAGTGAATTTACAATTACAAAATATAAATGGGCGGACTGACATTTTTCTCTCCTTAATTTACTTTTTATTTATTGTACTCTGCTAAGCGTATAATCTGAATCTACATAATGTTTCAATGGTGGAAAGAAAATCCATTATTCTGTTGAAAAAATATTAAGGTCACAAGATGTTGCCTCGTCTATTCACAGATAATTTTTTCATTCAATAAGTTCATGGAAAAATGCTCTCATTTCAATGGTTTTTTAATATTTTTTCATGAAATATTTACGTTACATCCGACAAATATCTGGTTATTGATTTGTAAAATATCAACATCTCTTATTCAACTGATCAAAAATAACAGTAACTTGACCTTTGGCTAGGCAGAGCATTTTCATTTTATTTTTCCGCAAACTTATTGAACAACCTGAAACATGTATTCACGGAGAAATATTGACAAGTTAATTGACTTCCTCTGCGGGCTCTATTATATGATACTCTGTATGAGATAAAGGTGAAATGATTTTATATTCATAGTATTGCCTTAAAGGTACTTTAAATCAAGCTTTTTCAATAATTCTCCGACTGTCTTTTCTCAACTACAATAAATGCCATCTCACTCTAACGATACTGCCATTAACTCACTAATTTACGTATTAACAGCAAATTGAGCACATTTTTCAATAATTCAGCCATTCACGTAAATTATTTTCTAGTCTTTTGCTTGGGTAACTAAATAAACTGATAATGTATTGAAAAAATATTCAAATAATGGCAACAGGCACAAATAGCCTTCACGCTTGCCTAAATAAGTCATAATGTCATCAAGATTGCAAGTTATGTCAGAGGAGTGCTCAACAGGGACAGAACAGCAATTATGAAAGTCATGAAATAGTTTAGGGAGTAGGGATTGATATTGGACACCTAGAAATGACCCAATTCATTGAGTGTTACCATGTCTGTCATTATTTTTGAGTATCCAAACACAATATTTTTGATGTCATGTTCTGAAAAACGTGTATAAGTAAACAGACGAATACATTCCCTAAGAGCACTCTGAAATCAGCTATAGGTACCGTTTCAGATTGGCTGTGTATGATACTCAAAATCATCTTGGAATGCTAGAAAATTAAGCGCATTTAATGTATGCCTCAAATAAAATCCTTAAAGAACAGAATTTTCATGGGTTAATGTTTCAAAGATTTCGTATTCCTTGTACAAATTGGATAAGATTGTCATGGATCTAGTTTAATTCAAAAATATTCCGATTCATTCTAACCATTTGATTTAAATTCACACTGACTGTCAGTTACACAAAACAAAATCACATTGTAATTACTCAAGATTAGATTGCCAAAAATAAGATTGCTTTTTCACTCAAATTGCTAAGCTAAAATGTTATCTAAATATTGTATCTCCGACTTTCTTGTTGTAATACTTTGTAAAAATGCATTTTTGCGCTAACCACAAAGACTTCTTCACACCTTTTATGCAATATTACATAATCAATGAAATAAAATGAACATATATTGCCTACTCATATTCTTTCAACATCTTTTTCATGCCTATAATTTAAAGGTATCGCATAAATGTCAATTATTCCGAGAATTGTTACAGTTCCTAGTAATCCAGTTATAACTGTATTACGTCTTCCATAAATAGAGGGGATTATGGAACTTAATTACCTTCACTGAAAGGTCGAGATGCTCAAAGTATATCATGCTCTATTACAGATGTAATTATATGATGTCTTTGATCAACCATTAATACATTTATAGACGTAGGAAGTTACTACTTCCATGTAGTACCATTCAGGAAATGATAAAAACAAGATTAAGTTGATGAGAATAAGTAAACACATTTTCAGGATAATAATTAAGAAATAGACATTTACCACTTTTAAAAGCTTTGATTTTATTGGTCAATAGGGACACATCCACTTTCTGTATTAAACAGAATTACCATACTAAAGCCTCAGTTACAATTGCTCTACAGCGAGCATACAGCGGTCATAACTTCACAAAATTGATATGGAAAATCTACATTGTACTACTTATTCCTATATTCTATGCTGGAAATATTCCTAGATTTTGGGAAGCAATGGCCGCCGTATTGTTGCCATAGATCAAATGTGACTGAGGCATTAGACCCCTTTGTCTCCCTTCCCGCAACCACCCATTGAATTAGAAGACTTTTTGGGAACAAAAATACTGAAGATGTGCCAAGATATAAACAGTCTTGGAAACTTACCAGTGTTATCATTAGAGTTTGGGTCCAAAGTCCTGTAAGAAACTTGGCCTCCAGTGATGTTGAGTCTGGAGCTGCCATTGGGACCTAAAAGACCAGAACAACATCACAAATTCAATTCATGATATGCAGAAAAAATCCATAACCTTGTGACAGATACAGACCACCAAAAAACTGTGACTTTATTTAACAACAATATGGTTGTGACTTAACAAATAATAATATTACTAATGCTATAAAACTTGGCAATCATTTGAGTGTTTCTGCTTAAGGTGGGGCCATGTCTATCATCTTATAGGCGTATCAATCAATAATTTCTTTTTAAAATGTTGGACCAGGTCCTACCTTAATGGAAATGAAAATAATGAAATCCAACAGCTTTGTATGTAGGCATTAATAGTAGATGATAAGGCCATAACGATGAGACAGGAAATTAGTCTTTCCATAAATTGACTCCATTGTACATGGAATGAACAATTTCCCTTCACTCATTCACAAATTAAAGGATGAAGTATAATGGACCATAACTGAACATCAGCAAAAATACATCATCAAAAATATATTTAGATAATTGTCTATTAGAAATATTCTCTCTAACAATCTAATACATACTGTACAATCAGTGTATGCCCTAATGATCTGAGAGCTTGCTGGTCAAAATGGTATTACGAACCAGTCGCAATGTTATTTATACCTAGTGAAAAAATCAACTGGTCCGTATCAAAAGTAACCTGGTAAATGACCAGTGGACCAGCCCTTTAAAGGCATACACTGTGTACAGTTGTAATATATTGCTTGCACAATATGTGAGCGAAAATTCAAAAAAATTCACTTTTATTCAGTTTTATCAATATTACATTTTAATGATTCATGAAAAAGTCGACATGTAAAATACTATTCTAAGCTCATCTCTTGTTATTGTACAGTATATTGAGTTACAATTTATATGACATTCTATCCTCACCCCTAATGTTCTCCTGCTCTGGGGGGAACAAATTCCTGACAGATTCCCGATATTTCTTCCCTTGGGGTAATGAGTTATATAATGATGGGTCGTATCCGCTGTCATTTTCACTATCAGCTGAAATCAAATTAGCAATAAATCAGATAATTGGTAATATAATTAAGTCACATCATCTTTTTGGATCTGATTAGGATATGGCAACACCAAAGATAAATGTCTCGCTGAATTTTTACGAGGCTTCAACCTTGTCTTTATAATTTCCTGGTACCTGGTGGATTTTCAAAAATCAATGAAACATATGTTGAGACAATAAATGGTGTGATCTCATATATTTTGTATCATATAATTAAATAGTCCAAACCAAACACCAAACTGTTTTTTAATATTATCAAATAATTTCATCTTCATGTACTTTTCTTAAACACTACATGTAATTATATCTAAAACATAATATTGTGCAATACAATACAACAGAAGGGAATTCAGACTAGAGAATTATGACAGACTAGAAATTCAGTGATGACACTTTAAGAATCTTAATGACAGGCAAGGAAATTATGCAAATATGGAAAATGGCAAATTTTGGGTTATATTCAAATGAAGTCTGACAGACTAAGAGGATATGGGGAAAGAACAAACTTGGAATTTGTGGTGGACAAATGAACTCTGACAGACATGGGAATTTAAAGCTCAAAAGCTGATATATTGATATAGACATAGGGCAGGACAGACTTAGGAATTGTGACTAAAACTGGGAATTGTGACGAAAGAGGAAATTGTGATGAATTCAAAACACTTACACCCACTTTTTCTCTTATATAGAGACCGGACTACTTTCGCACTTCCAAATCTCTTGAACTTCTGGCGCACATTGGCATAGAACCACTCACAGGACTGTGTTGCTAGTTCACTGGAAATACATAAACCAGAGCCATCTTTAATTAGCCCAACACACTAAACATATTTTATGTATGAGTAAAGATTAGGTTAGATAGAAGAGATAATAAGTTTATATTAATTCAGAATGAAATATATGGATGTAACATAGCGTTTGTTTCTAAAATTTGAGTAAAGTAACAAGTGCTAAATAAGCATCTAACAATAGCCGTTAATATTCTATATTAGCATAAAAACAAATAAAACAATTAAAATGTTGCCTAGAAATCATAACTACTGTACTTATATCCATGACCCATTTAAACAGTTTTAGCAAAATAGATATCAGTTGAAACTCTTGTGTATCAATACACCCTTTACAGTCTCTAGCACATGTTCAAGAAATGGCATATTCTATTCATTTCAATCACCCACCAGGCTATATTTTCTTGAAACTGTCTAGTAGACTGTATCAAAGGTTATTATAATGACATATAAAATATAAAATCACTTACAACTAAAGCAGAATAAATATCAAGAAAGTAAAAACCGTATACATAAAAGTTCAAAGCATAGTTAAAATAAAAGCTTATATCTAAACCCTGGCTTAAAGCCCTTATACTAAATACATAATATAATTTAATAGGGTAATAAAAAATAATCAAGTAAGACAAACCTCTACCAAAAATGACATCAAAGACCATCAAGTATTGTTTTATCTTTATTCAAACCCAATGATATGGGATTATCTATTTCACCCATGCTTAAAATATTTGTCTGATCAAGCTTATTTCACTTCATTTCCCTCCAAAATTTGAATGAAGTGAATAATTTTCTGACAGTTTTTATAATTTAGAATACTGACTACATGTCTCTTTACTTAATTTATTCATAATTCATTTTATATCTATTTTATTAAATATTTCTGAATGTGACTATTATCATATTTATATGCTATGGTAGAGTTCTTACCGTTGAACCAGTTCATGTTCCACTAATGATGCTAAATATAAAAATGAAATCATCTCGATTTTCAAAATATCTAATCTTATTTTATTTTTTTATCTTCTCTCCTTTCAAAAATAAGTTTCCTGACATTCTTGTGATGCTTTGAGGAATTCCTGTGATGTTTAAGTGATATTTTAGGAATTTCTGTGACGTCAAAGTAATACTTTCAGGGATTCCTGTGATCCCCATATGATAATTTCAAGAGTAGCTTCCTCCAATTATTCAGTTATTTTCGTGAGACAACCAATTTATACATATATATCCATTTTTTGTAGTTTTATAGGTTACATTCTGAATATACTCATAAAGTCAAACAGATGTAATTTTTGGACATTAAAGTCAAGTACTGTATGTTCTTATACATGTCCAAAGCTTGGTATCTTCTAGACCCTATGTATCCATGGTCAGTTATCTTTTAGACCCTATGTATCCAATTTGTTAATTTTTATGACTGCAATTAGCCGTTATACATAACTTCTGACTGCATCTGTTCCCCTTCTATACATGAAGGTCATAATTGTTGTGAGACCTTTTTGAAAATATTAACAAAACTTTCAATTAAAATTCTACCTGTATGCTTCCGTGCAGAAAGTCATGTAACAACCCTTTCAAAAATCAACCACTTTTGTAAATATACAGAAATATCAAAACCATGTTGCACGATTTTAAATAAACATGATTACAATTTTGTTAAATCGTTATTTAATTTTTAAAACTGATCATTATATGAATATTCTAGTTCCATTAGGACAAAATAAACCTTTATTAATATATTGAATTATTTGAAAGAGATTTTTTAACTTTTACGATGTCTTCATATGGGACTATTTTTGAGATAACGCCATAAAACTTTGTAAACCTCATTAATTCCTAGAACTTTGACTCTAAAGGGATATTTCAAAGTCGGAAATACAAGAGAAGCCACCTTTACAAGAATGTGTGCATAGCTTCACATTTCAAGGTAAAAGTAAACAGGCTAAATTCAATTCAATTTTAATTGAAATGAAAATGCAAGGTTAAGATGAATAACAGTAAGAGAATTGTGAAAATTCTAAGGTTTGTACAGACATCGATTAAAAATGCCATAAAATGCATAAAGGTGGTAGGTTTCTGTATGGTGTTACCCATATTTGAATGGTGCAATCTATACCATACTGTATCTCCCACACTATACAGTACCATGCATATGGTATGAGATATGGTGTATGGTGTCACCCATATTTGAATGGTGTCATCTATGCTATATAAGGTACCACCTAGGTTTTATAGTATCACCCATGCTATATGGCACCATCCATGTTCTATGGTGGCACACATGTTATATGGTATCACCCATTTTATTTATGTGGTGTCAAAAACATCACACAGTTCCACCCATGTTATATATGCCACCCATGTTGTATGGTGGCACACATGTTATACGGTATCACCCATTTTATTTATGTGGTGTCAAAAACATCACACAGTTCCACCCATGTTATATAGTGCCACCCATGTTATATGGTGTACAAACATGTAGCCTGTTAACATACTACATGTATTACAACAGGTAGAAAGAGAATCAAGCTTTACAATGACAATGTGTATGAGGAATCGTCAATCAAGTCTCACATATTTGTGGTTGAAACTTCACCTATATTCAAGGTATCCACAGAAATGAGTGAAATGAGCAAATAAATACCCATTCAACTTGTAATCATTTCAGAAAACATTGTGGATATAAGTAAGGTATAATTTCTATATACCCAGACAGAACATCAAAAGCGAGATGAAAAATGATGTTTTTAGTGACCGTAGGTTCGGGTCAATAAATTGCATTATAGGGCCTTTCAGCAATCATAAAAGCAAGGCTGATGTGATTTATAATCGACATAAAATCTAAGTTTCAGTTGTGTATATGACCCTGAACATGTTTTTCTATGTTCAGGTGAAAATGTGCGATCTCACACAAAGTCAAATGCCGAAGGGGTTGATGAATACAGTAAAACCTATGCCAATGTGACATAAAAAATAATATATAAATTAAAAGGTGTTCACATGTGTTCATACTACAAAATGTTCATTCCAGAGATATGTTCACGTATCTCATACTTGAGTGGGTTTGGGGTAGATATCACCCGGGAATATATATCGTATCTGAGGAGCGGGCAGGATATATTGTATATGTCCCGCTCCAGGCCAAATGCGGGCAGATATAATATATCCATCCCGCTCCAGGGAATTTTTCAAAAGTTTTAAAAAGTTTAAATATCAAAAGTTTAAATCTTTTAATTACAAAATTTATTTTTTTAAGTTTAAATGTTACAATTTCATTGTATTGAACAAAAAGAATATTACGAAAATGTTAAATATAAATATCTTGTCATTTGAAAAGGTGGAAAAGGTTATATCTACCCTAAACCCACTCAAGTATGAGATACACCAGTTATGCACGGTCGGTTTGGATACATGGAATATCCCTTGGGATATACAATACATCTTCCCTCGGTCCCTTCGGTCCCTCGGGAAGATATATTATATATCCCTCGGGATATTCCCTGTATCCAAAACCTCCCAGTGCATAACCCCTATATATACAGGTTTTACCATCATACGGTGAAACCTGCATATTCGATCACCTCTCCAATCTGAGCACCTTTCAATGTGAACACTTTTCTCAGTCTCAAATTCATTTTCAATTCAGTTATACAGTGAAACCTGCATCCGAACACCTCTCTTATCTGAACACCTCAATGTGAACACTTTTTCTCTATCCCAAATTCATTTTCAATTCAGTTATACAGCGAAACCTGCATCCGAACACCTCTCTTATCTGAACACCTCAATGTGAACACTTTTTCTCTATCCCAAATTCATTTTCAATTCAGTTATACAGTGAAACCTGCATCCGAACACCTCTCCAATCTGAGCACCTTTCAATGTGAACACTTTTCTCAGTCCCAAATTCATTTTCAATTCAGTTATACAGTGAAACCTGCATCCGAACACCTCTCTTATCTGAACACCTCAATGTGAACACTTTTTCTCTATCCCAAATTCATTTTCAATTCAGTTATACAGTGAAACCTGCATCCGAACACCTCTCTAATCTGAACACCTCAATGTGAACACTTTTTCTCTATCCCAAATTCATTTTCAATTCAGTTATACAGTGAAACCTGCATCCGAACACTTCTCTAATCTGAGCACCTCTCAATGTGAACACTTTTTCTCTATCCCAAATTCATTTTCTCTCATTGACTTACATGTTAATAAAACCTTGAAATGTGGACACTTCTGGATGGTCCCAGAGGTGTCTGAATTATACAGGTGATGCTTGATTTTAAAGGCATAATTTTTCTCATCTTACACTGGTAAATAATAATAGGTTTTACTGTATCATACTATTTGATACATGTAAATGATTTACATTCTGTTCCGTCATACACTGTCTCTATGGAGAGAGCATTCAACTACTCTAAAGGCGAAACAGTAGGTGCTATGGATACAGCAATGTTTGATTAACATCACCATCACAACAATGCAACAACAATGAAATAGGGGTGATGAGATATGCAACATATTCACTGATATGACATTAATTGCGAGGATTTTCATCTAATAGCATTGATTTATATGTTTTGTATTATATGTCTAACCAGGCTTAACAGTTCTCATATCGCAATGTGATCATGACATTCTGTACTTCTACTTAATTTGGCACTACTTATTTTGGCAGATTTGCTGTTTTGAACACTTTCCCGCAACTTAATTTTGCAGACTCGCAAAATTGAAATATATATACTATACATATTTAGGATAGAAATATGAAATTTTGAATTTGGGGGCTTCTTAATTTGGCAGACTTTAACAATTTGGCGGATCCGCCAAATTAAAACAGCCGGCAAATTATAAGTACACGTACAGTAACATCCTGTGCAGTTTGTAGCACTGTTCCTTCCTCTCACTTTGAGCTATGCCTCAGAGATGAGAATAGGGTAATATTAGAGAAAGGTAGTTATGGTAAAGAAAGGGTCAATACCAAGC